AGTCTGAAATACACCCTCGAGGACATCGTCAACTTCTTCGGTCGTCTCAGCGGCCCAGCTGTCGTACCGGATACTTACAAGCACACATGGCTTTCCCTCAGTCGGTTCTTCTGGGACGAGTCGAGATTCACTCTAGCGACCCGCCTGGCCAAATATAACGCAATGCTTAGAGAGCTAAGCGAGATGGCCAAAGAGTAGGTAGCCCGCCAAAAAGTAGAACAAAGAGACATCGTACTCATTCCTGGCGCTCAGTAAACATTACAGCTCCCCACTCCTCGATGGCCTCCGCAATGGCATGAACACCCTACTCTCCATACAGGATAGCCGACTCGCTTCCCAGCTTGGGCGGATGTCAATGGGTGGTCGACACCCATCGAGCAGCAGCGCCGAGACTCCCAGTCCTGTCGGTGATCGGAAGCGACATCCCAACCGCCGGCAGAGGTCGTTCGACCGTCATCGTCCCTCCCCTGCTTCTCCTACGTCGCCTACGTCGCCTTCATCGGGCAATTTCTCGGACTTCCCGCCCTCTGTTCCTGATGTCCCAACCTCGCCGCCGACTTCTACGACTAACACTACCGCTACGAATGACACTGGTCGCTCGACTGCGTCTGATACTATCAAGTATCACTGGGCCAAGGAGGTATACGGTACCTGCGACACCCAGACTCCTCTCCCTCCTGTAGCTGAGACGTGAGTTTGGAATATCGTATACAAGTCGTCGACATTTTGCTAACGTATCTAGCTATAGATCTGACTGCCGAGGAGAAAGCCATCCCGGCGTCAAGCAAGCAATCCGAGAAAAGGGGTTTGAAGAGCTTCTTAGGCTGTAAGCAGATAACACTGATACGCCTTGGAGGCATCATTAACATATTAATTCTCATGGCCAGATCCGTCAACGATGATTCAGACATGAGCGTGTCATTTTACCTGAGAGAAAAAGATCACCGAGCCCGAATCCTCTGCAAAGTCCCTCGCCGCGGCAGCAAACCAAGTGAATACTTCTGTCTACCTCTTAATCTGCTCGAGATCTTGCGAGAACGTTCCTGTCTCCGGTTGTGTAGACGGCGCAGGTCTGGAACAGAGCTTGTGTTGTGGACTGTTCTTAAATTCACCACGATGGAAGGTCAGTATCATTCAACCCGGCAGACAAATGGGTCTGTCTTCACAGGATCAGTCTATATTAACTGGTTATCCTAGACCTGGTTCTATTTCACAACATGTTCGTTGCTCTCCGCTCCCAGGACGAAGGCCACCCTCCACGTCAAATTCTAGATCACGAGCTCCAAGACGAAGATGAGATCTTCGGAGGGTGAGAATGCTTACACCAGAAGAATCATCCAGCAACAGAAATGAGCTAACGGGGCATAGCAAAATCAACGACGACGAATACCCACATGCACTTCGCGTTTACCAAGACTTGGAGACTGGAGCCGTCCGGTTGCAATCATCAATTATGGAAGGCGAAATGAGCCGGTAAGTCAAGATATCAAACCTTCACTCCGACTCTAATTATAATTCTAACGTCGGTGATTGTGACTATAGAACCCCTGTCTGGACAGCCTTCATCACCAAACACGTCGAAAAACCCAGACTAATCCAACAATACGATGCAACAACTATCCACATACGCAATCTCAAGCCTGTGATCTTCATTTCTGCGGAAGATTACTCGCCGCCGAAGACGAAACATGGTGACCATGTGTTGAAGTTTACGTCTGCGTCTGGTAAGTCTCGTTAACCCTGTGACTAACTTATTGCTCGCGATGTATCACTGGCTAACGGGATGTAATGACATAGATGCCGAGGGATTCCTCAATATCATGCATGACCTTTATAGATCCTATACCAAGCGACGTTAACTTAATGATTATGACTTGGCCTTGCCTTGCCTTGCACTTAAGTGGGAAGTTGATTTTCTGCTGTTATGAGTGATGAGATGATGTTTATGATTGCGATGATCAATTTAAAAGTCGTGCATTTCATTCTAATTATGCTGTGCTCTGAGTTGGCTTCTTCTCCTCTGTTGTTAATCTACGTTTTGTCTGTGATGTCCGGGTGTTGTCCTGGCTTAGTTGTGGATTGAATATGTCAGAACACGTTAGGTACTACTCTACTCAGATCTCTTAAACAAACAAGGCATCTTACATTGGTTTCGCTAAAGCTTCATCATGGTAAAACATGGATTCAATCGTACATAGGGGGTATCACGAACAATATTTAAAACATGTGTAGAGCTGGCACCGAAATTGGAGCACCAGAAAATGCGATGGGACAATCTAAAAGTGTTCACTCAGACTTGTCTACCTGTTCTGCGTGGTCTGTCTGCTCAGATTTGTTGGCCTGTTCAAGTTTGTCGGTAGGAACAACAGTTGCCTCAAGATCCGTCATGAACTGGGCAGCCATCTTCCTATTCTTCAGCTCCCGAATCTTCTCCAGCCGCCACTTTATCTTAGCCTCGCGCCGCTCCAGTCGTTCCTTATTCGACCTGCGCTTGTTCAAAGTCTCCTCTCGAACCCTGGAGAGCTCCTCCATCTGCTGAGCACGATCCTTCTCATCGGTCGAGAAGGCATAGAATCCTGTCCCACGATTGCGCACTTCCCAATCAGCATCATAATGCATCTGCTCTGGCGGTGTAGCAGATCGGTCACGGCGAGCAGCAAGATGAGACATGTGCGACGCAATGGTAGCATCGGGATTAAAAGCCTCAGCTTGAACAGCAGCTCCATAGATAAGGTTCTCAGGACGAGCAGGGCGCCAGCGTTCCTGACCAACCTTCCCACCATTGGCCTCATCAATAGCGCGGGAAGCTTCCGCGGCTTCGGCACGGGTGCCACGGCGCGTCCGGCCGAACTCGTCTTCGTAGGAGATGATAGAGGCATTGTCATCATCGGACAGATCTTGCTTGTTCTCTTCTTCGGCCGCGTGCTTGCGGTCGAAGTCCACCAGTCCTTCTCTCTCTTTGCGACGCAGTCGGGCCAGGTAATCTTCTGGCTTGGATGGATCGTACTGCTCATCATCGTCACTGTCCCCGGCAAGGTAGAGTCCCTTTTTCATATCATCATATATGCGCGCTTTCTCGTCCATGCGTCGACGGGACCGGCCTAGAGTGGCGGAGTCGACGTCGCCGAGGTCCTTGCTGCTCCTGTGGACTTGCTTCAGAGCCCGGTTGTCATCTGCGAGGTCGGCTGCGGCTCGTTTCAAGGATCCTTTGTTGTGCTTTGAGAAGATGTCTGACTTTGGGTTCTTGGAAGGGCGCTGGCGACCTCGTGTGGAGGTAGAGTTGGAATCTTGCGAAATGAGTGAAGAGAGTTGGGACGCGAATGCGAGATTGGAGGATGTTGTTTCGTTGGACTGGGCCTTCTGGCGACGCTGCCCATAAAGGGACGAGCTCTGGTCTGTAGACATTATTGTAGAAACTGTATAAAAGGCGGAGTGTCAGGAAAGTGAATGGATGAACGGCGAACTTCTCTAACAATGATGGCAGCGAGCTTATCGATAAGGGCGCGATCGCATCTATACACACCGCCATATAATTTTGCCATGAGATGACTAAGGCCGATGTTCGCAGCCCCGCGCCCCACCAGATATCCGATCGTTTGACTCAATTGAAGTGTTTCTCAGCTTTGATCTGATACTTTAACTCTTAATTGAGCATCAGAAACTACAATTGACTCGATATTTCCCAAAAGTTCATTCAATTAGCAGCATCATGTCCGCTAACCCTATCTACCTTGGTGTCATTGGTTAGTACCCCTCCATACTATGTGAAATTGAATTCTAATCATATTATCCACCAGGCGTTGGAGGAGTTGGCACTGCCTTCCTCTCGCAGCTTTCCCGTCTGCCCAATGCCCCCCAGCTCGTCCTCCTTGCCCGCTCCTCTCAGACCCTTCTTTCTCCCAGCCCGGCCTACTCGCCAGCCATTCCCGCCGCCGACTGGGCTACCGCTTCCGCTACACCATCCTTGACCAAGAAGGGTGCTCTCCAGGCTGAGGAGATTGCTACATACCTTGCCTCGGCCCCTGGTCGCGCCATCCTAGTCGACAACACCTCTGACATTAACCTGGCCCGCCAATATCCCACATTCCTCAAAAAGGGTGTGTCAGTCGTGACACCCAACAAGAAAGGATTCTCAGATGACCTGTCCCTGTGGAAGGACATCTTCGCTTCCGCTGCCGAGGGCAAGGCTCTCGTGTACCACGAGAGCACCGTTGGCGCTGGCCTCCCCGTGCTCTCAACCCTCAAGGACCTTGTGGCTACCGGCGACGAGGTGACCCGCATCGAGGGAGTGTTCTCCGGTACCCTCTCCTTCCTCTTCAACACCTTTGCCCCTGCCTCCGGCTCCTCCAATGCTCAGTGGAGCGCCGTCGTTGCCCAGGCTAAGGAGCTTGGCTACACCGAGCCCGATCCCCGTGATGACCTGAACGGCATGGACGTTGCGCGCAAGCTTACCATCCTGGCCCGTCTTGCTGGTCTTGAGGTTTCCCGTCCTGATTCTTTCCCCATTGAATCTCTCATTCCCGCTGAGCTCGAGTCCCTGCCTTCCTCTGCCGATGGTATCACTCAGTTCATGGCCCGTCTCCCTGAGTTCGATGCCCAGATGGCCAACATCAAGGACACTGCTGAGAAGCAGGGCAAGGTTGTCCGCTACGTTGGTAGCATTGACGTCGCTGCTAAGGCCGTCAAGGTTGGCCTGCAGTACTTCGACAAGGACAGCGCCATTGCTGGTCTTAAGGGCAGTGACAACATCATTAGCTTCTACACTAAGCGGTACGGTGCCAACCCCCTGATTGTCCAGGGTGCCGGTGCCGGTGGTGATGTTACCGCCATGGGTGTCTCCGCTGATCTGCTTAAGGTTGTTGAGCGTCTGCGTTAAATGTTAGATATCAGGGCATAAAAATATAAAGTCGAACCTTAACATTGTATATAAACAGCGGTTTCCCATTGATCTGGAGATATGCTTGTCTCAAGTCCAGCTATTCCACCTTCATAGGCTATAGCTAAGATCTCAAGTATTCCTTCAATGCTTCCCCCCACACATCACCCTTCTTATAGATATGCATTTCAGGCACATTACCCTTCCGCAAACCATCAACTGCAACTGCCATATCCTCCCCGAGACCTTCATCCCTAATCTGCCTAATCGGATACGTATAAGTATGAAAGGCAAAGACAAGCGCCTCAGACACAGGCATCCGATGCAAAGTTTGCCGTTCACACCGAAGAACGGTCTATATCCCAAAGTCAGCAGCATTCCACAACCAACAATCCACCATATGTCCTGAGAAAAGAGCAAACATACCTCATCGACATTCAATTTCCCAGGCTCAATAGCAGCCTCCTTCTTCCCAACCACAGCGTGCGTCCCACCAAAAGCAGCAAACAAATCCGTAGCAATAGTAACACTCCAATTAACCCGCCGAACAAACCTCCCAACCTCAATTCGCGCGAAGAACCGATCCATACTGCGCTCGATCTTCTCTTTATACCCGGGAACTGGTTTATGGATATCAGCCAGTCGCAGACCGAGTTTTTCGCGTGTATTGAATCCAGATGGGAAACAGGCTGCATAGGCTTGTAGGATATACTTTGGCTGTTCATTACTCTCAGGTGAGAGTTCTGGTAATAGGATTAGGAACTCTTCGTCGACGGTTTGTGTTAGAATTTCTAGAGCTTCGATTGTTGGTGTGCTTTGTGATAGGGTTGTTGGATGGATTGCGCCTGTTACTAGGTTTTCGAGGAGAGGGTTCGAGTTGCTGCTCCTTAGTTTGAACATGCTTGGGTAGCGCGTTGGTAGGTATTTGCCTAGGATGAAAGTGTACAGTTCGCTGACGGCGGTGTGAGTGCGTGGATCTTGGGTTTGCGGTTTGTCGTTGACTGCCACTACTATGTCGTGGTGTTGATTGAGGATTGATTTGCGGAGGGCTAGGCGGTCTTTGTATGTTTTGTCCATTGGAATCAGTTCTGATGGGTCAAGATTTTCGATTGCTAATAGATGTTAGTCGATATATGTTCTTGGAATCTTGGTATAGTACAATGGATGCAGAAGAAGTATAACAAAACAAGTACTCACACATGGTCAGGTTGAATTTCTCTTTGCCTTTGAATGGCCGAAATTGCAACGGCTCTGTTTTCTCCCAGTCAAACCCTTCCAGAGGTGTAATGACTGTTTCCTTCTTGTCCGATAGAACTGGTTTCGTCTTCACTGTCGCACAAGTACTACGATATTGTCGAACTCTCCATGCCGCGACACACAACCCCATAATAAGAGCACCGACAAGGTATCTTATAGAAGGCAGGGTATGCCATGATCCAACAAGATCCAGTTTGGTATATAGAATTTCCGCCATTCCTTGTAGTTCAAGACGTAGTGTGAAGTATGGATTGACGTGCCACAAAGCAACGTGACAATCTGCTTTGACACAGATTTTATAGTCTTTGCTCCTCAGTTTTACTCCGCATGGACTCCGCACTGGCAGCCAACTACAGTTGGAGCTTATCAAGAATCCTCCACTTTGAGTGGCGGAACCGTCCGCTGGTGGCCGCTTATTGACTCACAACGCCGAGTTGACTTGGCGGGGGTTGATACTCAAGATAGTTGTATCTATAGCTAGATGCAAGAGAAACAGATATGAGTATGAATAAGAATAGATTACATTGTGCGAGTATCTTTGTACAATCCTCCATGTAGTATCAGGGCGAGTATAGAAGTGCAGTCCCCGATCATGCCAGTCACAATCCTCGCAATATCAGACGATAGCAATAAGACCCCAGCGGAAGCAATAACAAGGAGAGACGCTCTCCCATGATGGTAAGCAGGTGAAACACGGACAACGCGCACAGATATGACGATAAACAGGCTAAAACTCCATGACCATGGAACCCACAGGAGTCCCAAATGCGAAGACAGAAATCAATAACAAAATCATAAGCGTCGTCACTTCGCAAAGCGGGAGAGAAACAGGTCGTCAATTCAGACTCGTGCCCCTATGTTTCAGGGCCCCATCTCCGATTGCATGTGGATTGAGTCTGACAATAGGGTTCACATTCTCCCTTCGAGACTCGTCGCGATCGTTCTCTCTCTTCGAACTCGACCCACCGCTCTGGCTACCATCACTCGCACCAGTATCGGTCTCCACCCCGCGCAATCCGAACGCCCTCCGTTGTCCATCCGGCCGTTCATTCAAGCTCGGTGCGCGAGGACGTTGTTGGCCCCGTGCGCGTCCACCAATCCAGGGGAAATCCCAGAGAATCATGCGATATAGCCATATAGCTGCATCGAGAAGGATAAGGAACGCCCAGGGGCCGATGGTGATTAGACCGAGGACGAACTGCAGAATCCGGGGTAGGTCAGCAACTGCGTCATAGAGAGTTCGGGAAAGAGAGCGGAACATACGAAAACGCGAGCGGCCCAGCTCTCCAGGTGAGTGAGCTCCTGTGGAAGGATCGAGTACCACGCCATCTGGGGATTGGGAATGCTGGGGAGTCTCGGACGACTACAGCTATATCTAGCGCGCTCTGGGTGGGGCTTTCCTTGCCTGTTTGAGGCTAGAGCCACACTTCTGTCAACCGTCATATATGTATAGCATGACATATAGCGTGACACCGGCTTTTGTATTTCGGTTTGGCCTCTTTGTTGAGCGCCTAGAAGCACGGCCCCCTTATTGAATATCTTTTAATTGGTGGTGATTACGGAACTCTCAGGAACAATCTGTCACGCAACCCTTCAGATGCTCAAGTGCAACAACGAAAAGTAGTTGAGAAGCACCCAGTCGCTCTGAAGTGGCCGATCTCTAAATAAATGAACATATATGAAGCTAATCTATAACGTATTTGGCAGTCTGCATCTACGGTCGCTTCATCTCTAAGGTTCCTATTTAGGCATAGCGTCAAGCCCAATCGAGAACGGAAGATTATTGACCCTCGATCCGAATCCTACATAGACTAACTGCATTTGTCCTAGTACGTACAGTATACTTGACTGCATAGGTCCAGTCTGCAACTTCTCTGTCTCTCTTTGTAGATTTCCTTAGATGTATATTGATCAAGATACTTGATAGCTTCCTTTTCGAGCTTAATTGGCTTGATACCATGCTCTCAAATGTTTTCATGAGCTGTAGAACAAGTGGACAAGAGGATGATCAGCATCCGGATCAACGCTCTTACATGTACACTTCCTTGGTGTCCGTGGAGGTTTACTTGAAATGTATAAGAGTATATCGGAGGGATATACCCCTGCACTAATGGTCCAAACAATACTTGCGCAACTTCGTGGCGTGGAGAGCTGAAGCGGCGAATCAGCTAGGTTAGCGTCTCCAGTCTGAAGTACGTCACCGAGCGACCTCACCTCAACGCTCCCCCCAAATCAACCGACTTCTCCGCAGCTTCTCTGCTCTTCTTTCTTCACTCTCCTCTGTAATTATCGCAGTTGCATTGTATTTGCGATCATCATCCCATTCAATCGCCGCTTTTTTTAATGAGGCACCATCCCGATACTTGACATCATCTATCCAATATGGCTACCGAAGGAATCGCCGGGCATCGCTCCTCTGTGATTCCAGGTATGTACCGTTGTCTCTTTGTCTGCTTCCTGAAGCTGCATTGGCCGAAATGTATACCGAAGTCTCAAGATTTCGTGCTAGAACGGTCTTTCTTTGCATTCGTACCTGCCCAGGTGCTCGTGCTAGATGCTGACTAAGTATTCTAGAGACCGCCCAGCTCGTCAGAAACCATTCGCATGCATTTCAGAACATGTTGAACACAACACAGACAGACAGTGCACCTGAGAGCACCGATGCACCTGAATTTACTGATACAGCAAAACCTGCTGTGAACAACGAATCCTCGGAGGCACTAAACACCGTTGCTAAAGAGACAGTGCCACTTGAGCCTGAATCCTCTGGTGTCGACGTTGCCACTGCCGTTGCCAATGATACCGGAGATACAGTAGGACCCAAGGACGAGGTACCAGTCATCGAACCGATTACTGGCGCCAAGCGTGATCTTGATACGTCTGAGGCTCCCGCTTCGACTTTGCCTACTGAGAACAAGGAAAAGGCACCTGAGCCTTCCGAAGAGCGCGATCCTAAGAAGCAGAAGACAGACGAGAAGCCAACTTCCAATGGCAATGCTGCCCCCGCTGGTTCAAAGAATGGAATCAGTGGACAAAAGAAGGAAGGTCGATCTACAAAGGAGAAGATCAAGGATGCTGTGAAGAAGGTTATTCCAGGAGAGGGGATTGGAAGCCGGACTCGCAGCCGGACAAAGGGTGCTTAGTTCTGTCTTCAGTGGCCGTTTGCCCTCTGCTGTCACATTTGATCCAATGATTGATGCATACTCATGGAACTTGTTTGTGGCTGTACACGGGCTTCACTAGGAAGATCCTAATCAAAATATCGTTGATGTCTTCACTTGTGCCAAAACAATCAAATCTCAATTAAATAAGAACGTTGCAGAGACTTAGCAGCATGATCGTAAGACACGAGATATCCGTTGCCCTAAGTTTCCCGCAAGGGGGCCGATATTCGGGCTGAGTCATTTAATCGGAACGGAACAACCACCCTCCCCCGCTATCACCGGAGGGGAAAGTGTGTGTCATTGGCAATTGCATTTATTTGCTTGACTTCTTTTATTTGCTTTTATACTTGCAACTACAATTTTACAATGTCTGGACAGAAGATTTGGCTGCGCGCTGAGACCAAGCCCGCTGAGGCGCGGTCTGCCTGTGAGTAGCTGCTACAATGGCGGGGATGATCAATGGCTAACAAGTCAATCAAGTGACTCCCACTACTTGCAAGGCATTGATGGATGCTGGGTATGATGTGACCGTTGAGCGCTCCACCCAGCGCATATTTGACGGTATGTCTCAGTTCCAATATGACCAATTCATTGGAATCAATGGCTAATTGTGCTCTCTAGATGAGGAATTCGCCAAGGTACGGCCTGCTCCTAAAAAGCGATGACCCATATCCCCACCTGAGCTCTTTCTAAATACCGTCAAATACTATAGATTGGAGCTCCTCTTGTCGAGGAAGGTTCCTGGGTCAAGGATGCGCCGAAGGACGCCGTCATTCTGGGCCTCAAGGAGCTGCCCGAGGACGACTTCCCTCTGGAGCACGTCCACGTCACTTTTGCCCACTGCTTCAAGCAGCAGGGTGGCTGGGAGAAGGTTCTGAGCCGCTGGCCTCGCGGCAAGGGCACACTGCTTGACCTGGAGTTCCTCACTGATGACTCAGGGCGTCGGGTTGCTGGTAAGAGCTCTCCAATTATTTTTGTTTTTGACTTCATTTACTAACAACTTCTTTATAACAGCCTTTGGATGGTCTGCCGGTTACGCAGGTATCTTCACATGAGAGTCGTTATTTGGAACAATACTAAGACAAGGATAGGATCTGCTTTGGCTGTGAAGAACTGGGCTTGGCAACAGACAAACCCTAACGAGTCTTTGCCTGCTGAGGTTCCCTATGCCAACCAGGACCGCCTGATCGAGTCTGTCAAGCAGTCTCTTGAGGCCGGCAAGAAGATCGCCGGCAAGGAACCCAAGATCCTTGTCATTGGAGCTGTGAGTACTCGTTTGGTCGACAAGAGATCAATATCTAACGATTCCATAGCTTGGACGCTGCGGCAGCGGCGCTGTGCAGCTGGCTCGAGATGTTGGTATCCCCGCTGAGAACATCATCGAGTGGGATATGGCAGAGACCGCTGGAGGTTTGTTACTGTCCCTATAATTGAAGTGCCAAACTAACCGTTTTCAGGTGGTCCCTTCGATGCAATCTCTCACAAGGCCGATATCTTCGTCAACTGCATCTACCTGTCCGCGAAGATTCCTCCTTTCGTGAGCCGCGAGTCCCTCTCCGAGCCTAACCGAACCTTGAGTGTTGTCTGCGACGTCAGCGCCGACACGTAAGTTGACTGATTTCGATCCAATAAGTCATAGTCATGTAGCTAATATTCTACAGCACCAACCCTCACAACCCTATTCCCATCTACGACATCACTACCACATTCGACAAGCCCACTGTGCCCGTGGACCTCCCCAAGTCCAACGGACCTCCCCTCAGTGTGATCAGCATTGATCACCTGCCCTCTCTCCTCCCCCGTGAGAGCTCTGAGATGTTCAGCACCGCTCTCCTGCCTAGCCTTCTTACCCTGAACGACCGGGCCAACGCTCGAGTCTGGAACCAGGCCGAGGAGCTCTTCGATGAGAAGGTTGCTACTCTGCCCAAGGAGTACCAGGCTTAAATCTAGGGTTTCTGGACGATGAATTTATATGATTTGATGGTACATTGATAGAATCCGATTCGGAAAAGAATACCACAAAAGTTGCATGTTCACAATTCAGCTGTAGCCCCGTAGAATCTTCTTCTAGAAGGACTGCACCTGCATGTGTCTATTTGAAATTGGTACGACAGGGTCCAAATGAACATGGATGCTTTAAATACCTGGCTCTTACCCCTTCCTGTCCCATTTGTTTTCTTCCAGAGTACCTGCATCGGGGCACCAGTCATGACCTGTCTAAAAGTCTATATACCAGAGGCCTGAGCTTATAATAACCGCCTCTTCTCAACGTGGCTCTACCCCAGACTAAGTCAACAACCCTGAAGTGCGGGGATCTCTGCGTCAGCGGATATCCGGTGAATCCGTCCGTGGCGGTCCCGCTTAACGTGCCTAGGCTAAGAATGTTGCCATTGGGCGGAAGTCGGTGTGTCGCGAAAACGAGGTCAGGAATGTGTCCTCCTGAAATGCCCTGGAGTGCCCGGAACGATCATCGGAATTTGCCCATTTCTGCGAATCGTGGAGTTTCATCTCTTTCTCCGCATGAACCGCTCCACTCCCTTTCTCCTCTCCCCGGCCGAACCCGCTCAATCCTTGCCTAAGTGAGCCTCCCGTTCTCTCAGTCCGCTCTCACCAACGACGGCCACTGGCATTGGACCTCACCTTTCACCAAATCGAGCACACTCCTAGCCACTACTCAGACCAACTCGACGATGGGGCAATGAGACAGAACCTTCCCTGCCTCGATACCTTACCAACACACGAAGCGCCGAACCCCTCCTAACCACCCACCTCGATGCAAGAGAAGCCGACGACGGTCGCCGCCTATGCGGCTGGGGCCTCACTGGCCGCCGTTGCACTATTCTACGTCTTCGGACCGAACTACACAATCGACGGAGATGAATCGAATGACAGCAATCGCAAGAAAAGCATCGTAGGCCTGTCGAACCTAGCCAATGACTGCTTCATCAATTCGGTGCTGCAAGCCCTGGCCGGACTAGGAGACCTGCGAGTCTACCTGATCCACGAACTGCACCGACGCCAACTGGATGGGCCAGAGACATACCACGCAGTGCCAAGTGATGGCGAGCTCTCCGGAGCGCGGGAGGACAAGCTGCGCGAGTTGCAGCAGGGCATAACCACGCGGGCATTGAAGGAGATGCTGGATCGGTTAAATGAACGGCCTATATATAAGAAGACGATCTCGGCGCGTGACTTTATCCAGGCTTTGGAATACGCGTTCCGCACGCGCATTAGTCGCAATCAGCAGGATGCGCAGGAGTTCTTGCAAATTGTTCTTGAGAGACTGTGTGATGAGTATCATGCTGGTGTGCGTGCACGGAAGCGAGCGCTTGGTTCTGCGTCTGCTCCTGTGACGTTGGGAGATGCGCGTGAGGGCAGTCCGCAGGAGAGCTCATCTGAGGTGGAGGTGCGCATTGATGATGGCTCCCCAAATGGCTTACCTGCTATCATTGATACCAAGCTCAAGGAGATTGACCAAGAGTCTGGATTCCCCTTCGAAGGCAAGATGGAGTCTCAGATTGAGTGTCAGTTCTGTCACTATCAATATAAGCCGAACCAGACGGCTTTTGTCAACTTGACACTGCAGGTGCCGCAGAAGAGCTCGACTACGCTCAGCTCGTGTTTCGATGGTCTTCTAAAGACTGAATATATTGAAGATTTCCGCTGCGATAAGTGTCGCATGCAGCATGCAGTGGAGGTCAAGTCCCAAGAGCTAGCCCGTGTACGAGCACAGAGCGACAAAGATCGATTGGAGCAGGAGATTGCACGCATTCATGAGGCAATGGAGACCGACCCCGAAGCCGAGCTCGAGGGGATCGTGTTTCCTCCGTCCGAGACAGTCCCTAAGCGCAGGATCGCACGGCATATGCGTATCACGGCGTTCCCCAAAGTCATCGCTATTCACCTGTCACGGTCGATCTTTGACCGGAGTAGCTCAAGCAAGAATGCCGCCAAGGTCTCGTTCCCTGAGCGGCTTCCTCTGGGCAGCATCTTGAGCCAGAAGTGGTACAAGCTGCTGGCCATTGTCTGCCACAAGGGCAGCCACCACAGTGGTCACTACGAATCCTTCCGACGCAATCATATTTACCCGCCGTTCTCCACGCCGGAGGTCTTCAGCTCCTATGCTCAAAGTCGTGCGGCCAGCGAGAACCCCTCGGCCGCAGCTAGCCCGCGTATCGCGCCACGCAGCAGCCCCGATCCCGACATCAACGGAAGCATCTCGACCACCAACTCCTCGACCTCACTCTCCGGCGCGTCAGCCTCCGCAACACGACTCACACCTCCCCTCCCGCGACCCACGACCTCCAGTTCGCGCCGTTCCATCCAGAGCACCTCCTCCAAACACGCCTCTCCCTCGGACAGTAACAGCCCAACGGCCGACCAGGGCCGCTGGAGTACATCTACATCGGTCCCGCGCCCCTCCCTGGACACCCCCACGGGGGTCAGCTCGCGACTTCGACGCCGTCGCAAGCCGATGGATCGCTGGTGGCGCATCTCTGATGAGAAGATTAAGGAATGCAAGACTTCTGATGTGCTGGGCATGCAGAGGGAAGTCTACCTCTTATTCTACGAGTTGGAGAAACCCGACCCGAGCCCTGCCGAGAGGCGTTGATCGCATCGGAGGATTGTTTTTAAGAGTATATTCCGTTCAGTTGTAAATACGGAGTCAAATCTAGAATACATGTGCGAACATTATATTCCCAATGGTAGAGAGTAGATTAGAGTAGAGTACAGAATACAGAGACACAGAATATAGTTCCCCAGGCGACAGTTGCCCAACATGTGAGACAATTGTTGAGGTGTTAGTGCCGATTAACGGTTGTTCTTTTCCGATGATGTCACCTGCAGACCAAGCTCCCCTCCTTCGAGGTCGAACTTGTTAGAAGGTGGAACCATAAGACGTTGGTTGCTGGAAATATGTAGAGTCAACTGTCAACCGGATTGAGTAGAAGTAGAAGTCCACCGGATACTGTAGTAGTAGGCCGGTTTTCAAGGTTGCTATGTGGAATTACGGCGAACGGCTTCGAATTTCCTCGGTTCCCCGCTACGAACAAAACACGGAGGGGGGGTCAATTCTTTAGCAGACAGGTGTAGATGTAGTTGTAGTTATAATAATCATAGTCGTCGTAGCTAGTGTAGAGTGATTGACTATAGTAGCTCCTTGATCAGTCTAGAAATTGTTCCGGCTAACTCAATTCCCTTATACTCATAGCTGTAGCTCAAGTCTATACACACGATGTGTATGTCGCACTCGGCAGGTCGGGCCAGAACGGAGTAAATGGAGTAGACCGGGATACAGAGCACCGGAGGGCCATACATAAAGAAGCTATTAACTCTTTGAAACTCCTGAAATCATTCTGACCTCAGTTTCCACACGCTCCACCACCGGTGAGTTTGCCTTCACCGATGACGCTCTGCCCCTCCGAACTTGCCCCTCCTATTTAAAATCTGCCCGCTTTCGTCTCTCGGTAAAGACTGCTTGACTACTTGTACTGACCATTTCCCCCTTTTCCTCTTCTCCAGATATTACTTTCTTATTTTTGTACAAACTTCATCATGGGTGTCCTTGAACAGCTTAACCGCAAGTCCGGCGTCATTGTCGGCGACGATGTTCTCCGTCTCTTCGAGTACGCTAAGGAGAAGCAGTTCGCTATCCCCGCCATCGTGAGTCCTTACCGTCAACAGATCCCAATGCGGTGTAACTAACCATCTTAGAACGTCACCTCCTCCTCCACCGTTGTCGCTTCTCTCGAAGCTGCCCGTGATCAGAACTGCCCCGTCGTTCTGCAGATCTCCCAGGGTGGTGCTGCCTACTTCGCCGGTAAGGGTGTGAGCAACACTGACCAGAAGGCCTCCATTGCTGGCTCCATCGCCGCTGCCCACTACATCCGCAGCGTCTCCCCCGCTTACGGTATCCCCGTCATCCTCCACACCGACCACTGCGCCAAGAAGCTCCTGCCTTGGCTCGATGGCATGCTCGATGAGGACGAGCGCTACTTCAAGCTCCACGGCGAGCCCCTCTTCTCCTCCCACATGATCGACCTGTCTGAGGAGCCCGTCGACTGGAACATCTCCACTACCGCCGCCTACCTGAAGCGTGCTGCCCCCATGAAGCAGTGGCTCGAGATGGTAAGTCAATTTATACAATGAAGCTTTACTCTGATCTGATGCTAATAATAATTGTAGGAGATCGGTATCACCGGTGGTGAGGAGGATGGTGTCAACAACGAGGATGTTGACAACAACTCCCTCTACACCCAGCCCGAGGACATCCTGGCCATCCACAACGCCCTCGGCGCCATCAGCCCCTACTTCTCCATTGCCGCCGGCTTCGGTAACGTCCACGGTGTCTACAAGCCCGGCAACGTCAAGCTCCACCCCGAGCTCCTCTCCAAGCACCAGAAGTACGTCGCCGAGCAGACCAAGTCCAAGTCTAGCAAGCCCGTCTTCTTCGTCTTCCACGGTGGCTCCGGCTCCTCCAAGGCCGAGTTCAAGGAGGCCATCAGCTACGGTGTCGTCAAGGTCAACGTCGACACCGACATGCAGTACGCCTACCTGACCGGTGTCCGTGACTTCGTTCTCAAGAACAAGGACTACCTCATGTCCCAGGTCGGTAACCCCGACGGTGCCGACAAGCCCAACAAGAAGTTCTTCGACCCCCGCGTCTGGGTTCGCGAGGGTGAGAAGACCATGAGCAAGCGTGTTCAGGAGGCCCTTGAGGACTTCAACACTTCTGGCCAGCTGTAAATGTTGTCGGCCTGATGTCTTTCTCTTTTCTTTGATTCCCATATCCTCTCTTCATGCTGCCAAAAAAGCGTTGGGCGCGCCTGGGGACGATGGCGTCTTGGTTGTATGTCGCGTTGTATTCTGACACGCTGTAATGAATGTCCGTACGGTCTTTGACCACTCCTTGGAATATGAAAAATTTCTGATGATAGTATATTATTGCTATGTAAACAGTAAAGTAACTCTTTCTACACATCAAGAACTTTCAGATGTGTCAGGTGAAGTCTTGTAGCTTGCATAATTGAGGCCTCCGAGGAGAGCGTGTCAGGCGGAAGTTGCCGGTGTAAGTTTCAGTACGAGTTGCATCACTTGATATTTTCCCGCATGTGAGGGGCTACTAGTAAACCCCCAAAAATAACTGTATAGAGTTTTCTACTGAAACATTCAACAAGTCTATAACGTTAGTTAACGTTAAGTTTTGGTCTAGGTTTTCATGGTGGATGCCTCAGGCGACAATGAGGTAATAGACAAAACTTCCAGGGACAAACACAACAAACGGTAACTCCAGACTCAAAATCAACTCCAACACATCAAACACACAGGGGCACACGTACTTGTACCTACATGGCTGATGTGTTACCCTGGACCCGACAATCGCAATGTTCCAGACTATCCCGTCACGAGGTGCCTGATTGGCTTGCCACTTGATACAGTGTGGCGGTCTGCCAATGATGCGAATGTGGATGGGTCGGATGGAGAGATAAAACATGTTGGAACGCCACAGGGCACGTATTAAGTTGACGCAAAGGGAGCTGATCTTAAGAGCCGTGGGAACGGTTAATTACATTGTTCAGAGACAAGAAAATCTGCCAAGTTGGAGTCCAACGGTGATCCGCAATATCGATCGGTTCTAATAATAACCAAGTCCAGACCTGTGTCCACTTTTCTTTCATTCTTGGGCTTTGCGCTTGTCTCACCTCGTTTTTTTTGGCCCAGTCTTGTCTATTCTCTGTTCTTCTTGACTTCATGCTCTAAATCCTCTTTCTCACCGGCCTCTCGTTTATGCCGGTTGACCATTCGTTTGATCTGACGCCATGGATCTGGCCTTGAAGGTCCGCGATGACGGGACTGATGAGTTCCTCAAGCTCATTCAGAATCCTTTCAAGTCTTCTGTATGTTGGATTCGCGACTGTGAGGGAATCTTCGCTAACTCATTACAGTTCACTATCACCGCCATCTGGACCTCGCTAGGTACTTCGCTTGGTGTCACTGTCCTCCTCGCCCTCCTCTTCTCCCTTGTCCGACCCCGACACTCGTTGGTTTATGCACCCAAGGTCAAGCATGCAGACCTCAAACACTCCCCACCTCCGGTGGGCAAGGGTTTCTTCTCCTGGGTGAAGCCAGTGATCAACACACGGGAAGCCGAGCTCGTCGAAACAGTTGGTCTGGACGCCGCGATCTTCCTGCGCTTTACCAAGATGTGCCGCAACATCTTTATTCTTCTCAGCATCATCGGCTGCCTTGTTATGATTCCGATCAATGTCACACAAAGCAAGGGGACAGGAGACGGGACCACCCAATCGAAATTCGCGATGATGACGCCGATCTACGTTTCTGGCACACCGACCTGGAGCCAAGTCGTATGTGCCTGGGCTTTCGATATAATCATTGCTTACTTCCTGTGGAGGAATTACCGTGCCGTGCGGAATCTGCGGAGAAAATACTTCCAGAGCTCCGAATACCAGCGCAGTCTGCATGCGCGTACTCTGATGATCACCCATATCCCCCCGGCTGATCGTACCGACGAGGGAATCCTACAACTTACCGATCAGGCGAATCCCACCGCTGCCATTCCACGTGCTGCAATTGGTCGAAATGTCAGAGATCTACCCCGGATTATCAAGGAGCACGAAGAAGCAGTCCGAGAGCTTGAGTCCGTTTTGGCAAAGTATCTCAAAAACCCTGACCGACTTCCCGCGAAGCGACCTCTTACACGCCCTGCTCGCAGCCAGCGAAGCAAATATACAGGTGGAAAGGTGGACGCCATCGATTACCTTACGGTGCGAATTCGGGTTTTGGAAGAAGAAATCAAACACGGGAGAGCGTCGATTGATCGCCGGAACGCCATGCCTTATGGTTTCGCTAGTTGGGAAAATATCGAGCATGCTCACGCCGTGGCATGGAGTGCTCGCCGCAAGCCCCCCAAGGGTACCGTTATCAGTCTTGCACCCCGGCCTAGCGATCTCATTTGGGAGAACCTGCCTCTTTCGAAGGGAGCACGCAAGTGGAAGCGATTCATGACTTTCATCTGGGTTACATGCTTGACATTCTTGTGGGTTGTTCCTAACGGTCTAATTGCCATCTTCTTAGCCAACTTGCACAATTTGGGTCTTGTGTGGCCGGATTTCCAGACTTCGATGAACGCAAACCCGAACGTGTGGGGTGCTGTTCAGGGTATTGCCTCACCCGCGCTTACTTCGCTGGTTTATCTCGTGCTTCCGATCATTTTCCGTCGTCTTTCTATCAAGGGAGGTAGCAAGACCAAAACATCCCGTGAACGTCACGTCCTGGGTCACCTTTATGCCTTCTTCGTGTTCAACAATCTGATTGTCTTCTCGCTCTTCTCGGCTGCTTGGACTTTTGTGGCTACCGTCGTTGAAAAGACCAACACCGATAATGAAAATGCTTGGCAAGCCATCATTGATAGCCGGTTTTATGCTACACTGATCACTGCGCTCTGCAATGTTTCGCCGTTCTGGGTGACCTATCTTTTGCAGCGAAACCTTGGTGCTGCTATTGATCTCGTACAGCTCGTCAACATGGTCTGGGTCTGGTTTGCTAGGACGTTCCTTTCGCCGACACCTCGGCAGTCCATTGAATGGACTGCGCCTCCGCCGTTCGACTATGCCAGCTACTACAACTACTTCCTCTTCTACGCTACTGTTGCTCTCTGTTATGCAACTCTGCAGCCAATTGTGTTGCCTGTGACAGCCTTGTACTTTGGCGTTGACGCCATGCTGAAGAAGTACCTACTGATGTACGTCTTTGTTACCAAGAACGAATCCGGTGGTTTATACTGGCGAGTTTTGTTCAATCGCGTGGTCTTCGCCACCATCCTCGCCAACGTTATCATCGCTCTCGTTGCCAAGTCCAACGGCACCTGGACCATGGTGTTCTGCGTCGTTCCCCTGCCTTTCCTCATGATCGGTTTCAAGATCTACTGCATGAAGACCTTTGATGCCGACATCGAGTACTACAACCGCGCCAATCTAACTGACGCCGAGGCATTGGGCGTGGGCAAGTCCAGCAAGAAGGCAGCCGAACGTCTCAGCTCTAAATTCGGCCATCCAGCCCTGTACAAACCTCTTATGACCCCAATGGTCCACGCCAAGGCCGCCGAAGCCCTGAAAGAAATCTATCAAGGCCGCCTCGACCAAGGCGACACAGCAGGGGAATACTCAGACATAGCCCTGAACCCAATGCTATCCTCGCAACCAGGCAAATCCGCCGAACCAGCGCCCTTCGAAGTCGTCCCGGAGAACCACCTCGACTTCTCCTACTTCAAAGACCGCGCCGACTTCCGCGACGAATTCGGCGGCGGCATCTACGGCCGCCCAGAAGACCTCATGACAGAACGCTCCCAAACCCCGCGCTCAACCCTAGGCGGCGAATGGTCCCCCAGCTCCTCCCGCGCCTCCTCGCCAGCCCCCTCCCTCCCCTCAATCACCCCCCTCAAATTACACGAGGGCCATGTACCCTCCGATCCCACAGGCCTCATCCACCCGGCCTTCCGCGTTCCACTCTCCCGAGGCGACAGTGGCACTTCCGTGCCGGGCGTGTATACCCCTATGGACGAGAGCGAGTCTCATCTTCTCAGTCATGCCCAGACGCCTGCGCAGACGGATGCCAACCCGCTGGATCGGTGGCGTACCCGTGGCTATGGGCCTGTCGAGCAGGAGGACGAGCCTTCGTTTACTTCTTATGAGGCGTACCGTTCTCAGCGGTAACGCAAGTTTGTGACTATGTGCATGTCAAGAAATATTGCTATAGACATTTTGGGTTTTTGGATTTACTTTTTGGCGACTGGATTAGCGGTGTGTTTCTTTTTTCTTATACACGAAGGTCACGATTCATTCCCTTGGTACCCGCTTGACTGGTCATATGTTTGGTTATAGTATGGATATAGATCCGCTTGTATTTTGGCATCTTATGTATATCATTGTCTACATTATCAAGCTTGATTCTCATTTAGATAATTGATTTTATCTTTTCCAGCTCCGTGCTTGTAGTTCTTGGCACTTGCGATCTCGCTATATAGTAGTATTATGTCTACCAAAATGCCGTTTCATTATCCTAGGTAGATAGATACACACTTTCTATTAGGTCTACACAGGCTGAGGTTTGCTAAATACCAACAAAATCCGAACCCTCTCTGGAATATTTCCGCGTCTGGGGTGTATAAAGAACCTTCATGCCCATATAGAATCTTCCTTCGCGCGTATCCGCATCATGAGCACTTAGCCCTAACTCTATCTCTCTAACTATATATAATCACCCAAGGGGTGCTGTGAGATATCTAAATGGACACCCAGGTATATTCTCTCAATATATCCCCGTACCCCATCTCCGCCCTATACTCCCGTTCTAAACACTGTATACAAAGGGGGTACGATCAAATTCCCCCACGGAATGTCTCTCCAACGATGGCACTAATCCAATCAAAAGCCGTCGGTATCTCGTCTTCATTCTTGAATGAAGCAACAAAACCCTTGCAAGTATAGCAGCTGGCGATATCGCTGTCGAGTTGTGCCATGCTCGGTGACCTCCCACCTCTTTGGTGCGCAAAGTCAGCAAACATGGATGGATGTGGATATGGTGCCTGGTGTGGGGAGATTCCGCTGTTATATTGGAAGTTTGCATCCAGACTAGCTGTGCACCCTCAAGAGGAGAGGGTTTACTATCTAGAAATGGGCATTCTGGTTTTTGGTTGCCCAGTGAATTGAATCAGAGAACAACAAATCGAATATAGAAAAATGTTGGACCTGCCCCGGGTTCACGTTTGTATTGGACTCTTCGGCTGAGTTGACATGTAGATTGGGTCTAGAGAATAAGGGACGACATGATATAGGGAGGAATGTGTGTATTTTGAACTACGTATGCGAGTATTGATCTGAGCGTGATGGAACTAGCTTAATGTAGATTGTTACTGGAAATTGCGGGGAAGGAAGGAGGCTGTGATGCCATTTTATTGTATTCAATTGCGATGCTGGTTTCCTGCTTGTACACATTCGGTCATATAATATCACAATCTGTCTTTTTACAATTCCACCACTTTGTATCTCATATATCAGCAAAGACTGCATAGAGACCTGGCAGAACGGAGTAGATGGCTATCCTTCTGATGGCGCAATGAGGTTGGCATAGCAGCGGTGAGAAGATCATCAAGGCTGCATGGTATTCCGGAGCGGGGAGGCCGATCACAAATTTGATCGCTCAGATCGCCAATCCACTGTGCAGTGTGATGCACAAATGTGGGAGCGAGTTGAGGACATGGCGGTGTATCACTCGGTGATTGTAACGTGTAGAGACGCAGGGACTATAGACGTATCCGCTAGGGGTATATGCTTGCGCAAGGGTATGAGATTCGTTCAGTCGTTAAGGTAAGGGTATCATGTAAAGTTCCAGTTCAAGCGGGCGAGATGTTCCTCTTCAGATAGGTGCGTATCAGATCTCTCGGTGGCTGTTGGCGCTGGCTTCTCCGGCAGCAAAGCTGAAATATTCTGCTCCAGGCGGGAGATATCACGGTATCTCTTTCGTTCGACGAGAACTCGAAGTGCTTCGGTACCAATCTCGAAGAATGCGTCTCTTCTGGCCTCGTTCCACGCTTGGAACTTAATTGGTGACAGATTCTCCACGAATTGGAGGAATGGACGGGAATCGGGGTTTGTGGGATGACAGACGGCCACCGATGCCACCAACAAAGATCGGGGAGATAGCACGGAGACCACGTCCTTGAAATGGTCATATACTGCCTCTGATACCTCATCTCTTATTGGCTTTTGCTCCACGGCCATACGGCTTAGGTGAGCAGCTGCAGCCAGGAGCATTGGTTTCCTCGACTTGTGGGAACATGTGCTTTGGAAATGCATCTGGCATACACGCAGGTAAGTTGCAATTGCGGAGCCAAATCCGTTACCGGTGTGTAATTCTGCATCGACAAGATCGACGAGAAGATGACTGAAGGTCTGCCTGGCGAGCCCTTCGGTCATCTTACCGTTTTTGCTACCTAGGTCATTGCTCATGAGTGTCTCCAGCCACTTCAAAGCAGTGCTATGCAGTCCCTCTGCAACCATAAATTTGGTCAACGAGATTGTTGCTGACCGGGTACGGAGAAGTGACTGTCGGGAAGCACCATCTGACGCCCAGTACCAATTCACGATTCTCCCCGCAGCTCGGGACGCTTTCATATCTTCCGGGGACCTGGCAAGAAGAAGCTGGGATTTGAGACAATCATTGATGGTGGCTGCAGTGGCAGAACCAGCGGCAGCGAGTTCGTCAAAAACCACCATGGGTTCTTCCGAGAGCCGTCGCTGTCCCTCTATGCTCCGCAACACCGCGGCTTCCGGAGGACTGGTTTTGGCGGGGACTATCCGGAATAGAGGGTTGTCGAGGATATTCTGCAGATGCAAGTCGGTTGCATGTGCCGATGATTCGGGGTTTGGAAGAGGTCGGTCATTGCTGACTGCGGGATAGGCCCGGTCTAACTGACGACGGAAGGACGATGTGAGAGCATTGAGAAGCTGCTGAGACTCTCGTGGAGTCCGTGGCAATGGCTGATGGATCTTAGGCCAAGACTTGAACTGAAAAATCGAGGTGCCCTTCATGTTGACGGTGGGCTTTACAGAGATGGATGGTATGATGAAAGCATAAAGAAGTCAGGTCTCCAGGGCGGTGAGAGCCACCAGATGCATGACGAGTAGAAGAACACCAGTCGAACAGTTCAATATGCGAATAGTAGGCCAAATTGGACAGATCAATTAGCCCAAATCAATTTATATAGTCTGTTACATCTCCACTAATATATAGCACTATCCATCTCTCGTAGCCTCAACCCCATGTTCTCTACGCCCCCAGGCACCCAATAAGCGCCACTCGCTAAAAGCCAGGCAGCGCCAAGACCTGAGGGAGCAACTCAGATTCCGTTAGCTTTTGATCCTTCCTTCAACTCCATCTCCTGCGCTTTTCTCCCTCAACTCTTTTGTTTCATTTTCCTGTCTATCTCGGCCCCGTGCCTGTGGTCCTGGTGCTGATCCTCTCTTCTGCGAGGGTGCATCCCCATTATACTTTCCTCCCTTCGAACGAACTCCATCGTGACCTCCTACCCAATTCCGACCTCTTCATCACATTCATCTACCAATATGTCCGAAATTCAGAACCGGTCCTCCGCTTCGCGGGGCAGAGTATCCGCCCGTGGCGGCCGTGGCGGCTTCAGCTCCAGAGGTGGTCGTGGTGGAAGCAGCAGATCTGCAAACGATAACTCAGACGTCTCATCCTTCGAGGAAGGCGAAATTGGACAGATGAAGAAGAAGTACTCCGACACTCTGCCTATGCTTAAGGAAATGTTCCCCGACTGGAAGGACGAAGATCTGGTCTTTGCTCTGGAAGATTCGAACGGCGAGCTCTTGGAAGCAATTGAGCGCATTAGTGAAGGTCGAGCCCCCGTTGCCCTAAATCTCCCAATTGACTCGAGATTTCCGACTATCTTGATTCAAGGACCCATAACTGACGAGCCGTGCAGGTAATGTGTCTCAGTGGGGCAAGGTTGAGAAGAAGACCGCAGACCGGACTCGCCCTAAGCCCAAGGAGGCTCAGAACCCCCCGACCGAAACGAATGCAGCTTCGGCCCGTGCTACGCGTGGCCGTGGTGGACTAGAGACTCGTGGTGGTCGTGTTCGCGCAGACCGGGGCCGTGGCGGTCGCGGTGGCCGTGCTGGAGCTGGAGCTGCTACGAACGGAACTCGCCCTGTGGCTAGTGCTGTAGAGACTTCCGCGCCCGCTCCTACAACTGCTACTACATCTGCATGGGACACGCCCAAGACGGAGGAGAACAACGCAGAGGCTTCAACCGGTGGGGCATGGGGGTCCACCGAGTCGCCTGAAACCCAGAGCAGTGTGATCCCGGAGGGAACAAAGAAGGGGTGGGCTAGTCTCTTCGCCAAACCAGCCCCTCCTCCGCCTCAGAAGAAGCCTCAGCCTGCTGCCCCTGCTCCTGCTTCCGAGCAGCCTGCCGAGCCCGTCGCTGAACCATCCGTTCCTGCTCCTGCCCCCGCTCCCGAACCTGCTCCAGTGCCCGCCGCTTCGCAGAAGACCCCCGTCGCAAAGCCCACTCAACCCGTCATTCCCGCCGTTCCTAACACCTCTGCCAACCAGCTCAAGAACGACTTGACTGAGACCAACCTCGAACGTATTCCCGATGTGTCCGCTCCCGCTCCCACTGCGACCGCCGCCAGCACCGTTGGCAGTGGTATCGACCCCGCTGCTGCTGCCGCCGCCGCTACACCCTCCCGTTTCTCCTCTTCTGCCTATCCTCCTAGCGCTACCAAGCAGGGCCGTACCCCTGGTCTCCAACGCCGTGTCATGGAGCAGCAGCAGGCTGTCGTCATGCCCGGTAACCACGCTGTGGACCGTGCTGCTGTTCAGTTCGGTAGCATGGGCTTGAACGGCGACGCAGTTGACATTGATGACAACCGCGAGGAGGCTGAGACCCGCGCTCAGCCCCCTCAACACTCCCCCGTTGCTCCTCGTGCCTCCCTCCCTCCCACCCAGGGTCCTCCCTCCATGGAGACTGGTGCTGCTGGGCGCCCCGCCCCTGGCCTGCCTCCGGTCCCCCAGGCCTCTACCGCCGACTCCTTCAACGACTTTGCCCGTTACTCTGAGCCTCAGCAGAAGCCCTTCGACCCCTTCACCCAGCAGGTCACCCAGCCCCAGCCTCAGATCCCTGAGCCTTTCGCCAACCAGGCCCAGGCTCCTGTCCAGCCTACCGCTACTACTGGTAGCGAGTACTCTCCCTTCTACGCCGCCGACCAGCAGCGTTTCCCCTACAACTACTACGGCAGCTACGGCCAGACCCAGGATGCCCCCGCCGGACCCCGCGCTGGAGCCGGATTCGGTGTCTCTGGTGCCGAAGCCCAGCCCCAGATCCCTACCACGCAGCCTCCAAGCCGCTACGGCCCTGTCGATGCCAACAACAGCGGACACAACACCCCCAATCCTACTCTCCCCGCCACGCAGCAAACCCCCACTGCTCAGCACATGCCTGGCCAGACCGCTCAGCACGGTTATGGTGGCTATGGCTACCCCTACTACAACAATCCCCACTACGCTTCGTACATGAACCAGATGACGCAGCAGCAGTACGGCCGCAATCGTCCCATGTATGATGATGCCCGCCGCTACGAAGACCACTATATGCAGCAGCAACAACAACAGCAGCAGCAGCAGCACAACTCGCAGTACTACGGCAGCCAGTACGGTCCATATGCTGGCAAGGGTGGCATGTACGGTCAGCCCCACGCTGGCTTCTCCTACGACCAACACTCTTCTTCCCCCGCCAACGCCGGTAGCTTTGCCCAGGCTGTTCCCGGCCGTGACTCCGTCTACGGCCGTACCGGCTCTGCTCAGCCTTCCGACAGCCAGCAATCTGCCACCGGCTCTAACGCCTTCGGCACCGGAATGTCTGATGTCTTCGGCCGCTCTCAGGGTAGCTTCGGCCAGAACCCTCCCATCGCCGGACAGGCCCCCGTGGCTACCGACGAGACCAAGGGCTTCGAAGCCCCCAAGGCCGGTGGACCTAGCCCGTCCCTCGCCCAGAACCGCCCCGGGTCTGCTACCAACAGCGTCCCCGGACAGCCCCAGGCTCAGAGCGGTATCCCCCCTCTCCAGGGTCAGCAGACTCAGGCCTTCGGCAGCTACCCTCAGCTGAACCCCCAGTACGGTGGACTCGGTGGACTCGGTGCCCACCAGGGCGCAGCCACTCAGGGCCACCAGGCTACTGGCTACGGCAGCTACGGTGCCGGCTTTGCTAACTACTATGGCAACTCCAACAACCGTGGCGGCTGGGGTGGCAACTACGGCCACTAAAAAGATGAAAGAAGAAACGAAAGGGGAGACATAATGACCCACCAAACACATATGGCGTTGCATTTGCGGGTGATTTGAAAAGGGTATGGTTTTTGTCTACATTACCAGGGTAAAACACATGTCTTGTCAAAGGCCATGACAGACAGAACCCAGAACATTTTCTCATCATCTTTCTCTCTTCAGCTGTGTAATCTCTACTCTCTTGGGGAGCTTGGCCGGTTTTTATTTGATTTTGGGGGACTGTTCCGTTTTGTTTTGTTTTTATTTTTATTTTTATTGTTCAGTTGCTTTCTCATTTTGCTCTGCTCTCTTCTGATGGGCCTGTATTAAATTCACCCCTTCTCCTCTAGGTTTATTTACTTTTCCTTTTCTCTCTACCTAGGTAGTCGGTGTCTGTGTCTCTTCGGGTCTGGTGTGTCACTTGTTCTGCGGACGGTTCTACTTGCTCTCTTTTTTTTTCTTTTTCTTTTTTCTTTTTACGCTTCCTCCTTCTGTGTCTGTTTCTTTTCTCCCCCACACCTTGTGCAATATCGGTCTATGATTATGATGGCTCAATGGGTCTGGTAGAGGTAGATCCAATGCTCAGTTGCGTTCTGGGCTAAAAGTGTGATGATTTATGTATGTCCTGTACGACCAGTATGGAACCTCATATGGAGAAATCTGGCTTTATATCCTGTAGACTATGTAGTCTACCAACAATCTATTTGAATGTACCGATCCCTATCTATCCTAGTCTCCATATAACATAACCGAAGATACCATATCATTAGATGGAAAGGTTGAGCCACCAATCCCAAGCATATAAGCAAGTAAACGGCTTCAACCCGGACCGGAAACTATATACAATCGAAATGCAACATGAAACGGTACAGGACAATAGAAATCCAGGAAGCCAACTCTATGTGGGGCCCAGAATCTATTCAGATGAGTGAGTTGAACAATCTACTCAGTAAGACCCAGACCCTCAGGGCCAACCTTGTGGTAAGGCGGCTGGGCACCCTCAGCCTTCTTAGGATCAAAGCGCCAAATACCGCCAGTCTTGTCAGTCTCGAAAACAAGATCGGCATCCTTAGCCAGACTCTGGATCTGGGCATCGTCGCTCTCAATACGGTTGAAGAAGCGGCGCTCCCACTCGCGACCCTCCTCCTTCTCAACGCGGCGAAGTTCACGTTGTGCGTTCTCAATGCACGACTTGTACCCTGAGACAGCGTCCATATCGCCCTTTTGGATGTTCGTGGCTACGTCGCTCCAGGCGCGGCGGCTCTCGTACAAATCTTGTTGCTCGAGCGGTGCCAGGGTGAGCGGGGTGGTCTGGTTATCCTTGGCAGACCAGCTGTCAATGACTTCCTTGGAGCGGGCGTCCTTGATGTTAAACTTGTCGGACCACTGGCCATCTACCGTGTACAGGGGCTTCTTCTCGCCCTCGGCGGTCTTGTACAGGCTCGCGGTGAAGGTGTTCTTCTTGCCGCTCAACCAGCCCTTGCCGGAGAAGTCGATCTTGGCGGTGTAGCCGCTGCTGCTGACGATCTTGGATGACTTCTCCAGCTCGACGAATGGAGAGCCGTAGATTAGGGATTCGATGTGCAGGTTTGGTAGCGTGATCAGGTATATTTCCTTCTCCTGGGATCCCGATGGGGTGAGCGAGTATAGGGCATGGCCGATCTGCTTCACGAGGATGGTGCTTGAGAAGGAGGCCTTTTGCGCGTTGTAGCCTTGGAGCTGCGTGTTGTTAGCATGGAATAGGGTTACGGCGGTACAATGTTTATCCACTGACCTCGACTCCGTGTTTCTCGTTCCTGATCGCATAGGCAGTGGCGGGAGGGTGGTGGCTGCGACTGTTAGCAGTTGACTAGCTTATTGGAGTGGTCCCGCATACCTGACTTGCTCACTGATCAGAGCAGTCTCCCCCACATCCGCGCCTCCCTCCCATTTACCAATGAAGAGCTCACCCAGGAACGGGTTCAAGGGCTTCTTCTCACTGCCGAGCTTCTCGCTACGGCTGCAGTACTGCTGGTGCAGGGTGCTCAGGAACCACTTGAGGACCAAGAGAGCACGCTTCTCCGGGTCGGCTTCCTTAGCAGGGGCCACGAAGACATCTGGGTGTTCAGCCCAGTAGGCAGAGTACTCGGTGAGGGAGGTAGTTGACAGGATAAAGGGCGGAGCAGTCAACGAGGATAGATCACCGTTGAACGAGGCGATCGACTGGGAATCTGTTAGCCTGGAGTAGACTTGGCAAGTGACGGAAGCGTGCCTTGAGGAAACTTGTCCATGAGCCCTTGCTGTGGGCGGGAACCTGGCTTTGAGAGGACATCTTGCGTGGATATGGAGTCAAATACAAAAAAAGACAGATCGAGGGTGGGGGGAGGGAGGTCGTTGGCGGTCAGAAGCGGATAACGTCATGATCAGGGGTCGATCATGAACAGCCACACTCAATGTAGAGTTGAAGATGACGACGCTCGATCTATTTATGCATTTTACAACGCATATGTCAGGTCTGTCAACTATGACGGTCAACTATAACTGTTAAATGTCAGTCCTGTCAACTGCCAACTTGCCCACTTATCACGCATATACACACTTTCTTTAGTGGACCACCCGGCCACTATATCACTAGGGCCTGATAGAGCACTTGGCTCCTGAAACCTGTCAAATGCTTCTGGGAATAGTCTTTTTCTTCTACCAAGCTACGTGTAAGTACCAAATTTCCGACGGGACGGATTCTTTTCCGCCCCCAGCCCTGCTCGGCTGCTCCCCCGGTGTTCTCCCCGAATCACAAGTGGCCGATGGACCCCTCAAAAGAGAAAGCAAGTTCTCTGTTTGGACAAGAAGGCAATGTACGGCTAAAGGTCCGCCGATCTCGCAGAGATAAAGCAATTGGTTTTGCATTTTCGCTCTGACTCACGCTACAGCTGTGAAATGTGCTTTTACTGTATACAATTCTCTCTTCCTTTTCATAGTTCTTCAACCCATTTTCAATTCAATTGAACATTCTCGTGGATAAAATCCCCGAGCATAACCTCGGAAAGCTTCCGAGAGTGAATACTTCCAAAATTTTCAGCCTTAAATGGGCATCGTGAGAGGTCAAGCCTGGTTGCCCATAAGATAGCGAGTGCTCGTTGACCACCAGACACCCAACATGCCTCCAACATCCCATGCCTCCAGTGACGATGGATCGGAGAACGAAGAACATATTCAAAGGTGTCAGTCGCAGCGTGAAGCAGATCCAACCAGTCTCAACCATGTCCGGAGCCATGTCTCTCACCATGATATGCCGGCGACAGATGAATTTCATGAAGTCGACGCAGAACAATATCTCCGCTTCTCACCAGCTCGCAAGGTTGTCATCGTTGCTATCCTCTCCTTCTGCTCTTTCCTAGCACCCATCTCATCGACCTCTATCCTCGCCGGTGTTCCTGAAGTGGCAAAAACATACAACACCACCGGCAGTGTAATCAACGCCAGCAATGCCCTGTACATGGCTTTTATGGGTATTGCAGCACCTTTCTGGGGCCCCTTCAGTCAAGTCTGGGGACGACGTCCAGTAGGTTATGCAACCATCTGCCAGGAATACATTCTAACTAATTGTACTTAGATCTTCTTCATAAGTGCTTTGCTCTTCTTTGCTTTCAGCATCGGCACCGCTCTAGCCCCCAACTTACCAGCATATTACATCTTCCGCGTCCTCACTGCCTTCCAAGGAACATCCTTCTTGGTAGTTGGAAGTTCCGCTCTAGGCGATATCTACGAGCCGCGTGCTCGTGCAACAGCCCTAGGCTGGTTCCTATCAGGAACCCTAATTGGACCAGCTTTTGGTCCGTTCATTGGCGTATGCATACATCCATTCCCTCCTTTCGACGCAGCTGTATAAAATAATAACCTTGCACGTAGGGAGTGATCGTCACATTCCGCTCCTGGCGAGATATATTCTGGCTCCAAACCGCACTAGGAGGCTTCGGCACCGCACTCGTATTCTTCTTCTTCCCAGAAACATACCCCCATCTAACGAAAAACGACCTATCCGAACGAACAACACTCCAAAAAGCCAAATTCCTCTGGCATCGCATTTCCCCACTCCGCGTCGCCGTCATGCTCTTCACATATCCAACCCTTTTCTGCACAGGCCTCGGGGCTGGTGCTCTAGTGTGGAACCAGTATTCCCTCCTCACGCCTATCCGCTATGTTTTGAATCCTCGCTTCCATCTTACAAGTCCCATCCAATCTGGTCTTTTCTATATTGCTCCTGGATGTGGATATCTAGTTGGGACCTTCATGGGTGGGAGATGGGCGGATCATACAGTTAAGAAATGGATCCGCAAGCGTGGTGGAGTTCGTGTACCCGAAGATCGACTTAGGTCGTGTTTGTTCTTCCTTGGTGGTGTTGTGCCTGGCTCTATCTTGATCTATGGTTGGACGGTCGAGAAGGCTGTTGGTGGTATTCCGGTTCCCGTGCTGGCGATGTTTTTCCAAGGTGTTGCGCAGCTGTTCTGCTTTCCTAGTCTCAATACTTATTCTTTGGATGTCATGCAGTCTAGTGGGAGGAGTGCGGAGGTCGTTGCTGGGAGTTATATGTTCCGGTATTTCTTTGGTGCGCTTGGGTCTGGGCTTGTTCTTCCTGCTGTTGAGGCCATGGGGGTTGGATGGTTTAGTACCATCAGTGCCCTGTTTCTGTTTTGTTCTGGGGTTGGTGTCTGGCTTACGACAATCTTTGGTGACCAGTGGCGGGACAAGATTGAAAAGAAGGAACTGCGCAAGGCTGAGAAACATGCTGAAGCTACGCAGCAGGATTCTGAAAAATGTGAGACAGCGGCTTGAATCTTATTGATCCGCCGATAATCTAATGATAGAACGATTAAGTATAGAATATCAGTTGAATCATTGAAAAATGTATCTACTCGCTATTTCGTACTCAAAGCTTCAATTCTCCAAAGCCGAACTCCTCGCGTTCCCATTGCCCAATTCGGGAGCATCTCCAATAATAACAGTTTGCTTCCCCTTTGCAATAGCGTCGGCATCTAGTCCACTTTCTGCCACCACGCGGTCCATCTTGCGCTGCTCGGTAAACTTCCGACAGTCTTCTCGGCCTTTCTCGATATTCACAAAGCAGATAGTAATCATAGCCCCAGCGCAGATTGCAAAGAGAAATGGGAAACCCATCCAATTGTTACGGGTATTGTTGATGATGGCCTGGATGACATTGGGACCGATGATTGAAGACTGTATGATGAATTAGACTAGTAGACAGAAAATAAGTAGGTTACTTACAGCCCGATTGGTGATCCCAAAGAGAGCAAAGAACATATTGTCGTAGCCGCGAGGCATGAGCTCACTAATCATTGTTTGAGCGTACTACTGTACTGTTAGAAACAGACACTGAATACGAGTTGCATACAAGAATAGACATACCGCGTAGTATGGAGCTTGGAAGAGTCCGAAAATGACGTTGTAGAAATAGAATTCCCACTGCAATTTTGTCAGTGATACGATCTTGTTGATTCCATGTTGATACATACTCTATTATGATATCCGATGCGAGTAGTCCACAATCCTATCATACCCCAAAGTGGAATGAGAACGCTGAAGAAATTGGTGAACAAGAACATGGTCTTTGTTTTGAACTTGAAGTATCGCTGTATATACCAAAAGCCGAGGGTGGATGTGATTGAACAGACAGCTTGCGTGATGCCGAGATAGGTGATCTGTAGAAATGAAAATGAAAAATAGTCATTTTGGATGATGCTGACGAGGGTACCTGAGATATATTAGCGAGCATCGTTCAATAGGAATCTAGGTATCACGAACCAGTTGTGTTTAAGCCGTCTGCAAGTAAGAAGTAGGCGAAAAAGTACAGAAATGTTTGGGGAAGGGATCTGATCTCTCGAACGGCGAGCCATATCTGCTTGAATCCGATAGTTGCGTAGTTTGAGCCTTTGGGGATCTTTGGACCCGATCGTTTTTGTTGGAAGATGAACCACCAGATGCCAAGAACGACCCAATCTATAAGATGTTAGATAACGTTGTGATGAGCCCAAGCCCAACGAGTACGAAAATACTCACATGAATTGGTAAGACAGAGTGCTAGGTTATTCGAGTAAGTGTTGTTTTGTAGAGGAAGTAGGACACTCAGATTGAGGACGAGTGTGAGCAGGTATCCAATGTTACTGTGCGCAGTGGATATGTTGCTGAACAGAATTAGTGTCAACGCAACCAAAAGCACCACACATGCATCTCACCTAATATGATTCCTCTCCAAAGACTCAATGGCATCATATTCCTCCTGGTCGATCTTTCCCTCTCTCAAATCCTCCTCCCTAGCTTTACGCACATGTGGCGTATACCGAGCCAGGCGAGGAAAGACAGCAGCATAGAAGACCAGCGTCGCGCCGTAAGAAACATACGCCACAACATACATTGCCATCGCTGCAGGCCACTGACTTGGTTGCCGGATAGCCATCATGCCGTATTGCAATGCCCAACAAACTACCGTCAATGCCAAGAGAAGCCATCGACCAAATGTGCCATAGTCCGCAGCACTCCCAAGCCACACGAATATCACGGTCATGAATGCGAAGCAGAGACCATTTGCGATGAGCACCACCGAGGATACGGATCGCGTGCCTCCTGCCCATGGGACAACACATGCGGATGAATCGCTGCAAGGCTTTGGCGGATTCGTGTCCGGTTGATGTCCGGCTCCATTCAGGGCCCATTGGAAGCTTTGGATGTTAGTGGAGGTACTGCCGTGGTATCAATGTACTTACAGGGCTTGGCTGTATGATCCCGGGCCAACGCCATTATCGCCTGTAAGATTTGTCAAGTCAGTCTCTCATACTCATCCGACGAAAGGCTCCGCACCGTTGTAGTAGAGATAGTAGGACCATAGTTCCTTCCTGGTGGTCGTTGGCTGTTCGTATGCGTCCTCGTCAACCCCGAATAGCCGTTCATACTCCTCCAGTGTTGGATGGGGCTGTGCGGTTATCTTGACTCCATCGTCTTTCGCGGCATGCTCTCTCTGGGCAGTATGTATGTCTTCCATGGTGGTTGACAAGGTTATAATTGCGGCTGGGTCATAGAATAACACTGGAAGGTCACCAAGATTACCCCGCATTCCATCTCTCTTATCTTTGCATGTTCGAATATCCCTGTATTCTCAGCTTTTATAGGACTACGCTTAGACTTGATAACAGCCATTAGGTCGAAGATTACCAGGTAATCATACCTGGAAATTCTCCACACTACGCCAATAAGAGCGCTATACTATCTCTCATTCAACTCTAGTCCTTTTTTCTTTTTCTGGTCCGAGTCTGTCGAGATATAAAAGAGCGAGAGGAAGGAAAGGTCTGCTTCTCTGCCACTATCGCCGGCTACCCCGCATCATAGCCCGGGAGGTTACCTCAACCTCAATGCTACGCTGCTGTACTCCCTCTTGATAATTGAAGATCCCACGAGTTTTGTCTAGCCGAGGCGAGTTGGTTGATCAATGAAACGTTGCCTCGACACGAGTGTGGACCCGGGCTGATCATCAATCCCTTCTCACTCCCCCAGTGGACTCCGAGTCTCTGAACCGCTTACTGTTTACAGACCCAGCCGGCAAAATGGCTTCGGATCTTCTCCAGAAGCAGATTGGCCAGGTAGGATAAGCTCATGATATTCCCATTTCGCATCTCAATCTAACGATCGCAGCTCTTCGCGGTGGGGTTCCATGGCTGCACCCCAAGTCCTGAAATCAAAACTTTGATCCGCGACTACCACGTTGGCGGCATTGTTCTTTTCTCACGCAACTTTGATGATGCAGTACAGCTTCAGGTGCGACTGATATCGGCCTACATCAAGGATGTCTATACTAATTTCTTGTATAGGCTTTGACGCTCGCTTTACAACAGGAAGCCAAATCAGCCGGGCATGAGCGACCGCTGTTTATCGGCATTGACCAGGAGAATGGGCTCGTCACCCGAATTTCTCCCCCGATCGCTGCACAAGTCCCTGGGCCTATGGCCTTAGGCGCAACGCACGACCCGGAGTGTGCCTACAGTGCGGGGAAAGCCACTGGGGAAACCTTGAGTTTCTTCGGCATCAACATGAACTACGCACCGGTCGGAGACATCAACTCAGAACCTCTTAATCCTGTTGTTGGCGTGCGCAGCCCTGGCGATGATCCTGAATTCGTCGGACGCTTCGCGAGCGCGGCCGCGCGGGGTTTGCGGGAACAGAACATCATTCCCAGCATCAAGCATTTCCCGGGCCATGGCGACACGGCTGTCGACTCGCATTATGGGCTGCCTGTCATCCCGAAGACTAGAGATCAGCTGGAGCGTTGTGAGCTGATTCCATTCCGGCGGGCTGTGGCCGAGGGAATAGAGACGGTCATGACTGCTCATATCTCATTGCCTTGTATCGATCTGACCCGCCCTGCAACACTCTCGCCGAATGCCATGGGTATTCTGCGAAAGGATATGGGCTACGACGGCATGATTATTACAGATTGCTTGGAAATGGATGGTATTCGGTCCACTTATGGCACGGAAGAAGGTTCAGTGCTGGCCCTGCGCGCTGGCAGTGATAGTATTATGATTTGTCATACCTACGAGGTGCAGATTGCTTCAATCAAGAGAGTCTGCGAAGCTGTGGAAAACGGCACAATTGAGCAATCACGACTGGCGGATGCTTGTCGCCATGTTGCTACCGTGAAAGACAAGTTCTTAAATTGGGATACAGCACTGAGACAAAACAACCTTGGGGAGCTCAGTTTGCTCAACACAAAAATCACCGAGACAACCATGGACATATACTCTCGGTCAACTACACTTGTTAGAGATAAATCCGGCACTCTTCCACTCTCAAAGACCTCGATTATCATCTTCCTGTTCCCCGGAGATAAGACCCCGGCAGGTGGTGCAGTCGATGGGGAGGGAATGGGGCGACAAGGGTCATATCAGTCCAGCCGATATCTAGATGTTCTCCGACAACACAATAACTCAATTGCTGAGATTCGATACGGAATGTCGGGTCTAACCCGGGAGCAATGGCAGGTCATCGAGGTTGCCGATGCCGTCATCTTCGCATCTCTCAATGCGCGCGAATCACCATACCAAGAATCTCTTGGTCTTGAGCTTGCTGGGCGTATCAGTAACTTGGTGCACATTGCTGCTTGCAATCCTTATGACTTCCTCGATGACCCCAAGGTCAAAACCTACATCACCACATATGAACCGACCATCGAAGCATTTTCCGTGGCTGCCGATATAATGTTCGGCGCATTGATTCCGACTGGAGCCCTTCCAGTGGGACCTAGTGCTTTGACCAAGACTGCGGCGGTAGTTACACCGTTCGACGCTGAGAAGGACTTGGATGGGATTCTCCACATCTGGGCTGAGGCTTTACCGACCTATAAACTGCCTGAAGACAGTCTACGCTCTCTGATAGTCCGTCCATACGGCCACCATTTCGTCGCTCGCCTTGGATCAGAACTAGTAGGCTTCTGTCTGGCCTACACAAATGCCGACGGTGAGCCAAACACCGTTCACATCGCAGTCCTCGCAGTATCACCAAGCTACCAACGCCAAGGTGTTGGAATAGCTCTTTTGGAAGAGACTCGGGCGAATGTCCGGGCCAAATTCGGCATAAACGGCGTGAAGCTAGGCAGCTCCTTCCCTCGCTTCTGGCCTGGAATCCCTCGTGAGCTCCCAGAAACAGTCCAACACTTCTTCACCCACCGTGGCTTCCGGCTGAGCCCACCTGATGCTCGATCGGTCGATCTATACCAAGATATCCGTAACTTCCAATCACCAGAAAAGTACATGACTCGTGCAAAAGATCGAGGCTTCCGCTTTGCACCCTTAAAAGCTGAAGACTACGATGCCTGCCTGGTTGGGCAACGAAAGAACTTTTCTCATAACTCCGTACGTTTCGCATAATCCCATCACCTATTCTCACTAACATTTATACAGAGCTGGGTACAAGCCTACGTCACATTACACCCCGAACAGTATCCCGACAGCGTAATGGTAGCATTCGATTCCGAAGGCCAACAAGTCGGATGGACGTTGATGCTAGGACCATCGCCAGCACTGAATCACGTCTGGGCATTCCCGCAAATTTGTGGACCGAAGACGGGACTTATTGGCTGCGTGGGAGTTGATAATGCCCACCGCAGCTCTGGTATTGGACTGGCATTGGTTTGCCATGCTGTTGAGCATATGAAGCAGCGAGGTATAGAAGGCGTATTTGTAGACTGGGTTGCGTTGGACGGATGGTATGAACAGGTTGGCTTTGAGGTTTGGCGGAGTTACCGACCAGGAGAGCTTTAGCTTTCCCTGCTGATTGAGCCCGTTCTTAGAGGCTATAGACTTATCAGGTTATTATTATCAGAAATGTGAATATTGATAGTTCAATGCTGGTTTCTTGGTTCATTGAATTAAACGACTGAATCGGATCTTTCCTTAGACGGCAAGCCAAACAATGCCGGTTGTTTCTTTCCCTTCTCGTTAGGATAGGTTTGATCTCTTCGGTTTGATTTGTGCTCTGCTCTATCTTTGATAAACCAAAGACCGCTAGCTGCCAGAATGTACGTTGCCAAAGAAAGTACCACAAAGGTAGCAATAAACGGTGCTTGAGAACTAGAGGAATCGCCACTCTGGTCGAATATATGCATTCCGTAGAAGGACTGATATAAGTTAGCGTTGCCATTCAACGGGCTTTCGAAAAGCCTTTCATACTGTCACAAAACTCATCGGCAGATAGAAAACAGTAGCAATAGTAAAGACGAGAATATACTGGTTTTGTCGCCCACTCATCTCAGCGAGACTAGTTCCTTTCGAGGCTTCTCGAACAGAAGTAGCATTGAAAAGCTACGAAACAATGTCAGCAAATATTATATACTGTCTGTCTGTTGTCCATGTCCTACTTACACCATCGCGAAGACTTTTGACTTCTTCAACTTTCCTTTCGATGCGGTCCAATAGTGGCCGAGACCTCGCTTCGTTCTCAGCCATCACGACAGAACACATCTCATGTAGCCGCTTCCTTTCGTCTTCTTTATCTTGAGCCGTATGCGCATTGGTATCATCGTCGCTATCATCGTCAAGGCTAGCTTTTGAGATATCAATCTGACTATGTAAAGTCTTCAGCCCTTGATTAACCTGTTTGATCCAGTCACTGCAAATGCGAAGCACCTGTAACGCAGTGAAATATTGATCTGATTTCGAGAATTGGTCGTTGTCAAACATGAGATCTTGTCTCCTGCTGCGTTTAAGCTCACTCAACTGTATTCCCACGTCAATAAGGAGCCGCAAGATGGAAGAGGATATAAATACTCACACTAGTTACCAGAGTCTCATCAAGCCTATCTAGCGAAACATCCCAATTCTTAACAATAGTCTCCAAAAGCACCGACAAAAAAGCAAGGAAAAACCCAATAGCAGTCAACCTCCCAACATTCCCACCCCTCATCTTGAAAAGCCTCGTAGCCCGCTCAGCCAATTCAACAGCTACATATTCCCTCAACGGACTAACAGCACAAGGCTCCCGATCTTGCAACAAAAGCAACGAATAAAAAGGTAAGGGTTGGATAGTACTAACAAGACAAATCCCATGCCGGACCTCGAGAAGATGCAGATCCATAGGAACCTTCCGGTTGATATGCGGGATATCTCCCGATTCGCGCTTTATCTGGAGACCCAGGTCTGTGTCGTTGTACTCGCGAGGCGATTTGCTGATATCCATCCAGCGGATGTTGAAGTAGATTGAGATATTTTGGCTGAATGAGCCGAAGGGGTGTTGGATGGCACCCCATCTTGAGGCGAATGATAGTAGGTATTCTAGGGCGAAGCGTTGTTCGCGGTAGGATGGGTAGCCTGTGTCTTCTGCGTGGCGGAGGCGCCAGAGGATGAATGCTATTAAGTGCATTGGGAGGACGGCTGTGTCTTGGAGGTTTATATCGCTGGTTGGTGGTTAGTATTTGTATTGGAATATTGTTCTAGTGGTGGTGATTTTACATTATCGTGCCACATCCAAGGCCAATCCAGGGTTTATCGGTTGAATGTCTTCTTGTGTTCTTCTTGCGTACTGGGCTAGGTTCCCATAGGACTAAAGAGCCTTCGGGGATATTCTAGCAGCTAGAATCAGTAACAGGTCTTCCACTGAAAGGAGGGATTGACCTACCGGTAATCGAGATTCCTGTAAACAAGACTCAGAAATAAAGCCAGGACATCCCTCATCATCGTACTCCATCCGACATATCTGAACAAATATATCCTTCTCACCCCTAGCAAAAACCCAATACAAATCTTCTTCGGGACAATCAATATGAGAGAACTGCTTCTGTAAAGCTCTGGCAGAAAGAACGGGGTCACGAAAAGCGGGATACCAAGCCAAATGCTTAGGCCACGCATCAAACAATGGCTTCAGTCTAAAATCGAGAGGCTGAGTACCCCATGGTAACAAAACCAAGGGATTTTGACTAACGATCATAGGCGCGGCGTTTTGTCTAGTCGGTACTAACGTACTTGTAGGGAAGTCGTCAGGTCGAACCCCGATACTGGCGCGGAGGTTTGTGGTTGAATTGCTCAGACTTGCGAAGAACTTGAGTCGTATGCGTTCTAGCTTAGTTTGTATCGGTATCAGTGAGCGTAGCCATTTTTCGAAGCTTCTTTGGTCCCAATCTTCGCTTCGAGGGAGCCATTGTGGCTGGGGTTGTTGGGTGATAGCTGATGCGGCTCTTTGAAATTCTATGTGATGGTCAATCTGCATTCGTATTGCATTTAAAGCTTCTTTGATTTGTCTAAGCTCTTCGGACTGGGACATTTTGTTGGCGGTATCATCTTGCGAGACAGGTGAAATGGAAGGTGATTTCATGGCTGTGATTTTGTGATTTCATGACAAAAGTTCAAGTAGAAACCCGGCCATAAGAACAGAAATGAGTGGGGTTACCCGGGTTAGATAAATACGAGTTTACGAGAAGGTATACTGTATGGCCAAATCATGGGAACCAAACGCCTCAGCTGAAGGCGTGCATTAGACGTCAGGCAGAGATCTACGCCGGAACCAATCAATCTCAAAAACTCAACGTTTGAGCATATCTGACTGATGTTAAAGCTTTTGTAAGATGCAGACTTCGTATTCGGGTATACATTCTAGAGCGGTTGTCGGCTATACTCGGTAGCATATGCAAGTCAGGATCACTCCTTCTACCATACCTCATTGATCAAAAGAGATCCTACTTGTATTTTAATTTCATCCAGTCTTTGTCAGTTGCTTAGAAAGTAGCACTTCATTGTGGGAATTATATCAGTAGGGACCACATTTTACTTAGACCGGAGCAATATATATGTTCATGGTCGTAACGACAATCGAGACCCTGTGGATATTGTTCTGAAAGCTATGCGACAACTTTGAATATCGCATGGAAACTATACAATTATAGGTTTTTTTTTTTTTTATAGATAGCAGGGACAATAACAGGTTGGAAATTCAATTCGTTGTTTACAATCTCGAAGCTCTATAGTTATTCACCGCCTTGCGGACTATACTGCCGCAAGTGCTATCCTGGGGTCAAGCTACGCAGCCTGACATCAACCCGTAATTGCAGCTTCTCCTGCGAAAAACACGCAAATTTTTTCAAGATGCCTCCACCGAAGGCTGCAAAGGGTGAATACATCGAAACAGTATGTCAAACCTCTCCAATACTCCTCAACCGACAGCATCCCCAAACCACCTCCCGAAACAATCTAATCTAACCACAACAACAGGATACAGGCAACAAAATCTCTCGCCGCTCCCAAATCCACGGCACACAGCACATTATCCTAGGCGGAAAAACAGTAATCCAAGCCGAAGCCGTCATCCGCGGCGACCTCTTCCGCACCGCCTCAAGCGTCGCAGCCCAGGATCCAAAGAACCCAAGCACACCCCCACCACCATCCAATGCACCCAGCGTCGCGATAACAGTCGGTCGGTATAGCTACATATCCAAGAGTGCGATCCTACGCCCACCAAGCCGTCTCCACCGTGGCACGCACTCATTCTACCCGCTCAAGATCGGCGACCACGTCTTCGTCGGCGAGGGTGCTGTTGTTGAGGCTGCATCACTGGGTAACCATGTTCATGTTGGGAAGGGGGCTAGTGTAGGGAGTATGGCTATCATCAAGGACTTCGCTTATGTTCTTGATGGCGCGGTTGTGCCACCTGGTATGGTTGTTCCGAGTTGGTGTGTTGTTGGTGGACGGCCGGCCAGAATTGTTGGTGAGGTTGGGGAAGGGTATGGAGTCGAAGGGGCTGAGGGCGGTTTGGCGAGGGAGAGATATCGGGTTGTTGGGAGGCCTTGAGGGTTGTATAAGGTTTGTGTTTTTGGTGTGCTCTACGGATACTGGTCTTTGTGATACCCCCCACTGCTGCTTTGTTGCGTTTGTGTTTAGTTTGAGATGTTCGCATGCTATATCTGGATAACAATTTATATCGAGTCTGAACTGATTTACATAACGATGAACGTAGGGTAACGCCTCAGCTGAAGGTGGATGAACGACTAGCCCATTTTGTCGACTTCGACTGCGCGCGTTAGCTGTGGTGTGTCTTTCGGTAAGGGAATACCGATTTCCTCGAACGCGAGATCATTGATCCAGCGCTCATTAGGCCGGACAGGCTCGCCACGGGATAGTTTTGACGCAAGATAGAGCCAGTTCAGTGCATTGCCCACGGTACTGACTTCATCGCAGACATGGTGGCTAGCATACTCCGACATACGGTTATACAACGCCTCATCCGTCCACAGCTCGAACAAATACCGCGCCACAGTGTCAGTATCACCAACATCAACTAGGAAGCCATTCTTCCCATCCTCAATCTGCAGCGGGATACCGCCGGCACGAGTCGCGATCACAGGTTTGCCCTTGTGGATTGCTTCGGAGACCTTCACCTCAAAGCCCTCACGCGTTGATAGCTGCAGGGCGATGACCGCCTTGGATAAGAGGGCGTTTAGGACTTGATCGGATGGCCGTAGGCGCATCACGCAGATAAGATGCCGCATGTCAGGGATGTTGTTCTCAAGGTGGTCCATTATGTCGTCGTAGATTAGGGCTCCGTCGGGATCGTCCACGGATCCATGGCCACAGATTAATAGCTTTGGGGGTACCATGTCTGGCAGCTCCATTACTAGTCGGCGGTAAAACTTTTCGTACGAGTCCAGCACATCGAAGATTCCCTTGGATGGATCGAATCGTGAGATCTGTACGATGTACGAATCTAGAATGTGTTAGACAACAGTGCAGATATGACCAATGAGGAGCAATCTTGTGGATTGCTGAACTGCTTACCCTCTGGGTATTTGATAGGCGGCATCTCCGCATTCCTGCAAGCTGCATTGAAGACACGGCCATAGTGCGCCACATCCCAGTCCCGCATGTTCTTGTTCAGTCCATCCAGCCTACGCCACGTTAGCGAGATCAGTCATCGGGATACTAGTTCCTCACCAGTCGGTTGACGCGGGCATGTATCCCACAATCTCTCTTGGCACATCCTGTGGCACAAAGGCGCTCACAGGGTGACTGATAAAGCAATCGGCGAGTTTGATATGGTTCCATAAAAACTCCCACGCTTCCGCCTGGGGAGTCCCAGCCTGGGCGACCAAGTCACTTCTAATTTGGATATGACTTCGAAAGATGACTGGTCGATCTGGTGCTAGAGTTTTAGCAATGGGAATCAGTCCGGGCATCTGAGGATCGTCGACAATGATCACATCTGCACCGCCTTCGGATGGCGCGAGCAGAGGTCCACCATTGCGGGACCAGTATCGTTTTGCGTTCTCCTCGATCCACCCTTTCAGCAATTCCTTGTTCTCTGATGTCAGGCGTTCGCCAGGACGTGAAACACCTTGGAGGATGTTGTGATTTGTTTTTGTAACTCGAAAGACGCCGGGTCGTGGCTTCGGAACGTACCTATACACGCAATTAGTGCTGTCTTAATTTTGAGGATGACCATCAAATAGATATAGCACACCATCTGATATCAGTGCCTAGAGAATGCGAAAATCGCGCGAGAGCATGTCGCATCAAAGCCACGCCTCCACCCTGAGGCGTTGCGCTGAAAAAAGCAATCTTTACCTTGCGTTCTTGCAAATCAGCGGTGTAGTGTTCCACTGCTGACCACGTTCGACTGGACACTGTTTTCTTGAAATCTTGCAGGTTCGCCAAGCGTACATGAAAAGCCGTGTCTACTTCCACAAGACCGAGGAAGCCAACTTGTAACAGGGGAATGTTCTCCGGTCCAAACAACCTGACGCACTTGCGTCCCATGGATTCGGCTTGCTCATCGACTGTTCTTTCATCCCATGCACCTGGATCACCAGGATTAGGGGCCCCGATTGACGGACCGACACTTACCCTATCCACCAATGCTGATTCAGGCAGAACCAATGGAAGGATATCGATCTCCGCCCAGAGGCGCGAGCAGAGTGTTGGACAATGGTCTGCGACATGTTTGGGCATTGCCAGTCCGACAATCTTCTCCATGTGTTTCTTAGAGTACTCCTTCAACTCGGATATGATGAAGTCGGTTGCTTCTTGCGGACATGCCTGGCCATTTATGAACTCTTTCTCGAAAAAGTCCAAAAGGTAGGTAGTGTCGCGGATTGCAATTGCAACAAGTGAGGTGCGATGTTTTGGGGAAAAATAGCTGGAGACACCCGCGTAAATAGTCTATCATTGGTTAGTACGGCGTCTGCGTCTCCAGTGTTCAACCACTCGTACATCTGATGGAGGCCCTAGCCAAGCATTGCGCTCAAACTGTGATGACAGCCGACGCTGCTGGGCCACTGAGGCGCGGCGCTCGAAACTGTGCTTATCGCCTGTCATGGTGCTACACGGAGGAATTAAGGATAAGGAAGAAAGGCATGTAATTGAGGGACAAGGGCATATAGCGAGGTTGGAAGTATGACTTCATGTGGTGACGTAGAAGCCCTAGGACATGTAATTCAGGGAAAAGGGCACATAATTAAGGGAAAAGGGCATACATATAATTAAGGGAGAAGGGCATATAGCGACGTTGGAAGTATGACTTCATGTGGTGACGTATAAGCCCTAGACATAACCAAGGTAGCCATTTGCGATAATGACATGGTCAGAATCTTCGTGTTCCCGTATAACAATCAACAAAGAACAACACAATAACAACATGATCAACAGTAACTTATACAGTAGAACCCACGAGGTGAAACACCAGGGCCTCGTGGGCTGAGTCAGCCAAGCCCCTTTTCCCCCGCCTCAGGGAAATTGGAGGCCGATCGGATCTCTTCTTCTTTTCCTCCATTCATTACTCGACGGCTGTGCTGTCCCTTAATCTAATTTCTATACTCGAAGCCAGTGCTCTGTTCCACCGACCTACTCGGATCCCAATTGTTGGTATCCCGCTCTCTCCAACTCCTGATCCCCCGACACCGCGACCAACCTCGCCAACATGGGTGGACAAGTATCCAAGATGATGGGGAAGATTTTTGGCACGAAGGAGATGCGTATTCTTATGCTGGGTCTAGATGCTGCTGGAAAGACAAGTATGATCCCAGGACCCGCCTCAATTGAGCCTCGGATGAAAATTGGCTAACACCTGTTCTCTCCCAGCTATTCTCTACAAACTTAAACTCAGCAACCAAGATGTGACTACTATTCCCACCGTCGGATTCAACGTCGAGAGCGTGACCTACAAGAATGTCAAGTTCAATGTTTGGGATGTCGGTGGTCAGGACAAGATCCGTCCCCTCTGGAGACACTACTACTCCGGTACACAAGGATTGATCTTCGTGGTTGATTCTAGCGACACAGCACGTATGGAGGAAGCTCGCTCGGAGCTGCACAAGATCATCAATGATCGCGAAATGAAGGATGCTTTGCTTCTCGTGTTTGCCAACAAGCAAGATATCGGCGGCCGTACGTATCGCGCTCCTGTGATTGGATGTTCAATTTACTAACAAAGTCTAGACCTGAGCCCCGAGGAAGTCACCCAGCAGCTTCAGTTGACTAAGCTCAAGGACAAGCTGTGGTACGTTGCGCCTAGTGTTGCGACAGATGGCACAGGTATTTTCGAGGGTCTGGTAAGTTATATTCTTGCTCCGTTTCCTTGCAATGGCTCCTAACTATTATCTCTTCAGGCCTGGCTCTCAAACAACGTCAAGACCCAACCCCAGAAATAAGATGCTCGTGGTGATCTCGAGAGGCGCTCCTGGAGCAGCTTCGTTGTACAACATCTCGCATTTCCTCTTCATGTCCGTGTTTGATGACAAGACGACGTAGCATTTGGGCTTTTATTTTCTTGATGTTTCTTTTGTGGCCTTTGTTATCTCGTTGCCTGTTTCATTGCCTTACCTTCACTTCTATGATATCCCCTCTGTTCTTATATGGGCTTGTTGGGTCCAATTTAATTCTTTAATCTTAACTTGCTTCATATCACGGGCGATGCCATTGTTTAGACCGCCGGGAGTGATTTGCAGATTTGGCGAGAAGAGAACAGAGTTCCGCAATTTGATAGAAATGGAGATGACGTCCTTTTGACCATCTAGACTCGTCATATCAGATCTAACTATGAAGTATTTACGGGACCAACCTCCGATTGATCCCAATGCCATGGATCAATCTCGGGGCTGCTCGAGCTTACCTTGATTGCATAGGTCAATGCTTATGGAGAACCCACTCGGAGAACAGAGGGCATTAGCCCCAGATGACACTCAAAACGCCAGTGTCAATGTGACGACAGCGGAAGTCATTCCCTTCCCTTACCAAGACAATGGCATAAATAGAGCTCCAGGCCAGCGCTGCCGCCAACAATCCTCGTCCAATATTTAGAATCTTGTTGAAACAACAATCAATCAGATCGCTAGAGCAATCTCCCATCCAATATCTACATCTCACCGTGCCGCCCGAATCAAAAATCAAGTCACCAACCATGCCCAGCTACGCGAAAGGACAAAAGGTCAACTACAAACCCGTCGGTGGTATGATATACCCTCTTGTTCAACTGAAAGGGATCCATAAACTGATAAACACTACAATAGGCGCAGCCTCCAACACAAGCCAAAGCGTCGGCATCATCCGCGAAGTCAGCACCGGAAATACCAACATGACTGGCCGGAATGTTGCTGCTTCGGACGATGAGCCTCGCTATGAGATTGAGAATATGAATACTCATAAGAGGTCTGCTATTAAGGAGTCTAACATTGAGGGGCCGGCGGAGTAGGGGAAAGGTGACCATTTTCTTGATGTCTAGATCAATGGATAGGATTTAGTTTACTAGTTCACATCCAATCTCATCAATGTCAAGAATATAAGCTGCGTCGACAACACTGTCTCTCCGTAGAGAAATACAAAAATAGTCTCTTGTCACCTTAAGCCATAAGTTGGACCGGCACATAGTTTCATTCGTGTCCTGGGGACCTTGTGACGCACTCCAAAGGCTTAAAATTGCCTTGCCCCTCTCTATCTGACTTGCTTTTCACTCATTATCGTGAATCAACCTCTTCTTTTCTACACAATTAGGGTCCATCTCACACCCTACCAAAGCACCATCGTATTAAAAGTTCAATCAGATTCAATTCAAACGACGCTCGTTGACTCTTATCCCGGAATAAAAACGTTAAGTGGGCATTCGAAAAGATATATCATAGTCTTCGTCCAGACCTCCCAAGAAAAACACGCTGTGCAACTAAAAGGTCCCGATCTGGTCACATATGTTGAAAAGTGACCGAGAGAATACCAGACCCTCCAGCCATGAAGGAAAAGAAAATATACAAAGGGAAGTGGTAGGTCATTACTCTGGCACAGGCTTAAGCCTGGTTAGGCCAGATATCATTGGCGATATCCCGAACCAACTTAAGCTTGTTAATCATACCATCCCAGTCAATAGCATTACCCTCACGGTGCGAAGCAAATCCACACTGAGGACTAACACCAACCTGGTTAAGGGCAGCGTCGAGAGAGATGTTGTTACCCTCAGCGATGAACTTGGCAGCATCAATAACGCGGTTCTTCATCTCCTCCTTGTCCTCCAAAGTGGCGAACTTGGAAGTGACAACACCCAGGATGACGTTCTTGTGGGTGGGCAGGAACTTGAGGGGCTCGAAGCCGCCGGCGCGGGGGGTGTCGTACTCGAGGTAGTAGGTGTGGACGTTCAGCTCCTGGAAGAGCTTGATGGCGATGCGGTCGTAGCCGCCCTCGGAGAAGTGACGGCTACCGACGAAGTTGCCGCGGCACAGGTGGACACCGACGTGCATGTCCGCAGGGAGGTTGACGAAGCAGTCGTTGTACTGCTTGATATACTTCTCGAACATGTCGTCGGCGGTATACACGTTCAGAGGGTCTTCTTTGAAGCCGTTCAGGAACTTCTCGGAGCAGAAGTCTGGAGAAGGTTAGTTTTGGGGATTTTAATGTCTGATGCATGGCATTTATCTTACAAGCCAGGTTGGGATCGTCGAACTGCACGTTGCGGCAGCCGGCGTCATACAGGATCTTCAGCTCGGCCTGGTAGGCCTTGGCGATATCACCAAAGTAGTCCTCATCGTTGGTGTACACGGACTTGGGGTAGGCCTTGCCCTCGCGGTAGCGGAGGTGGTACCAGTTGGGGGCGGCGAGGGTGATCTTCAGGTTGCCAACCTCCTCAGCGGGCACCTGGCTGGCGAGGTACTTGAATTGGTCGATATAGGTGCTACCAACGTGCTTGATCTTGCCAGTACAGATGACACTCTCACCGGGCTTGTGGCCGGCCTCGAGGAAAGCCGCAATATCGGGGGCATAGGGACGGAAGTCGTCAACATCGACGTTGTTCACCTCCTCGAAGCCGTCAAGGCCGGGGAAGAAGGTTCCCCAGAACACTGTGATTGTTAATGATGCGCAGCTGAGAACCTCTGGGTCACTTACTGTGGCGACGGTACTCGCCGTCGGAAATAGCGGCATATCCGAGCTTCTTCTGGGTTGCGACGATGTCCTTGACTTCCTTATCCTCGACGGCAGTCAATTGGGACTCGGGGATCTTGCCGGCTTCAAAAGCGAGCTTGGTGTCCAAGAGCTCGTTAGGGCGCAAGAGCGAGCCAAGGTGCTCGGCGCGGAAAGGAGGACGCTGGTGAAGTTGAGGAGCCATTATGAAGTATGAAGATTAACTACGAAGAAATGATGAGTGATAGTTAACCGTATGAACAGGATGGAATGTACCTTGGGATCTGAGACAAGGGAATATCTGGAGAAGGAAGAAATAATTGGGGGAAGAAACTGAGAAAAGAGAGGGGCACTGATTGCATTGCCAATTCATCGGTATATGGTTGCCCCACAGACCTGAGGCTCTCCACACTTTGACTCGCCTATGAAACTTGGCCCATTTGATGTTTGTCGACTCCGATCTCGCCGATCGCTTGGATCTTTCTGAAATTCGTGGCCTTTGTCACTGCGCCCAGTCCCTGCACGGAGCCGTAGCATGCCGATATCCGGTGCTCAGTGTATAAAGTATGTTCAAATGCGGGGACTGCAATGCACGCCGACAATATGCAGAGTAATGTTTAGCTCTACGCCTTGGCCTTGGCTTGGATATAGTGCACGGGCCACATGGCGGTTTCCCGAACAAGCTTCTTTGTAGTCCACTGGGACCGTTGACTCTGCAACACTACTCTTATTAGATATCTGATTCAATTTCTATCGCTCCGTAAAACTGCGAAGCTCACCGTTTGAATCTGGAAGAAAAACCCAGGCTGAGTCACGGATGACAAAGGGCCAAGTGGAGGCCCCAGCAAACTCAAGTGGGGAAACCGGCACTTGACGTTGTTCGTCTTTCCCGACAACGTCTCGAGTCTATAAGTGTCATGTGATATGGCATGATACACAGCCATGTCTGCATTCTCCCCCGTAGAGCTTCTTCCCAATGAGCTCTGGGACGAGATCATTGGATATCTCTTCACCGAGCCACCATCGTCAAAACGACTACATCATGCACCAAGTTTACAACTGACCGAGTCTCCGACAAAAGACCTCAAGCATCTCGCACAATGCTCGTCAGGCTTCCTCCGGCTCGTACGACCCCAGCTATTCACTCATGTCCGTCTGAACCTGCATGATGAGCCCGACTTTCACTCCTTCATGACTAAATCAGGTCTCGCGCGACATATTACTTCTATAATCATAGCCGTGGGAGAAGACAGCCCAGACCACCGAGCCGACCCCTTCTGGTGGCGTCGAGTCCTCGGCTATCTGGACCCTGCTCATATCATGGTCTTAGCACCACCAACCTTCATCGGGGAAACCATAGGCAGCCCGATCATGGATGGCCATAGTTGGGCATTCGATATACCCCTGCAGATCCTGTATATGGAACGGGAGTGCAGATTTGACGGCTCGTCCAAGTTACCAGACTTGGCTTCGTGCACTAGTCTTCTACGAGCTCGTCCATGGACGTCAGTGACCTTCAATGAGTCATCGTCTCTAAAAGCATACAATCACTACGAGTACTTCCTTTCTTGTGTTCCCTCCATACTCAGAGAATGGGGCATGATGCGTGGTGAAGGCCGCAATATGCCTCTTCAACGACCAAGGGACTTACCCCTACTATTACACGGTCTTAGCACCTTCTCTTACACCGCCGTCTTCCCGTTCTACAACCATGTGCAAATCGTACTCGACGCTGTCTTGAGAATGGGCTCTCTTCGGCGTCTTGATGTACAGTTGGCGCCTGATAGGAATAATCATGTCACTGAGATTGAACAAAGAGGCTCTATGGATGCTAATGATCCGTGGATGGAGCTTGCGACTTCATACTCTTTGATTGGGTTTACAGTCAGCCAAATGGATAGCTTGAAGGAGTTCAGATCTGGTGACCTACATGTGGAGGCTGTTCGAGATGATCTGCTTGCAAATTTGAACGATGTCATTGGTGATGCGGCCTGGGTGCACGATGGCCGTGGAATTTGGAAGCGCAATTAGCGTTGCTTATACTTGCAGTTTCTTGATTGGATTGTGATACCTATATTCAACAATTTGGAAATAGTGAAATTGAGCGATTTAATTTATTCGTGTATTACAGTATTTGTTGTTCTATGTGATATTGAAAGAAGGTAGCAAGTTGTATACATTGAGCCAAGAAGCGGTGGGTCTCGTCCTCCCGCACTTCATTTCTTCCCTACCATCACCAGTTGCTCCTACGAGTAGATCCACTTGATATCACGACTGATGCAAATTCGACACGGCCTTGCCAACTAATAGCTATGGCTTCTGCCACAAGCGTCTATTCAGCGGAGCCTGCATTCCCAGTCCTTGCCGATTCCCTGCTCCGCCAGTCAGAATTGAGTACCAAAGAACCAGCTCCCCAATCTAATATCCCTGCTGCAAATAGCGACTGGAACCTAAAAGATGATTGGAAGAAGGGTATCCAAACCGACAGCAAGGGTGTCTTTCGATGCGGTACAGTCCTCGGATTCTCCAGGCTGCGAGGGAGAAGCGATGAAACCCACGAATATATCGGAGAGGTATGTCAGCTCCATCCCAAACTCTGAACTTCTGATGAAACTAAGCTAGCCATAGATCCCCCGGTATCTTCTCATAAACCATCTACGGCGCATAACCCAGTGCACAGAACCAAGCACATTCATAATTTACCCAGGCAACTTCGACGCCTTCGACGCACAGAATCTCTTCGATGACTTAACAGCAGCGTCAAATGACCACCCAGGACTCTCCAGTGAAGAAGCCATCAAAAGAATGGACACGGTCCAGTTACTAGCCGTCTCAGACTTCCATGAAGCCGCACAAGCCATCAGACAGTATTCAGACGCGATAGACGAGCTCGAACAAAAGCGCGAAGAAGCGCGGAGCAAAACAGAAAGCGATCCATCCAGCCATGAACCTATCATGATGATAGTCGTTGGTCTTGATTACCTTGTTGAGGGGATTATACGCGCTTCGAACCCGGGTAAAGGAGTAGCCATGCTGACAGCTGCGCTGCGCTCTTTGACGACGTTTTCTCGTCTGCATGCCTCATATCTCTCGATCATTCTCGTCAATATGAGTGGATTGGGACCCTTCAATCCGGATTGGGCCGGCAACTCTCATTCAACGGGAAATATGAATTCGCGCGCCGATGATAGCGCGAAGCCTCTTGACTATGCCATCCACTCGGTATTCCATTCTGAGATTCGCCTATTTCCCAATATGCTCATGAAAACGCTGGACCAAGGCACCGACGTACATTTCCTAGTCTCTGACGTGCGACGGGTACAGGTGGTTGAGATAATCAAGGATAGAGTTGGGACTAGTCTTGGGAAATGGGGGATATGGAAGGAGCACCGAGAGATCGTTTACTAGTAGACATATGTCTTAAGACCGTTCGCTACAAAAAAAAGGACCGCTTAGCTTGATGTATCTCGATGCAGTTGATGTAATTATCCATAATCTTACAAAGAAGTATCCTAAGACATGACAGACCGCCCCTCGTAAGTAAAGCGCCGCTTAACATGCAATTGGTCCCAGAAAAAGCGATATGCACTCGCTGCTACCAAGACCAGCTTCGACATATGATAACCCGCAAACATACAAACTCCAGCTCCAACCCATGAACCTTTTTGTAAACCTCCCCTGCAGTAATAAAGGGAAATTAATCTTTTGTTGTTAAAGGCAAGGCAAAGATGACCCCGGAAATAAAAAGTCACCATCTCAGAGGGTGATATCCCTCTCAGCCCATTTCCGCATAACACCCCTCTCAACAACAGATTTCGCCTCTTCCTCACACTTAGCAAGATCCTGTGCGGCAGTCTCCTCTTCGAAGAGGATATCCTGCTGCTGAACCTTCATCCACTGTTTATGTCTCTCGCACCGCTTCTTTGTGCAGACGCCCTGCGTCAACACTGTAATGCTGTCTTCGGTTTCGCCGTCCATGGCTGTATCGCCATCTGCATCGGTGGTGGAACGGTAGCTCGCAGCCAAGGCTTCGACTGTACCCTCTGCCAGAGCTTTCTGTCCAGATTCTGAGAGTCGCCATTCGTCGAATTCCTCGTCGGACCAGGAAAGTCTTGAGTCGAAGCCGCAGATGTCTTTCCAGCCGCCTTTTGGCTCGTGCTGTTTTAATTTTTCGACGATGCCTTTGGCTCGGGGGCGGAGGAGGGATACGAATGTTGAGCGTGCGGTGAGCATTTCTTTGCGGTGGATTAGTTCTTCATGTTGTTTACGGAGTTTTTCGATCTTGGCGATTTCGTCTGGTGAATATTCTGTGCCTTCGGCGTAAACGTCGACGCTTAACCATTTGCCACTTTTCGAGTGGGACGTAGGATTGGTATCAGTCGGGCTGGATTCTGTATTGTCGGTGTCTGGTGGAGGGGAGACGATTCGGTCTCCGAGTGTTCGGAATTCTTGTGTGGATGATACGCCCATGATGGCGGCTTTCAGGTCGCCGGCTGTGAGGATACCACCCATGCTACCCAGGTCTTCGAAGAGGCCCTTTGTCTGATGGGCCTTGGTCTTGAGCTGTCGGGTTTGCTGGCGCATGAACTCTCGGCCATGGTCATCACAGCAGTATTTGCTCGGGTTATTGCGCGTGACGCGAGCGGGTTTACGGCACTCGACGAGACGGCACATTGGTTTCCAGGTTGTGTATCCCTTGCCTTCACTTGCACATTTCGGACCTGTTTTCTGGATTAGTTTTTGCGATGCAATACTCGGTGCGAATTAAGACTTACAGATATACCGATCGATCAGATCTGCGTCTCGGGGGTGCATGTTGACACATTTGCCATGGTACCAATCATCACAGTCGCCGTCGCAGCCAATCATCCAGGTATGGTTATCAGGTCGGCGGCAAATACAAAAGACTGCATTTTCGTCAAAGTCGTCATCATCATCCTCGGCGGCTGCTTTGGGTCCTTTCTTTCTGGGCTTTTTCTTCTCTTCGGGTGCTGGTGATCCTGCTATCGAAACGGATCCTTGTTTCTTTCCGGGAGTCTTGCTAGTCCGGGAGACTGGTGTATTGGAACGGCGCCCATCGACGCTGTCTGCGTCTGCGTCGTTCACCTTGCGCTTTTTTGGCGCAGGCTTTTTGGCAGTTCCTTTCTTGGTGGTGTTGCCTGCGGGCTTTTTGTTTGATGGTTTCACCGAGTTTGCTGGTGATGATCGGTCAGACGAGGATGCCCTCGACGTCAGCCCGTGCTTTAGATCGGCGACTTTCTTTGAAGTCGGGTAGTCGTCTGTTCCATCGAAGCCGACTGACTTGGTATCGAAGTCATCATTGGCGGGGAATCTGTCCAAAGTGGAGCTTGTTGGTTCAGTTTTAACTGAAGGCAAAGCTGTATCTTGGTTCGCGACTAGCGGAGCACCTTTGGCGGGGTCATAAGCACCATCGTAAAGGTCAGCCCAGGTGTGTGACTTCTCGGAACTGTCGCTGCTGTTCTGAGGCACATCCCTGAAGAGTCGATGGACCTTGTTGGCTCTGATATTGCCAAAATACCCGCATTGTCGCCAACCAGCAATTCCCACGATTCGATCGTCCCGAATGACAATGTTGCTCTTAATTAAATTGTTGTGTGTTAAACGTAATTCCTCATCATTGCCTTTATCTGTGAACAGGATATCTCGCTCGCGAGGTTCGACGGAGGGCGGTGTTTGTGAATTGAGTGCGGAGGATACGTAAGAGGGTTCGTTCGAGGGCGAGTCAATTGTACCGAGGACCTGTAGGATCTGACGACACTGATTCTTCAGGGCGTCAATCTGGCTCGTGTCAAGATACCTCCATGCAACGTCCAGCGAAACACCCGGAATCCGAGACTCGATTGTGACATTTCTCTCCTCGATCTTGCCGCAGAAATATATCACTGGCACTGAAACACCGATCTCTCTGAGCGAGTCCTCTGCCTTCCGCGCCGCAAATAATTCATTCTCATTGGCGCAGGTGTATCTCTCCGCTAGGGCACCATCTGCCAGCTGACGGTCAACCCAAATGATTATACTTCCAGCAGCAAACGCCTCCCTCGGCCCCGATATGTGAAGCGAATGATCCGGGGTACAATATCTCTGTGCAACACCCTCCCAAAACGCGTTCACTTCCGGGTCCGGCTGATACCACTGCATGAAGCGAGGAATGAAATCGTCATCGCTCGGTGCATAGCGACCATATTGTGCGCTCTGAGTGAGAAACGGGTCGTCACTGGGGATGCGATCAGGATTGGTTTCGTAGGGGTTTGGCGTTTGTATGGGCGTCGCGGACCCGTTCATGTGGTTTGCGCCGGCTGCCTTCATATCCGCCATGTTGGATTTCGTGAGTGGAGGACAGAAAGAGAATTGTGCCGCTTTAGAAACGATGACCCGATCGACGCTATAAAGGCGATTCTTGCGGAGACCTGCGAACGTTCAAGTCGTTGGGAGGAAAGGGCGCGTGGGCAGAAAGCTAAACCGATACAAGTTCCGCTGAGAATGCCGGCGGCATTATGGGGATTGCATCGGGGTATGAAGCCTCGTGGTTTGTTTAGAGATTGTGCAGACCACGCGATCTGAGGTTATTGGTTGGAAATTTGTTCAGAGGACGTGTGTTGATTGTTAAATTCTGAGTTGGCGCGATCCCACTGTCGATCGGAGAGATCAGTCTGCTCCAATGTCGTCGTCGGGGTGTGATCTTGGTGGATATGGGATGGCAAGACCTGGAAAACGCCTCTTGAATATGCAGATCCCTTGCACTAAGCTTAGATGTGTGGCGTGTGATTTGAGCCTTGGGTGAACATTATCGGAGTTGCGGAGCTCAGGGTCTGAAAAGCGAAGGCGGTGAGAACATCCGTGCCAGACACGCGACAGCGACTCCCCATCTCGGCCATCTATACAATCGCCAATGCTCTGAGGGTTAATGCATCGCTTGATGGCAATGTGCCATGTGATATCCCCAAGGCTATGTTTATCTGACCGCCGAAATAAAAAAAAGAAATTCTAGTAGAATCTCGTGTGTCTACTGTTGCCTCCTTTTTTTTCACTTTGAGGCCATTTTCAGTGCTAAAAGCAAGAAGAATTTCTACCAGCAGTACTGTTACTAACTGTTTTCATTACTCGGGTCACTCCATTGTTTACTGACCAGAATTGACAACGTGTACCTGGACAATTAACAGATCCCATGATTACCAGAAAGTCGGCCACGAACTTCCTCTCCACAACCCTCCCGTGGCGTGACGTCAACTCTCGAGATTGGAACATTAGGACCATCGTAATTGGCACCCCTGGGATACATTGCTAGCTTCCCTGCGCATGAGCCACCGGTGTTCTTGTGTCACGGCGGCCCCGGAGTCATCCATGATTCCGAGTCGCGCTTTGGACCCCTTCCCGCTCCGCGATCGCCTCCAGTTTTTCGCCCCATACGCAATATAAGCATTGGATGGGATGATACATGGCGGGGTCAGCATATAAGCATGTAGGTCCTTGTTTCAGCTTTCTATTCCGGGCATGCTGACGGCTTGAGTGGTGTTGTCGGGCTGCCCCCCCTGATACCGGTCAAACCAGGGACATCGTTCCCGAAAAAAGCATATGCATCAATCCTTGTACAATGAAACGTTGTTTCATCGTCGGTGTGCATGGTCCTGGCTCTATCTGTGGCCCGACGGAATGCGAGCGAAGCACCAGCCACAGGGGACTTTGGGGGCTTGGGGCTATATTGGACAAATTACGTTAAGACTTCAGTAGCCGTTGACGATCACTAAGTTACCTTCAGCCGGATCCATCACACGGGGCAGGATCATAATCAGGCCCTGACTACCGCAAAGCTGGGACTGTCTTCCGCGCGGATCTACGGGGGCCATACCTTCGGGACAACGCCTGAAGATTCAGGACTGCCAATGTAGACACTACCGGAAACTCTATATTGATACCATGCAGAAGTGAGACAAGTTTACCGAGTGGCGTTGCATCTTAGAGTACAGTAACATCAGGGCACTCTCGCATGAACCCCCCTGCCAAATATTAACACTGGTCGTACGAGATCGACAACGTGACCAGGGTATACATGTATAATACGGAAAACGGTTAATCCGAAGGATTTAGGATGTCTGATGTCTGCCAGGTCCATGTAAGCTGGTGATCAGCCAAGACTATGCCCAACATGGTATGTCGTGGTGGAGACAAAAGTAAGATTCAGTGGGGGCGGAGATTCGGCAACTTGATGCTGTGCAACTGACATATATTTCTCTGAAACAGTGATTCAGTAGGGATGCAGTAACACATTCTAATATTATGCAAGTAATATGAACCTGAAAAGATTGTGCGCTTACGGCTCAATCATTTCTAGCTCTAGCGCAATTAACCTATCTTAGCGGTCCCGATTAGGCAGAATAGACGACGCTTATCAAGTAGCTCGGGATAAGAATAGCACCTTTACATGTACTCCTGCAGCTCACTAAGCCTCAGCAATCTGATTCCACAGTACAATTCACCCTCGCATCAACTGCGGCGCATCTCAGGGCTGAGACATTCCAGTGCTGATCAATGCCAAGACCCAAACCACACTAGCGGAATCCGCCCGAGGCCCTATACAGTTAAGCTCTCGTACGTCTTCCACTAGTAAACAGTTCTATTCGCCAAATGAAACGTTCAAAAAGCACAGCCAGCTTGCCAAGGACATATACTTGACCTGTTCCAAACTCCTGTGCGGTTCCCATGCATCTCGCGTGGATTTTCCGGCACATCAACGCCCTTCAGTGGAGCCTCTCTAAAATGTGGCCTGCATCGAATCTAACTCGATTTGGGGCGAGTGCGAGAGTCGATTTCGTCACATCTTCGACCTGGTCAGATCAGACATTGGGACATTGGGACATTGGGACACAATCGATGCTAAGTGTGTTTATTTCCACGCTATTGAGACTTCCATGGCTCGAGCCGGTCCGTCTGATTCGGCCCCCCCTCGGTCCACACGTGCATGAATAGGGCACTATTCCGGACTTGTTTAGTTCGGCAAAAGTAGCCTTATTACCAGGACCCGCTGCCCGTGGATCTTTTGTCTCACATTTCTGACCTTCCGGCCTATATTCTTCCGTTTCCACGCTCTGAGACTTTAATTCTACGTGTCTCCGCCTTTTTATGTACGGGCATTGCGCTCGGTTCGCCGATCCACCCGTTTTATCAATCTATCCCCAGCTGCCTTCTTTTCTGCATGTTCCTACTTCTGTCTGTCTAGAAATATGTCAAATCCATCCGATCAACCCAGCTCTAGCAACCAGGACACAGCCAACATGCGGTGGCAATTCATCGACTCGTCCAACAATAGTCGGTCCAATTTGACACAAGTCAAGCGCCATGTTATGCAAGAATACATGCGCCAGAAGAAAGGCGGCAGTCACCAAAGTGAAAGCGAAGACGAGACACCACAACCAAAACGCGGGCGGCCTAAGAAGTCTCGGGCTTCAAAGCGAAATACTGGAAAGAAATCGAGAGTATACAGCAATGAGACTAAAGGGAAAAATCCAGCTAAGCTGGATGAGCCGCCTCAACCGACCGAGGACCAAGACATTGAGGAAATCAGCCGAGATACATTTGTTCAGCACGTCACGTCAAATACTCTGTTCATCCAAGGTGACGAAATACTCTCATTCTTGCCTTTCCGACCATCTCCAACCCAATCTCCTGCTGTTTTCATCCCGCCACATGAATTTGTCGACATATTCCCGCAAAGCGCTCGAAGCCATACTCTGGAATTCAATACCTTCCCCTCTCAGTCATCAGCGCCGACAACGACATATGATCTCATGCATTCACCGAAAACCATCATGAGTGCAGCCCGGACAGACCCCTTTAACACCCTTCCCCTAGAATTGGATCTAGATGAACAGAGATTATTTGATTTCTACGTGAATACCATGCCCGCGTGCTCTTATGGCTCCCATTTCCGCTCGGCCAAGGCCCACAACTGGTATACTGCTGTTTTTGTACCGGAGGGAATGAAAGGTGCCGTCGCGTTCCAAAATACCATCATGGTCCATGCGGCCAACACATGGGCTTGGGTGCGTAGCGAGAGCGAAACACCAGACACTCTTTTGCATCGAGATCGCGCCGTTACTATGCTTCGCGAACACCTCACCAACAACCCTCGTGATATCTCCGATGTCGCGATCATCTCATGTCTCAGCGCGGCGGCCCTAGAAGATTTCGACCCAAGACCAGGTCACAAAGAAATCAGCTGGGTGCACATGCGCGCCGCACGCGAGATGATCCGGGCCCGTGGCGGTCCTGCTGCATTCGCGTACACCCGTCTGGGCAAGCTCATCAATTGGCAAGATTATATCCTGTCCGGGTATGAAACCCATGGGCCAAGCTTCTTCTACGAGTATGAGCAACCAGCTCCCGTCACCTCTGAACCACCACACCAATCCATCCAGAATCTCCACTCAATGCCATCACCACCATATTCCACCTCCTCGGTCGTAGACCTCTCACCCAGCCCGGAAGCAAAAACCCAACCGGCATTCCCTCCACCCACAACAACAACCCCAGTTGACGAAATCAAGCTCCAATGCGAAGAGTTCCTTGATCTCCTTCGTCGTTGTGAACAACTCTCCCTGTACCAGCGTGACAACCCCGAATCCTCTCACTTAACCCGCCAAACCGCCGTCCAAGAACCATCCATCCTCCACCAAGTCCTCAACGCACCCCCAGGAGCACGCTTCACCACATCCGGTAACAGAAAACAAATGGTCTCCCGGATTACAGCTTTAATAATACTCAACGCTGCCCTCTGGGACTACAGGTATACACCCGTCCGCGCAGGCATTTTCCTCAACACACTTGAGACAGCAATGATCGACAGCGAAGTTGGAATGAGCGGCTCTGTCGAAGCAATTCTCCAGATACTGTTGGAATGCGACGACGGCTACATCGCTGATGAGTTTACTGCTGCGGCTACTGTTGAAGATCCGCCTGATTTCTCGCAATACGGACCCTCGGCTACTTCACCTTCTGCGCGTCCGTGGTATGCTGGTCGTATGTTGAAAATTGCTAAAAGACTTCGTGCTGAGACTTGGTACCGGGTCAGTGACTTTTTGTTCTCGTGCTTGACGTTGCAAGTGCGGGAGCCTTGTATGGCTCTTTGGGAGGCGGATCTTCGTCAGGAGATTCTTGACGCTCCTTTGACGAGTTATCTTATGCGCTCGTTGATTGAGTGATTCTTTCTTCGGTTTGCTCTTTCAGCCTATAAATAATTTGCATGGCTGTGTGCCTGGAAAGCATCGGTACATGGCGTGAGATCGGTTTGGATAGTTACGTTTATTTGGGGTTGATTTTGGGGTTTATTCTGACACTCTCCATATACGCTGGGAGATTCTGTGTATAACTCCCACATTGTTATCGACGATACGCTTTGAATGATTCATGAAATGAGAATCCGGAACATACAGAATAACTTCCGATTAGTTCTGATTGCTTATGAGCCCTTCAAGTTCGGGTCATCTTTGTAAATGTAACATGAACAAGCAATATGATATCCACTGACACTCATTGGATCACATCTTTCATAGTATCACCAATAGCCTCAGCACCACCACCACCCCCTAACAGCTTCTCATTCGTAGCCTGAATGACAACACGCCGATAGGTAGTCAAAGCAGGAACTCCATCATCCTTCACCTCCAAAATAAGATGGAGCAACTGCCCCTTGGCAATCGCCTGACGACTAATAAGCTCCACACAACACTTCTCAGCCGGAGGCATCTGAACCTCAACAATACTGCCAGCCTCATTCAAAGCCTTGATTCCCAATTCCCCAACCTCATACTGCACAGCCCACTGAGTCGCACTCGGCTCCTTATACTGATACCACTTAAAGGTAAGCGAATCATCAGGGTCAGGATCGTAAGAAGCAGAAGCATCAAGCCGAAACACCTCCCCAGCCCCAATCTCCAGTTCCAACGGCGCAGGACCAGTACTCCCATTAACAATCGCCACAGGATGATGATTCGCCCTACCCAGATCCGAAGAAAGTGACCACTGCATCCGCGCCGCAAAATCAACTTGGAACGCTTCCCGCCAGCGCCAGATAGTCGCATGATTGGACTTATAGCTCCGCCCATCAAGTCCAACAACCTCATCGGCCGTATCACTAAAATGCCCATTCACCCCAGATCCAGACCTAGACCCAGACGCACCACCATGCGTGGCAACATACCTCCCACCCCAAGACCCAAACTCCGGCCGTTCAGCCACCCCAAGCCCATTCTGAATAAGATATAGGAAGGTAGGCGTATCCCCCTCAGGAATAAACATGAAATCAGGATACGTACGACCAAACGGTCCGATCTGGATATTCTCTCGAATCCACTGACTGCTGATCTTCGCCGGGTCAGGTCCGCCCTTGTCAAAGCCGTACCACTCATCACCGGAGATGCCTGTCCAGGTTGCGTTACCGTATTGGTTCCAGCCGTGCACGGAACAGATGTAGAATAGGTCTGGGTAGGTAGTCCTAATCCAGAGGCCTGTATCGTCTTGGTCGGAGATTGCATAGATGCGCAGGTTTGAGCGGAGCTTCGCTGCGTGTGTTTGGGTGTGTGTTTTGCTTAGTTTGTGCAGGGCTGAGGCTAGCACGTTTGTGCCGCCCCAGCAGAGGATCCAGAGGGGGTCGTTTTCTTTGTTTTTGGATGTTATACGTTCTAGGAGGGCTTCGGCGCCTTCGCTTAGGGGGATGTCATCGCCTACGGCGGTCATGCCGTATGTCTGTGGATGGGGAGTTAGAGGGATTGGTTGTCTGGGAGGGTGTTGTGTGGTTGCGGTACCTCTGCGCCCTTTTTAACTAGTGATCTTAGGTATTTAGCTGCTGGATATGGGTCATCCGGGTGAGCGTGGGCATTGAGGTTGTTGACTACTTTCTCGTAGCCGTCTATGATCTTGTGCATGTCCTGTGGACAGACTTTTGTCTTCATCCATGTCGATGTACAGGCTACCAGGCCCTCGGTGCGGAACTGGTTTGAGTATAGCAGGTAGCGCACAAGTGACTCTGCATCATCTGGTTCATTTGAGATGTCGCTGAGGATGAACACCCGTGGTTTGGATGGGAAACATTGGAGTTGGTGCGGAGATGCCATAGCTGTGGTGGTTGATTTGGAATAAGGAAGATAAAGATAAGACAGTTGGGAATGAGCAACTATTTATTTCATTGATTCCGACACGTTGGTCTGGAGAAAGCCAGAAATCGTAATTGTAGCCACCCCGGCCTTGTGCGGAGAGACGTGGGGAATTGCCGAAGTTCAGCCGGTCCAAAAAGCAGCATCTGTAACCGCCACTAAGCCAGAAGCATTTATTCCCAGGTTTGCCTTCTTTGCTCGATATATGAATGGAAAATATTAGCGTGGTCCCTTCCAGTTCGGGGAGTGTTGTTTATAGTGGTCCGGTCCGAGTTGCGCATAGAGGACGTTATAAGGACATTTTACTCTCTTCCGGAAACTTGGTTGAGGTGGTCTGAAGAAGTGTCAAGTTTCTGCATTATAGTTGTTGGTTTGAACATCGACACTTGTGGAGAAGATAGAATTCCATTGGTGATACGCTGTCTCTGTAGTGTGCTAGGTGACGAGGATGATGAGGAATGATGAGGATGAAATCAATGAGGAAGAGATCCGTCGCGTGTTGACCGCCGGCTTGCCGGCTTCAATTCAATAACCCATGGACTCAATGACACATCTCCCAAGTAAATGTAGACCGACTAGATTTAGAAGCTTGAAAAGATTTCCCGAAAGTCTTTCTTTCGTTTGACTAGTCTTGAATTTCCTGCTTTTGTCGGATGTTAAAGATAGGGCAATATTAAAAGGACCCCCTCTTGTTGATATTCGGACCCCCTCTCCACCTGTCTAAGCCTAATTAGGGAAGGCTTAGTATGTGTATTTCATAGTGTATTTCCCTAGTAAAAATGAACAAAAGGGCGTAGACGAAGACAATAGGCCTTGTAGGGTGTGTGAAGACTTGCACCTAGGTCAATACACGTGTACCAACTAGGCCAAAAAGACCACTATATCAGCCTGGCGGCTAATATGCCTAGGACCGATATATATACTACTTAGTACGCACAATTGTACGCGTGGGCACTCTAGACGCCACGCCGTGACAGTTAAATCTTGTCTTCTATAAAAAGTACTTACTGAAGCAAAAACGTTTAGAAAGTAAGATGATATAGACTTACTCTTCGGTTTACGATAGGGGGTCTAAAATGCGGTCTAAAATGCGGTCTAAAAAATGGTCTAAAAAACAGTCTAAAAACAGTCTGTCCAATAGTGTTACAGCATTCGCTATGTCACTGTACTAAAAAAAGACACCGTGAAATACATATACTACGCCTTCCCTAATTAGGCGTAGACAGCTGGAGAGGGGGTCCGAATATCAACAAGAAGGGGTCCTTTTAATATTGCCCTAAAGATATCAGTACTTTCAGTCAAGATTTCACTAACTATCATACGTAGCTGTATATATACATATGTTTGTCGTACTCTCATATTACCGCTGTCACAACCACAACAACTTGGCTTTTCTCTCAATCGTGATTCCCGCTCTTTCCCTTCCAAGAGCAGCATGAGCGTATTTGACGAAGACCGTCAAGGCGAGAAGCCTGTAACTAGCCAAGAAAGCCCGTGCTTCCATCGATGAAGCTGCCAATACCCTCACTAGTGCGAGATGAAGATACAGTGCGAAAATATACTGACCTATTTATAACCGAGAACGGAGGGATTATCTAGAACACATGGACCCCCCGAGAGGCCAGGTTTTCGCCGCGGCTCGTTCGTCGTCACGAACGAAGCCGGTGCCCCTCTGGTGCCCCTCTTTGTCGACCAAGCCACCTAAATGAAACGTCTCACCCTCGCAAAATGCCCTCGGTCTGGGCTTTTATGGGCGGAGAACCAAGTAAAAGGCCGTTGGTTTTATAGGGAGACACAGGGTGTTCTGTAGCAAGTAGGTATTTGGTTGAATGGCAATTTTTGGCTTCGCTGGAACATATCGATCATTGTCTGCTCTACTAGCGCCAACGTCTGGCTGAGCAAGATCGTTGATGAAATCATTTCAACAATGGGGACAAACTTATCGGCGCCCATAGTTCATCCGAGGCCAGAACAACTGTCACAATGTGGGAAGGGATAGCTTTTTCTTCATGACAAGAAACTCAAGGACTTCTCATCTGTTGCTGCTTACATTTCTGCCTATCAGAATCAGACAAATGTACTGGAGAACTACAATATGCAACCACACCCCGTCGTCACTTTGGTCGTCATGTTTCATGAATTGAAGGATGAGATGCCATATACCGAGTACATCTGGTGGCAACTGAGGAATCCTATGCTGACCTGGCTGCAGGGATGATTGAAGCCCGTGGATGACCGCGATGGCAAGGCAAGTGGGATATGCGGAATGTAGTGGTGCTGTCAGTCAATGGACTCGCTAAGTTTCTTTGCGGGCCCTATGTGTATTGCAATGGGGTTCGGCAGGCGCTATTTGCCCTTTTTGCATCCGTATTTGCCATCGACAGGGCCAGGTTAGTTTTGGGGATTTTCCGGATCTATGCTCTTTGATCACTACATCCTAGAAGGCTTTTGTGCCATGACCAGCATGTGCTCTGGCATCAAGCAGAGCAACACATCCCTGTCCCGGTCTCACGGCCGGACTCTCCAAAGACCGACAAACTCCGTTCCAACTACATTATTAATGCTTTGTAATAGTACTGCAGTAATGTCACGTCACTTTTGTTTTGTATAAAGTTATGTTATAAATAAGTGACAGGAACTCCTACAGTGAACTTTTGAAGTATAGCATACCCTCTTTTGATCTTTAGTCTAATCCAATTCAATTCGGTCGTTGCCAATAATTTGAAGACTAAATATCCAACAATGGCATCCAACATCATCCCAATAAAACTTTGGGGAAAAGGTGGTCCCAACCCTCCCAAAGTAGCCATTGTCCTCGAAGAGCTGGGCCTTCCTCATGAGTTTCAACCCATAACATTCGCGGATGTGAAAACTCCGGAGTACCTCGCCATCAACCCCAACGGTCGACTCCCCGCTATCTACGACCCGAACACCGACCTCACGCTCTGGGAATCCGGCGCCATCATCGAGTATCTGGTGGATCGGTATGATACCTCTCGCAAGATCAGTTTCGAGCCCGGCTCCAAGGAAGCCCAGCTGGCGCGTCAGTGGCTTTTCTTCCAGGCTTCCGGCCAAGGTCCGTACTATGGCCAGGCGTGCTGGTTTAAGAAATTCCATCCCGAGCCGGTGCCCAGTGCGGTGGAGCGCTATGTGAAGGAGATTAACCGGGTTTCAGGGGTGGTGAATGATTTCTTGAGCAAGCAGGAGACCGGCCAGGGGGGTCCGTGGTTGGTAGGGGGACGGGTTTCGTTTGCGGATTTGGCTTGGGCCAGTTGGCAGATTATCGTGACCAAACTCATTCAGGAGGAAGACGGGTATGATGTGAATAACTTTCCTTTTGTGAAGGATTGGTTGGACCGCATGTTGAGCCGCGAGCCTGTGAGGAAGGTGATTGAAGAAGTTCAGAAGCTGTAAAGGCATGGCTTGGTGTTGCCATTTTGTTCTTTGTTCTGCCTTCGCTTTAGATATGTGATCTGAGGAAATATTTCGGTTGATCAATGATCGCCGTTATGGTAGATTGATCTTAGTGAATTATTTTGTGATGTTGGAAATGTCATTTTGCTCGTAACTTATCTATATCTCTATACCACATATAGCATATCAATACGCACATTATCTGGCTATTGTTCCACTCGCAAAGTCTGAATTAAATTAGCAGGAGTTGGAAGGGAGGAGGGATTACATAGAGAGGTGGGAGGTGCATTCCACACATTCATTGCATTGCTTTTCGTTTACATTGGGCATTTATACTAAGGGTTTGACGGGTTTTGAAATTCGGACTTCATGTATTGGGCTGGTTCTTCCACTCATTTCGAGGACCAGCCTCCCTGTTTGTACTGGAGCATTATCAGGCGCACGGAGTACTAGTTCTTGCTTCATTTCGGAAAGAAGCTCCTGAATAGCCATTACAATACTACTTAAGCTCCAACAGGTTAATAGAACTTTGATTGATTGATTTATTAATTGATTATTGAACAGCAAAACAAAAGAATGAATACATGGCTTCTTTTCTACCAAAGAAGTCTCCATGAGTTCGATCTTTGCCTAATGGGACCAAGGTGTAAGACAAATGATCGCATTGATGAAGTTATCAGACGCCGCGCTCTGATTCAGCTTTGTTAGTGGTGAAAGGAACTATTGATAGACCTATCTTTGTTCAATCGCCCAATCTGATAGTCGAGGAAGTTTGAACTAAGATAGCCTCAAACTCATCTCTCCTCATTACAGCGCCAAACCTAATCCGTCAAAGCAGTCCCACGTTAGCGACGATTACAGATTCACCGCTGCAGAATACACGTACCCGTGGCATTTGATCAGCTTCGAAAGTGACGAACTCAGAAGTCTGAGGATATCTAGATCGATCCTACTTGTCCAAGGTTGTTGGACAAGATGAAACCAAGCCTGGGTTGGGCTAAGCTCATCTTCAAGAACAAGCTCTTCAGACAGGGCTAGCAGTCTGTCAAATATGAGTGCGGGCTTATGCGATGGCGAAGCGCATTGATGGCTATTTGAGTTGATGAAAGTGGCAGATGCAAGCAGAGCATGGCCGTTAGGCTTGTCTGGGTGGCGATCTAAGTGGGGGAGACAGGGGTGTTCCAGTCTGTATGTGCATTAGGGGACAGGAAAGATGTAAAGTGAGGAAATACTACTCACGCCAAGATAAATTCCATACCCATGTCAGTCATCTTTTGGTCAAACGGTTTTTTGGCGCATAGCAACTGTGAATCCTTCGATTGAACTAGAGCAGTGCGAGATGGAGAACTGAATAATTGGCCCGGCAGTGGATCGTTTGTTAATCCAACTGGTTGGCCGTGGGAGTCTGTAGAGTTGTTTGCCTTGATAGGGGCGCAGATACTTTCACTAGAGAGGTCGACATATGCATTGGTCCTTTCAAAATCCATATCTGGTTTGGATGCCCATGAACTAATCCCATCTTGGACATTGGCATGGTCTTGAATCGGGGCTATGGGGGGGAGGGGGTCTGGTCTAACGCCCTCAGTTGCGACAAAATCGCAAAATGGGGTTGATAGTATAGATTGATCATGTTTCTTCAAAATCTCCTGGAGCACATCGACCTGGTTGCGAAGGTTCTGAACTTGAATGACCAAATTCACTTCATTTGCGCGTAAACGCAAGACCTCGCTCTCCAGATTCTTAAAGTACTGGTCTTTGCGTAGACGGTGTGTGCTGCGGAACATCAGCATAATTTGGGATTACAAGAAACACTACCATACCGCTGGGCTTTCCGAAGCTGTTCTCGTCGCCTAAAAAGGGTCGAGCTAGTACCGCCTGTGATTGGTAATCAGTAGGCCATTTCAATCATGAAACAATGCTTCACCGTTACGGGGAAACTTGAATTTGATCTCTGTACCTGAATCAGAATCTTGCCGATGGCCGGGAAGAAAGGTAAAAGCTTTCTTCATGCTTGATTCAATAGTTGTGGCAACTCGATCCGGACGATAAATTGCGTGTGGAGATTGAGATTGAATGGCAAGAGAGATGAAAGGCTAGGTAAAAATGGTATCGCTAGAGCTGGCTGGGGACAATCAAGGAGGTAGCCATCGAGTAAGTAAGCCTTGTATCCACCTCGATTAATCATGGGGTTGCGGCATTTATATTAGCGGTAAATTAGTCCCACTTTGGATAGGGATTTAGCATATCATAGCCCAGTTGTGCCCGCAGCTGTGGATTGTTGACTTAAGCAACATTTCCTATTGAAGCTAGCGCAAACCTCTAGCGTCTATTCGGTTGACTTCGAAGCGGACCAACCAGATTTTGGATTGTTGACTATATCATTCTTTCCCTTCTAGGATAGCTTGCAGCTAGTTTTCAATATAGATCATGTTGACTTAATCATTCTTCCTAAATCTATGTAGTTCATACCTTCATACCATGGTGCAGGGTCACCCGGTCGGCGTTAACCCCTCGGAGCGGAGGATGCTGTATAAAGAGTCCGCCTGAGTCGGTGTCAGTAAGATTCATTTCTCTACTAATTTCCTATTGTCGCATAGGCTTCCTTTTCTCGGTCTCTCTGCAAAATGCGTTCTACTTTCTCTCCTTTTTGCCTGTGGATACCATTCCTCGCAGGGTTTACATACGCCAACATAATAAATGCATGCCCCAAAGGCCCTCAAGAATCATCTGGTCCGGGTAAAACCATCTATGTTCAAACCAACGAGCAACAAAACTCGATTGTTTCAATTCCTATCGGACATGATGGGAAGCTCTACGGCGGTATGACCACCACCACGGGTGGCAGGGGAGGTGACAGTATCGACGGGACCACCAACAAGCCCGCTGGTCCAGACGCACTCTCATCGCAGGGCTCGGTGATAGTGACCGACAAGGTATGCATAAAGATATCGCGTGGGAGGTGCAGCTGGGACCTATGGGCTGATTATTTCCACTAGTATCTTTTCGCCGTGAACGCCGGATCCAATACTCTCAGCATGTTCAGAATTGGCGAGACTAATTCCACCCACTTGTATATGGTCGGAAAGCCAGCCATCGTGCCTGGTGAATTTCCCGTTACGGTTGCAGCTTCAGTGAAGCGAGACGTGGTATGCGTCGGATACACGGGCGCTAAGGCTGGTACTTCTTGTGCTTCATTCACGCCCGAGGGGCTCGGTCAAATGAAGCAAGCCGTTGAATTTGACCTTGGCCAGACCACGCCTCCCAAAGGGCCCACAAACACCCTCGCGCAGGTATTCTTCACTGCAAATGATACTCGCTTGATCACCACTGTCAAAGGGGATCCGAATACCAACAAGACCGGTTTCGTCTCTGTTCTACTATTCAAAGATTCACGATCATCCACCTTTGAAAGCCTTGATACCCGAAGCTCACCATCCGGAACTGCTGTGCTATTCGGTGGTGTTAATATTCCCGACACCTCAGATCTGTTCATAACAGACGCATCGTTTGGGGCCACATTCCTCAACCTCAATCTGACAACAGATAAGGTGTCTATTCAGCGCAAGCTAGTCATCGAAGGCCAAAAGGCGACGTGCTGGGCTGCTTATTCGCATGCAAGGGAAAGTGTCTTTGTCACCGATGCCGCAGCCAACCGACTGATTGAAATCAGTGAAGATGGCTCCAAAATCATGTCAACTCTTGACTTGAAGAATGGTGACCCTGGGCTTATTGATATTCAAATTTCTGGTCGCTTTGTTTACGCCCTTTCCCCCGGCAATGGCACTACACCTGCTGCGATCACGGTGGTTGACTCCTTCCAGGGTCGTCAGATTCAGCATTTCATGCTCAACAAGCTAGGCGCGGGGAAACGCTCCCAAGGTATGGCTATATTTGAATAGGTGCAGGTGCATTGTATGGCAGAGAGTATAGCCGTATCCGTAGGACTATGTTGAGCCTTGGCTCAATATAAATCACCTCTTGCTGCTCTAAAGTGCCCTAATTTGTGCTAGAGTGGATCGGAATCTAACCAGTCATTTTGTGCTATTTCAGATCGTGCGAATCTTATTTGAATTATGCCAAACACCAAAACGTTACATTTTTTATTTCACTCTGTAATATGAAATGTCCAAGTTCAGATATCAGGAGCAACATGAATGGTAACGGATGGACAGTCAAAGTAGTAGAGCTGATGGAAGATATAATGTGAAAGCGACAGGTTTGAGGATGATTTTGAAAATTACAGTATCTCAACGATGAGTATGATGATGAATAGGATATTGAGAATGATAGTGAATTTCTGAGAAGGGCAGCAGATCGGGGTGTTGACACGGTGCGAATTGACGGGATAATTGCATTGGCTAAAGCGTAAAGGGTCTTCGACTGCTGCTCCAAGAAGTACGAGGGCACAGGAACCGGGGGCAGAGGTACCTCCAGTGGTGTATGTGGATATAGCGTGTTCCGCCACGACTTCAAAATTCAATGAAGATCCGGAGACTACCCCACGGCTGTAATAGGTAGACGAAAAAGGATTTTAATAGTAGTTACGTATCGCTTAGGGCGGACGCGGCGTGAAGGGGTATATGATTAATTGTATTCTTGACAGCCGATCCCGGCTTTTCCTGGCATCAATGGCAACTTCCAGATTGAGAAAGCAGATACAAGGCTCGAAAGCTCCTCAACAGAGAGACTCATTGGATTCTGCACTTTGCAACTCTCACGGAAGCCCGAGGAAAACGTAGCAGTCAAAAGGGGTAGGATAAGCGCAGCGCAGCCTCAGTCGATGTGGATATCTTGATCATCGGAGTCGAAGAGTAGTGGATCTAGCCCCGTCCGCCACTACTCTCGGCTAACTCAGATTGTGAGCTTCACAGCGTGTGTAGTCCATGTAAATTCCCGTTTAACTACCTCTGCCATAACACAACGTTTAGGTTATGCTCGACGTCTAAGCTTCTTGATCAACGAGATCGGCATCTGGCCATGGGAGTAGACCAAGAGCTGGGGAAAGGTTAGATTCCAAGAGTCGGACCTGGTCACAAGAATAGAGATGTTATTGTCATCTGAAGTTGAATCTTGCTGGACTGAAGCAAGCTCACCAGCTACTAGAGTCTGGTACCACTGTGGGTAAAATTGCTTTAGGGGTGAATGAACCAGGCGAAGGTGCTCCATTCACTTGAAGTTCTATTGCCTCTGTTGAAAAAGGCTTTACAGTGGAGGGTTTTATGTGATCGGGTGGGTACATGGATCTTGTTTGAGCTCTACTAGGAATTAAATTGCCGGGCTGATCGAGCCCAAGTAGGACCTCGAGAAATGCATGTTGATTGCCTGCGTATGTATGCTGCTTTACTTATCAGACGTCTTCAGAGGTTTATTTGGCTTATGAAGAAAATGGTGATTAATTATGAGGCAAGTCTTCCTTTTGTTTGGTTTCAATTGAACTTTCTTCTGTTCAGGTAACTGGTCATCGTGAGGTATTTGCTTCATAGTACGAGAATGTCCAAGGGAGATTAAAATCTGCAATTGTCCACCAGGTGGTGAAGCAATAGTTTTCAATCTATCTTATGGTTTTTGACAATAGATGTTTGTATTAATCAAGATGAGCCAGCGATCACCAGATGAATGAGAAGATGTTCTCTAATATCGCTTATTACGATCTCCAACGTGCCATTACATGCTTGTAATCGACAATAAATTCAATTCAAGTGATGACTGGCTAATGAATATTGGACACAGCTTCAAAAAGCACGTAAGGGTACGAGTGGTGATACTTGTCCCTAGTAGAATTGTAAACCAGAGCTGTAGGGTTTAAACACCGAAGCCCTGGCCAATTCATTCAGAATTCAGAAGGACCAGTATCCTTTGGAGTATAAGCCGATCCCTTGACCTGCTCCACATCAGTTGCACCACACAGCCATCCCACGCGGTCCTTGGTATATAGCTCAACCCTAGGCTTCAATTTCGTCTCATGCAGGGTGAAATCATCCACTGTTCCGGTCCGCAGGATACTGTGTCTCGGGAACACTTCACTAATGCGGTACATAAGCGTGCCACACGTAGAACAGAAACAATTTGTCATTGCCTTCCCCGAGGCAATGGTTTTCGACTGGCTAAATGACGTGAGAGTTTCTTGGCCTCGTAGGTGTCTTAGATGTGTGTGTGCGACAATGAAATTGGTCGCGAACATGGATGCGGTGATCTTTCGGCAGTCCGTGCAATGGCAGATGAATGTATCGATTAGGCCAGGGCCTTGTGTTGGCTGAAAATTGTTCGTGACATTAGCGGGATGTAGTAAAAGGGGTTGCTTGGGAGCACTTACAAAGGCCAGCTGTACTGCGCCGCAGTAACATGTGGCAGTCGCCTGGTCATCTTTTAACCAACCATCGTCGGCGCCCCCGGCAAGAGGTATGTAAGGTTTGGAATTATCAAGAGCAGCAGCCATGATTGTGCTTGTTCATTGAATGTAAAGAGTCCTTCCTGTAAATATAAGTCCTCGTGTTTTCCTTAGTAATTTATTCCGATGAAAGATTACAAACCGGGCTTTCTGGCTCCCATCGGTATCCCACCGGTCTCCCACCGGTCTCCCGCTACTGTCCTTCGTTGGCCACGTATATGCCGATGATGACACAGTTGCACGTGTGATGCAGGCTCTGGTACGTATTGTATGTGGCAATCGTCACGAGGCCCTTCAATGGGCCGCAGATTTCAGATCATTTTCATTTAGCCAACTGAATCTTCAATAGTTGTCAAAAACAGATAATAGCTCATAGTTTCGCACTCCATAGACTCAATACATTATTGTTCATTCGAAAGTTGAGGCCCATCCAACTTCTTTTGGAAAGATCAGAGAGCAGCATAAAAAGGAGAGAAAGCAGGAGCAGAGAACGACAAGACAGTACTTCCGTATATCACTCAGTCATATTGAATCCCGTACATTCTTGATTTCCCTTTGGCTCGAGCAATATGAGATTGCCTCCGTCGTAATACACTCTCCCAGGAGCGCCAAGAATCTCACCTTGGGTAAATGCAGATCTAGCCCCCCGATATCCCTCACAATTGCGCTTGCAAGCTCACTCGTTGACTGCCGATTTCTCGGGTTGTTCAATGTGATGGACCATCTCCACCTTTTCTCCAACTTCCAGCTCCAGTACCCCACACTTCCGTAAAGCCTGCGAGTATTTAGTTACTTGCCACCAGTGCTCAGGTTCTCGGAATAAATTGTCCATCTCCTCGAGTGAGAAGCCTTTCGTTTCGGGGAAAAAGAAAAATATGAGCATTGAAACAGAGAATGCAATCACGGCGTAAACAATGTAATAGCGGTATTTGATGGTGACGAAGGCGACTGGAGTGATCTCAGCAATGACAAAGTTGAAAAGCCAGTGTGTTGCCGTCCCGATGGCCGAAAGATGCATGCGCAGATCCTGCGGAGCAATTTCCGTGCTGTATAGGAAATTGGCCCCAAGGAAGCCAAGAGGGAAGAATGTCATGTAGAAGAAAAGGAAAAAGGTGGCCGCCACGGAGGCTGCATATGTGTAATGGTCCTGCAGAACCCAGACACTCACGGCGAGTGAAGCCATCGACACACCCATCCCCAGGCCAGAGATAACGAATAGCGGCCTTCTTCCAAAACGATCGACCGTAAGGTAAGCCGATACAGCAGCAAAAATTTTCCAAGTGAGCACGCCGGCGTTGAGTAGCGATGCCCTCTGCTCTGGCAAACCCAGGGACGCTTGGAAAATGGTGGTTCCGTAATAGGAGATAGCATTTGCACCAGTCATCTGCGCAGCGAAGTTGATACCGACAGCAAGGCATAGGCGGTAAAAAAGACGTTGACGGTTGTGCTTGAAAAGGTCGGAAAAGCCACGCTCAGAAGTAGAGGCTTCTTGAAGGGCGTTAGAAATAGCGCGTATCTCTTGAGTAATGCCCTCATGGTTGGCATTTTTAGGACCGGCGAGCGTGACCATAGCGGCACGAGCTTCTTCATCTCGACCCCTACTGATTAGCCAACGAGGAGATTCTGGGAACCACCAAGTCGCGAAAATGAGTATGAGAGTAAAGATAATGGGCAGACAGAGAGGTAGACGCCAGGCAACTTCGCTATGCGAGAGGTGGGAGAGGCCATAGTTAGTCCAACCAGCAGCAGCAATCCCTGTCGCGATGAAGATACCGATAATAACAACGTTCTTCCCTCGGCTTCTAGGCTTCGTGCACTCGCTCTGCCACACAGGTACGATGGCGTTAACACCGCCGTTGCCAATACCAGACAGGATGCGGCCGAAAACCAACTGACCAAGTGAAAAGGAAGTTGCCTGGATTAAGAGGCCGACGGTGGCCACAATAGACACCAGTATCAATGATTTGCGACGACCAATACGATTTCCAACCTGCGTAACACCCAGGGCGCCTATAAGGCAGCCAATTGTGTAAATGGCAACGACCGTACCTGCATTAGATTCAAAGTGGTTACTAATGATCTCTTCATAATGACGGTGACTCATGCAAACTAACCCTGAACTTTGGCATTTGTACTCTTGGTAGATCCTTCAGTGTTCGCTGTGTCAAGACCAGGAAAGTACTTGATGAAGGAAGGATACTGTAGAACGCCTCCTATGTTTGACTGGTTGAAGCCGAATAATAGAAAGGCAGGGACAACTATCAAGACAATACGAGCCCTCGCTAGTGCTGGACCTGTGAGGCCGAAAAAGCCCATAGTCATTTTGAGCGCTTATTCCAAAAAAAGTAAATCCTCTTGCACCTTCTGGATGAGATATTGCGGCTTTCAAGGGGTTGGAAGGGATCTGAAAGGTGCTCGTGGGCGCAAAAGACGAGCAAGGTAAGCCCCCTTTATAGCTAGCACCATGGATATGTTTGAGACACATTATACTGGCTATGGCTTGTCAGGCTAGAACTCAAATGTCCTGAGCTTAGTTTGCAACGACCTATACTCCAGATTGCTACCCCGCATTCGATTATCCCCCGAAATATTTAGCAAGAAAGTACCTCTCCATATTCTTCGTAGGTCCGAAGAGGCAAATAAGTTCCCGTTAATTGGTCATCGAGGCGGATATTTACTCGAGGCTCGTGGCGGACATTGGCTCTAATCGCGCAACGAAGCGCCTGAACCTTTTCCCGCTTCCTTCTGCCACATTGGAGAATTTTCGAGATGCCGCGGAGCATACTTCAGCCATAACTAACATTCTTCTGTGGATTTGCGTCTAAATCAATCTAGTCAGACGAAAATCTAAATCACGAAATTGGCCGAGGTCCCAAAATTGGTCCTAGTCTTGATGGTTGCTTGCCCAGCACGTGGTGATCCAAGGAAATGATAGATATATCAAACATGCGCCCTGTCTTTTCGGTAATAAACTCCAGTCACAAAACGACTTCATTTGTTCGCAACTACATCACGGCAATGTCTCCAGCCAAGCCTCTCGTTCTATTCTTCAGCCCCGTCCGACATGCTACATCGAAGTACGAGCAGCTACAGCAAGTGGCCCAGACGGAGGTTGTGACCAGCCAAAGCAGGGATGAATTCTTTTATGACGTTGCGACCAAGTACCAGAACGTTTTCGCAATCTATCGGACATCTGCTAGTGGCTCAGTATGTCTTCCTCTGTTTCAGTTTCATCAGTTGGCCAAAGCTCCAATCGAGTACTTTGCAAATCCGAGCAATAAACTAACGAATGGGTTTGACACAGGTAGCTGGAAAGTTTGATGCTGATCTCATCAATCGTTTGCCCGCTAGCTGCAGATACATCTGCCATAATGGCGCAGGTGCGTACCGATCTGATTAGTACGACGTGAAAGAAATCGTCCCAGAGCTAACAAGTAATTAACCAGGATACGACCCTATTGATACAGCTGCCTGTGCAAAGAGAGGCATCATTGTCACTAACGCGCCTGACCCAGTTACCGATGCCACCGCCGATCTGGCTATCTTCCTCCTTCTAGGGGCTCTGCGACAGCTTAACCCGGCCATTTTTTCATTGCGTGCTGGAACATTCAAGAAAGGCGTCGATTTCGGCCACGATCCTCAACAAAAGTTACTTGGTATTCTGGGTATGGGTCGAATTGGACGCGCAATCAAGGCCCGCTGCGACCCGTTCGGCCTCAAGTCAATTTATCACAATCGCAACCCGCTGTCACCTGAAGAAGCCGCTGGCGCCGAGTATGCTTCCTTCGAGCAACTGATCGCCACGAGCGATATCATCAGTGTCAATGTGCCCTTGACTTCAAAGACAAAGCACCTCATTGGTGCGAAGGAAATTGCCAAGATGAAACCTGGCGTTGTTATCATTAACACGGCTCGTGGCGCTATTATTGACGAGGCTGCCATGGCTGATGCCCTGGAGAGCGGTCATATCGCTGCGGTCGGTCTCGATGTGTATGAGGACGAACCTAAGATCAACGAGAAGCTCCTGAAGCAGGATCGGGCCCTCATGGTTCCCCATGTGGGTACTCACACCACCGAAACACTGGCTAAGATGGAGTCCTGGGCGATGGAGAATGTGCGGCGTGCGATTGTCGGAGAGGCGCTGCTTTCCCCTGTTCCAGAACACCAGCACCTTATTCAATAGATCTACTGGGAAGTTATTCGAAGTTCATAAATACCCCTTCGTTTGGCAACCTTGCTAAATAAGTAAAAGCTCTCCCATCCTAACCAGCCAGGCAGAGCAAATAGTTGTTACAAACGCGAATCTTGATAAGGGGGATCAATGAGGAGGGGACCTTCCCCGGTAGATTAAATGCTCCCTCATTAGATCATGAGCACTGGTGACGGAGACGTGCTTGTTTTAAGAGTATCTTCATTACTGATAATGCAGAAAAAGTTCAATCTGGTTGTCTTTTTTTTTTTTTTCAATGTACGCAGAATGCTATAGGGTGTCTAGCAGGCGCGCTTCCTGGGCATTTCTCTATGAACATGTACACCTAGGAAAGACCTGACACTAAATTCACCGATTCTGTGGCCATGATAATAGACAGTAATACATTTCCCAAATATCTCGGCCAGGGAATTAAAAGCTATTCTCGGTTGTCATTATGGATGCTACCAAGTACAATGGAATCCATGTATTAGATGGGCACCAGCTCCTTCGCTAATTTCGTTCCACATCTGCCGGCAACAGGTAGAACGTAGGGAAGCCGCCGGCGAGTATGGATTTGGCCAGTTGCGGCTGAACTCGTAGGCTGAATTAATAGCCGTGTGTTCCAGCCGCAGGCGAGCCAGGGCTTGCGCCCACCTCATTTGACTGAAAGTCGCGAGTGCGACATAACCGAGCTAGATGGTAGTTTCTTACATTTAAAGGCATATCCCAATAGTCTAGTGGGCCCAACACATAGAACACTTCAAATTCAAGAATTGTTTGAACTCGAAATCCCACATCTTCGTCATGGGTAAAATTGCACTTATCGGTGCCGCAGGCCAAATTGGCACACCTCTCAGCCTCCTTTGCAAGGCGGTGAGTACTTACCCGTCTCAGACGATGAACACTTGTTAATGTAGTTCGGTCTAGAGCGATATATTTGATGAGATATCGCTATATGATATCGTACATGTTCCAGGCATTGCGACTGATCTAATGCACATAGACACTAAGGCCAAGGTCAGCGGCTATCTACCTGACAATGGAGGTCTCAAGAAGGCTCTTGCTGGCGCCGACATTGTTGTTGTGACCGCTGGTATTGCCCGTAAGCCTGGTATGACGAGAGATGGTAAGCAACATAATCGACTGTCCTTGAAATATATACCCTTTCGACCATGTAACTAACAATAGCCTTATAGATCTTTTTAAGGTATCTTGCCCTGTCACTGCGTACTCATCGTGTATTCATGATGAACGTAAATGCGATGGCATACTGATTTCAACCAGACTAATGCTAGCATCATCCGTGACATCTTCTCTGAAGTCGCCTCTACTTGCCCTAATGCGATCTCCTGCGTGGTGACGAACCCCGTGAACTCTACCGTGCCCGTTGCAGCCGAGACTCTGAAGAAGGCTGGTGTTTTTGAACCCAGACGCCTCTTTGGCGTTACGACTCTCGACGTTGTGCGTGCCTCCACATTTGCTGCACACGCCCTCGGTGGAAATATTGAGCCCAAGCAACTTAGGGTCCCAGTAATTGGCGGTCACAGTGGAGCCACCATTCTTCCCCTTTATAGCCAAGCTCAACCTGTTGTCCAGCTCAGCGATGAGCAATTAGCACCTGTCATCAACCGTCAGTTCCCACATCGCAGATCTTATAGCAAAGCCCATGCTGATGGTAATAATAGGTGTGCAATTTGGTGGTGATGAGATCGTGAAGAGTAAGCAAGGAGCTGGCAGCGCTACGACCTGCATGGCATACGCTGGCTTCCGCTTTGTTAAGGCTCTTATGTCGGCCCAGAGCGGTCAATCTGTGACAGAAGAGGCATATGTATATCTCCCAGGCATTCCCGGGGGGCGCGAACTTGCTGCGGAACTTGGTGTGGACTACTTTGCCGTCAAGGTCCAAATAGGCCAAAAAGGTGCCACCAAGGTGCTTCCTATTGGCGATTTGTCTGGGAATGAGAAGAAACTGCTTGAGGCTGCTCTGTGCGAGCTTAAGACGAACATTGCCACAGGTGTTTCTTTTATGAGCGTCTGATATGTGACACGCTAGTTCGATTATCCTTCAATAGACTTGACTGGCTCTCTAGATCAAAAAGGTTCTTATTGAGTGGTTTTATCTGCCTAAGGTACCGTAAACTGTTTTCGAATTCTACTGTATTTTGAATGTGCAGAGAATCTCTGAGCAGGAATCCCTTTGAAGCAAAAGATGTACTGTTTTACCCTGATGGCCAATTTTATTTTCTAAAATGCCCACCCAGAAGATTAGAATGCGACTGTGGCCGTATGCCATTGTATAATGATCTCCTAAGTCAGATCCTGCCAGACAACGTGGAAGTCATGGCGCTCTATTGATAGTTGAACAAGTCCCATGTCGAATTAAACAGAGTAGAGAAGTATACGTGTGGTCCGTTTTGAGGGGAGAGGAGAGAATTGTTATTCGATAACACATCCTAAGGCACCCCCGCCGCCGAATGATATGCAACGAGAGTTAGAGGAGCAAATTAGTATGAATTAGCTTCCCATACGGCAACACTCTGGCCCGATGACTTTAGTACACCATACACGTACGTACATGAATTTAGTAGGCTAGAGGAGGGATGGCGTAAGCAGACATGATCAACAAGCGATTTAAGTCAACTCCGAAAAGCTTTATGGCACATTTTGTCGCACCAGTTCGCGACCTTCTAGCCAGACAGACTAGAATATTCATATCGTTACATTGAATTTGGGACATGATCGTCCGGTAGATGAGAGATGATCCATGCGAAGCAACCGAATCTGATTGATCATGACCGTGGTCTGCACTCATCCATGTAACAGGTAATGTGGTCTGAAATCTGCTAAGTTCTTTGGCTCTCCAGCATTGCCAAGAATATGCATTTTTACCGATTTATGCATTGGAAATACAATTACTGCATAAGACCTAATCGGGTTTAGCACGCGTAGGTAGGGTCCGAACGCTCAACACGGCGTCCCTTTAGTGACGCCCAAATTCAATCTCAACGAAAATTGGTCTAAGACATCGTGGTAGCCGCCAAATAATGCTCCAAATCGCTTGACGACCAAACTTTGAGCATGACAAGCATTAAACAATCCCTGGCGTATCCGCAATGCGGAAAATATACTTCGTTGCGCTTGCTTTTCCGGCTTTCAAATCTCTTAACGCATCTTCAACACCTTCCAGGCCGCGCGGCCTAACTTCGAAAGGATGACCCGAGAAACTGCAATTGTTCAACGCTCTTGTAAAATACCGGGAGAAAATGAAACCCAGTTCCTCGCTGTTCTCAAACTCAGGTTGTTTGTGCACTGACCCCACCGAAGTGATCGATTTGTTCGCAGGTGAGACGTCTAGGTCGTTAGGCAGCGTGAAATCAATCTGTCCACCCGGAGTGACCGATTGCTTTAAGACCTCTGCGCTTTGCGGAATGATAACAGCATCGAGTGCATGCTCCACATTAGTGTGGCCGGCTCGTTCAAGACTGGCTCTGATCTTCTTGACCGTCGTCTCTACACCTTCGCGATAGTCGATCACGACATCTCCTTTGGTTGGATCGAGCAAGGCCCCAACATACTGCGACCCTTTCCCTGCAATAGCGATGATAGGGTGGATATTGCTGTTGCATGCCAGTTTAATAGCGAAAGAGCCGACTGCCGTGCTTGCACCATAAACGATGAATGGGGTAGGTTCCGCTGCAGGTGCCCATGGGGGGGGGAAGCGATGGTGCGCGTATAAGGAAACAGCAGCAGTCAAGGCAGCGAGAGGGATTGTGGCGGCTTCTGTTAATCTTGATTAGATTCGGACGGACCCAAGAATATTGGTCTTAAACGCACCTTCGAATGAAGTGTGGTTTGGTAAATGGAAAGTTGTATGACTCCATGCAATTGCGTACTCTGCATAAGAGCCACCAGGTGCACACATTTCGTGAAAGGCTGCAACGCGATCACCCGGCTTTACAAATTGTGAGCTTGCGCAATATAAGCAGAAGTAGATGACTTACTTTGAATTCAACCACGTTGGATCCAACTTTCTCAACTACTCCAGCAATATCATCTCCCTGGTTCAGCCCCTTCTTCGCCTTACGCATCATCTCGAAATTGCTATCCCCAGAAGCTGCAATATCTGGAACTTTCCAGTCCTTTGGATTAGACCCAGACACGACCACTTTGATGAGCACTTGGTCATCGTTCGGCTCAGGGATTGGACTATCCACGAACTTCACAGTCGGCCCTGCCAAATTGATGACCTCTTTCATGTCTCTTTCTCTCTTTCTAGTTCCTGTAAAGCGGAAAATTTAAGGAAGTCGGAGGACAAGGACAAATGAAAGAATAGAAATGCAGACTGATCTATCTCTCAAGCTCAGATTGGTGGTATATAAATGATGCCTTGATTATAAATCGACATCCTGTCATGCTCTTGACTGGCTAGTTAAATAGGTGCCACCTTATCCTCGCAATACCTTGATTACGCCAATTCATAATTAAGTGGAGCACTGGCTGTGGGACACCGGTGGGATACCGATGGGGGGCCGGTGTGAGCACGTAGACATCGCAATTTGGGGAGTCGCGATTCTTCCGCTTCGATTCGAGTGGGAACGAGTCTGTAAACCCAGGGAGGTATATACCCACTGTCCCATTTTATTAGTGATTGTTAGCCATCGAGTTTTTGACCTCTAGTTGCATCATCATTAGAAATTTCTGACTGAGCGGTGTGTCGGTGGTGGGAGACCTGGTGGGAGCTAGCTCGGAGACTTGCTATTTCTATCGGGAGTAATTAATGTAAGACAAAGAACGAGTTGTTACGAAGTTACAGTGGGTATCCTGACCTTTCACAAAATCATAGGACATCTCACGGTACTTTTCTATACTTCACAATCTCAGGTTCTGGTAGCTTCAGCCGCAAACAAGGCCAAATCTAATCTGTACGTTGATCTCTAGGCCTCGCAATAGTTCGATCCGCTTCAAAGGTCGAGCCCCCAAGAGCGCATAAAGGTGTATAAAGGGGGGTCTATTATTTATTTTGTCTCGCAATGAGGATAACCTATAATTTCCATGGTTAGGAAATTCCTTGGTGCCTTACATTTGCTTCATCGTGCTACGTCTTAAAGGCGACTATAGCTTTCTTTAATATTTATTGTTCATCTGAAGACACCATCTACCTCTATGTATACCTGACCGTCCTGCGACTCTCCCTACTATTTCTAGTTCCTGTTTCTCCCCAGGGCTTATTCAACCCATGGTACGTCAGTTAGTGGCTGGGCACCTTGGCCCGATATACTTTCTACTGATAAAAGACAATTGGGTTTACCAAGGGCAGATAGTGAATCAAATACTCAGCCCTAGGGATCGGGGCTAGAGATTGGGGCCAGAGATCGGAGGCTCTGCTCGGTTCGGAATCACCGACCTTGTTGCATACCCCTTGGTACCCGCTGTCTGATTTTGGGTGCGAATACCTAACCACAAGGGTAGGACTTGGCATCGATTACTGAGGGATCTACATCGGCGATGATTCTGTTTCTACGATTTGTCTACTCCTGCCAATGGAGCCGACTGGAGTGTACAACAGAGTATCGAAGTAGCTATATGGTAAGAACCACTAGTACTTCACACATGATGCTCGTACATGTTTCAGCCTTCATTGGACTCAATCTAGTCGTAAGTTCCGTCATCAAAACATGTGCATCTCACGGCCGGCATGGAACATGGCTGGCAACAGCTTCCGGTTGCGGTCAAGGTCTCGCACTGGTGTGCGCAGAGACACCGGCACGCGCTTCAGAGCACCCTTCTCAATCCGTCCCTCGAGATGGTTAGCCCAGAGCTCGGCACCCAAGCCTCCAAGACCCTGTCCAGTCATCTTGCCCAAGTTGACAACCTTGTCCAGAGAGACGTTTTGCACAATCTCCCATGCGGTCTCCAAATCGCCCTGGAAGCCTGGCTTGCCAGGTCCCTGGGAGGGGTTCTCCACCTTCGACAATTCATCCATCTGGTGACCAGCAGCTTGCCACAGCTTCTGGCGGTTGAGATACATGTCGAGGGTATCGCAGGTGCGCGCCTTCTTCTCCATGGTGAATTGGTGCCAGTACTCTGTCAGACCCTGCTCAGGTGCAGCATCCTCAAAGCTAAAAGCATCGGTGGGGATTCTCCGTCCGTACAAATCATTTCCAGCACCAAGTTTCAGTAGGCAGAGGAACCATTTAGCTCCCTTGACACCCGAGAAGCGGGCCAGCACCCATTCTCCAGCGATGCCGTCGAGGTTCTGCTTTTGTACGAAGTTGATCATGCGGCCGACCTTGACCTGCTCGGGGGTCTTTTCCAAGTTGAGTCCGCTCAGAATGCCCTGCTCCTTTGGTGGTTCTTTCTCAGTGATATCCTTGGAAGGCTCCTCGGGCTTAAGGGAAGTCTCAATGACCTCCGACAAATCAAGCTGCTGCGCCAACACGTCTCGCTCACAAGAGAACGCGACCAGTGTCATCGAGAGACCGGTACTGATGATGCACCATCCGTCGATCTTCTGGCCTCTGACTGCAGTACGGATTCGGGAACGCAGCACATCAGGCTCAACCATCTTGACGATGATCCTTTGGATATCGAAGATACCCCGGATACCACCACTGCTCACCGTGATTGGGTTGGGACAGACCATTCTTTGGTCCTCTTGCTGCTTGAGCTGAGTGTTGCTATCCTTGCTGTTCGCATCCTCAGTTGTGGCAACCTGCTTGTCCTGTGGCTTGTCCAGTGGCTTGTCCTTGGCAGATTCGGCTTGGCCCTTCGCAGGGCCACTAAGAGCACTGATAACCTTTTCAATATCCGATTTCAAATCAGCGTATGGGTCTTGTCTTTCCTCCGCCGCGGTCGTGGGCGTGGCAGGTGTGGCAGGTGTTGCCGGCTCGCTCGGTTGGGCCTTTTCAGTTGGCTGGGAGCCACCCTTCTTCCATCCAAAGGACATCTTAGGAACTTCAAACTTGGGTATTTCCATCTTGGGTGCTTCGAACTTCAAATTCTTGGAGAACGAGTCGACACGTTCCATAGTGTTGTTCAATCTGCCAGCAAGAGACTGATTCTTGATTTCCTCGTCCGCTTCTTCGGGAGTAAAGTCGTGGATCTTTTGAACGATCGACTCCAACTCTCCAATACGGTCTTTCAGTATGTCGAAATTGGTTTCCTTGATTTTAGTGGCCAGATCACCGAGTTGTTGAAATACTGAGCATTGCTCTGGCAGCTTCTTACTCAGCGCAAGCATCTCAGCCAGAAGCGTATTCACATGGCTTGCGGTCTCGCTCTGGCGCACTCGCTGGTCTCGGAAAAGTTCCAGAATTCGCCTACTAGTCTGTGCTTTTGACTTGACATTTGGGTTGTTCACGGGATCGACAAAGGCGTCAATGCTCGCCGGATACAGCGATCGTCCGTGGAGAGGGCTACCACGGTGTTTTCCGGACCAGTTAAAGACCGAAACATCGTTGTATGCGATCACGACCTCATCTAACAGCCTGGCCAGGGCTTTAGGAAGACCCTCTGCTGGGAACGCAGGGAATCTAACGCCGAGAATACCCATCAGAGAGTACGCTTGATCCGTGGCAACAGTGGTGACACGGTCCGATGCTGTGACAAGGGAGGTGCTTGCGGAGGAGTTTCCGAGACCATCACCAACAACCCAATTTGTCATGTTCTCGATCTTGCTGAACTTGGCAATAGCCTTTCGGTCGTCGAGAATCGTTTGGTCGGTGAGATTTATCAATGTGGCCAGCAAGTAATTGAAAAGGGAAATCTTTTCACTGAGATGGGGTTCATCTGTTTCAGCGAGTTCAGACTCGGCTTTTCCAGCAATGTCAGGCTTATATCGGAGGCCGGACAGAGAGGCATCGTTAGCAATGCTCTTCTTATCCAAGAGGTTATCCAATTTTATAGGCAGCTGTCTGCAGGCGTTGAGAACTGCTTTTCCAATTTGAGATTCGGCCAACTTCTCTTGCAAACCTCTTGGTGCCACGAAGCCCAGGGATTGAAGCATGAGGGTGAGCTCCTGCTCCTGAGACATTCCAGGCTGGATGAGCTCCGGTGAAAGGAGTTCTTTCAGCGTAGCAATCTGCTCCGAAGGAGCTGTGTTGAACCTCTTGACATAGGGATGACGCAGATAGCGTTTGACAAAGGGACGAAGGAAGTACAAGGGACCAAGCACCTCGACCGGTCGGACCAAGTTCTGCCAGTGCGAATTGACGTAGTAGGTCACCTTGCTCAGCACGAGCTCTTGCAAGGTCCATCCACGTGTTGCCCACTCCACCTGATATTTCTTCTTTTCGGCTTCATCGGCACCGGCACCAATCTGATCAAAACTGGTCATGTTCAATGGCACCGGAATATAGGAAGGGTCCTTCCAGTGCTTCCACTCTTCAATCCAAGAAGATTCATCCCGTGGAGTATCAACATGGACCAGACAGAGATCGGCATTCTCATACCAGTCTCCCATCAAGGCCAGGGACTCGGTTAACTCGTAGCTATCCCCCTTGTTAATACAGCACGTATCAAGCCACACATAGCGCTTTCCTCCTATAGGGAAGTGCGCATTAAACAGCTTCTTGGCCTGTGCGATAGACTCCAAGATCTTCCGCGAGGACCTGATGTGTTGCAACGCGACAAGTAGTGCCTCAATTCCATAACACAACTCGCGATTCTGGTCGAAGAATTTGATCGTGCTATCCTGATCCTCTCTGGATTTCGCATCCGCTTTGTGTTTTGTTTCCGCCGATGTGCGACTGTCCAGTGCTTCTTTCTTCAGCGTTTTGATTGCCTCTTGTACTTTTTGCATTTCCGGATTCTCTGTCGAGACATCTGACTTCTCAGAGGGTTTCTTATCAGAGAGATTGGTTATGTCATTCCAAAGACCTTCATAATATTCTGCCTCTCTTTCTGCGCTCGAATAGCTGGCAGTAGCATCGTGAAGTTTCTTCTGTGAGCTTCCAAGGGCCCATTCAGCTCCATTGGCGTCTGTATACCACTGAAGAAGGGTTGCGATATCCTCTGGGCGTTTTCCATCGGATCTCTCACGGACATGAGGAAGGGCAGAATTGATCTTGTGTTCCAGGTCCTTGATATCTTGTTTGCATTTGTTGACAACCCTGCTTACATCGTTCGAGGGTTCCTCGGACTCTTTGTTGGCAGATCCATTCTTGGGCTCAAACTTCTTGGCCTCGCTAAAGTATCCGTAGGTGACTTCAGAGCCTTTCCAGCTGTGAGACACGATGCAGTACTGGTCGTGCAAGCCGAGGTTGTATGTAGTGACCATGTTCATGGTATCAACATCAATCATGCGAGCAGGCGTCTTCAGGTCTTCGTCGGTCTTAGCCAGCCAGTCATCTGGCACCCGACGATCATCGTGAGGTGTGATGTGTTCATCGTCCACAAACTTGGGCTTGACGGTTGGAACGAGGAAGTGGTTCAGGACCCGACGCAGCTTGTGCTTCTGCTCTGGGTTAAGCGCAACATCCCTAAACCGGCCGGAACGATCACCAATAAAGTTGGCAAAGTCATATGCCTCTTTGAGGGCGGAATTGGAGACGACGGAGTCCGCAAGAACTGATTTGATTGTTCCGAGCGAATTCATTGTCTCATGGGACTTGACAATTTGGATGGTAAATGCAGTGGTTTGTAGTCTCTATACCAAGCCGGGGGGTAAAGATATACACGAGCCGATGGACCCGATAATAAACGAGGTGGACTGTTCCGCATGAGACAAGAACTTGCTTCACATCCCAGCTGAACCTCCTTTACGGTGACGGGACCTATCATCTTGCAGCCGAGGACTCCACTCGGGAGACCCATGAGGCGGGAGGGGGATGAGAGCTGTTGATTGGAGTGAAAGGGCAAATACCACGACCACGTCAGCGCACAGGGACATGGGATGTGGTTTTCGAGCAGTGGACCCTCACAATCCACCCCAATCTGCAGCTCCATGACACTTTGATCCACTCTGTTTGTGGCCCCAGTGCGTCTTCACAGCACCCTCGTTAAATTATTATTTTGAAGCACTTGGTCTTCAACATACTATCATATTAGACCCTTTAAAGAACCTTTGATCCAAGCTTTGCCTACAAGAGCCGATCTACAAAATGGCATCCTACCACCGTGTTCTCGAGACCTTTGGAAGAACTATTAATGATAATACCTTGGAGTGCGACTGGTGTGTACAATTTTTAAGCTATTTACCACCATAGCCACTTCAGAGCTTTGTTGGCTAACATCGACAGTGATATTCATCCATGGGAACTCGCCATTAACGGGGAGCAATGGGCTGGCAAAATTCGGCTGATTGGCTATGTGGATGTGTTTTTCCTCATCGCCTACTCTGCCAATGCTCGATTTGAGCATGGAATTATCGTTTATAGTATGTTATCTTGGAGTTCGACTATGTTAACAACGAGCTAACGGCTGTTTAGAGGACAAACTGGCTTTGGAGGAGCTCACAGGCATTACCTCCAAACCGAGCCAGGCAAACACTCAGGGTGATAATTTAGCAGACCATCAGGAACCCGAAGAAAGTCAGTTTTCCAAGGATAAACAGTGCAAGTATAAGATGCTCACAACCAGCAGATCTTCAAGACATTGAGGAAGCCGGGGATGCTGAGGATCCAAACGCGAAGGCAGACCAGGACGAAAAGTCCAAGTCGACCGACGAGCAACCCAAGGACAATCAGAACGAGGAGATCGTGGCTCCCGAGTTCCGCAAAACGAGCACCCTCTCGATCAAGAGCCTGGGTCACCCGATCGGACTGCGGGCCTCGTATCCCAAGTCATGGATCCGCAGCTACAAGGTGGAGATCACCAAGCCCGCCAGTTGGGGGTTGAGCAGTGAGTGGCACCCCGCTTTCACATCACATTTGAAGCATCGAACTGACCAGGATGGCAGAGCGCATCATGCGGGGGTTGAAGCCACACAGTACTTACGATCTGATGAGCGACGTAATTCGCTGCGGCATCATCTCGCAAGGTCAGTTGGCGGGTCATATCATGGGTATCCTCCTTGCCGGTACCCAGCTAGACGACACGGCCAAAAAATACCTCAATGGGTTGACGTCAGGCAACGACGCTGGTCGGCAGGCATTGTCGAATGAGAAGATCTAGTTTTGGAAGTTGGGGGGTTACCCGTGTCGGTATAGCTCAGCGAAATAGTTCATCGCTTAGGAGAATGAGATCGTCGCAACAGCCTGTGCGAACCAGACCAGAGAATGATTTTCACACGACCAAGGGGCATCATCACAGTGGGTCTCAGAAGACGCTAGAGATCTGTATCTGTCTCAATCTCGCGGTGATCAACATGCTTGGGCGAGACGGCAGATCACATAGACAACGTACTCAGAAACTCAAATCAGCAGTTATCAGGAAGTTTGCGTTCCCCCCGCGCGTGGTCCACCTATCAATGCTGTTGCAGGGTGTCATTGGCTATTATTTTCAACTGTGATGGACTCATGGAGAGGGAGAGTACTTCCTTCCGTCTCCCTTGCAATTTTCCGACACTTTGGGTCTGTTCGGTGGCTGGCTTAACTGTGGATCTAAGCCGACTGCAACATCTCCACCCACGCCACTCCTACGCTGAATGGAAAAAGTGCTAAGATTCGGTTGCGATATTTTTTCATCGTTGGTCGGTGAATCTGTGTCAACAACGAATGACGGGTGGCGCACAAACGGGGACGCCATCGGGGTGGGCCGCGGACCGTCTGGTCGGGTTGTTTACTCCGCTCCCAATCACAACTTTGAGTAATCTGTCATGCAGATATTCCCTGTCTGTGCGGGCTTGCTGGCTTGGACTACCGCTATTGGATCCCATTGACCCCACTGAGGAGCGGAGCTGAGGGCAACGAACTATGCATCATCCCGTCCGCGCTGAAAAAAACTCTCGGGAATATGCGGTCTCTTCCATCTCTAATGTCGATCACCTAATGGACCCAATCACCACCCCGACGCGGAACAAATCTGCTTCCTAGGAGTCCCCGATGGAGATGCCCCATTGTATATCTCCACTTGGTCTCAAACTGTGGTTGATTTTTCTGGCAATATTCAGATGGCCGGCTGCCACCTCGTTGCCTCTTTTTGCTTTTGTTGACTCGGACCTGGGCGTGTACTTTCGATAAATCTGCAGGCCATGTGGATCCTGGCCTGCAGATTTCCTCGGAACCTGTCCATGGCATTCGGGGGTAGTTTTTAGGTTTCCAATGTTTATTTTTCTTTTCTTCTTCTCCTACCTTGCTGTGTTTCTCATTCTCCAAGGTCCCGGATATTTCCCTCAAAGAGCACATCATGCCCTGGTTTCCACTGAACGTCGACGATGGCTCGGTGTCATGGAGCTTCGACATCGTCGGTTTGCTGGCGGTCGTCGGAGGATCCGCCATTGGAAAGTATGCGCAGGCTATCACCGCATCGCCCTTTGGCAGCATCCCTCGTCTCCTACCAGCCCCCGAGACGATGCTGGACACCGACCGGCCAGCGCGATTGCCCGCCATCAAGGATGTGACCGTCGTTGGCGTTTACTCCGGCAATCAATTCAGCGAACTCAACTTCTTCGCTGATGTGATTCATAAAATCAACGAACTAAAGCCATATCAGTTTCGATCCTTCAAAATCACCCACAAGAAGGACGACCCCGAGCACGCCAAGAAGAACCAGGTCTTCGATGAAGAGGGTAATGAAAAAGCCATTATCCCGCTGCATCGGTTCTGCCCGCTGAACTTGGTGACCTTGGTCTCAATTCTGATGACAATTGCGCTATTCGTCTGGGCCGGTGTCCAGCATGAGGCGGTCGCTTTTCTTGGCCTGGGGACCATGTCATTATCTACCAGCATGGCTTGTATGTCCGCGCAGTGGCGACCGAGACTCTCGGTCCGCAGTGTCAAGGGCGAGGTGCCCCCCGGAGATATTGTGATCCGCACACGAGCTGGAGCTTTTGTTTCTGTCAAATGCTCCGAGGAGGTCGCACGCGAGCTTTACGCGGGTACCGAAGTCTGCGACTATGTCTTCGAGGGACGGGTGCACCAATGTCTTCTCGGTGCCAGCACGGTTCTTCTCATGGCTGCCATCATCTTTTTCAGTAACTGCAGCTGGAAACTTCAGATCGCCGTCGGACTGGCCTATATCATCCTCAACCTCGCCTACTGGGCCATGGCGCTGCTGACGGACCCGGCAGATATGTGGAACATGGCGTCTCGGTATAATGTGGAGGAACTTCCTGGAGCCGACAGGAAGAACTACACCCTGGTTCTCTGGGATGCCATTCGAACAACAGGGAAGATTGGCTGGGTCAAAAAGACGGGAATGGCACCGTCGACGAAGAACTGGGATGGATGGTTGCAGGAGGCGAAGGATAACAGCAACAATCCGGACTGGGATTCTGAGGCAGCACGAAACAAATGGATGAGCATGAAGTTCGGATCCACGGAGAAAAAGACTGAGGTTGAGTGAGGATGAACTGTAGGAATGACGATGGGTTCGTGGGAGCAGAATGAGGTTAAATGCCATCTAATTAATACTTCATAAAGATACATGTATCTGCACTTCATTCAACTTGAAATAGTTTTAACTAATTGGATAATTTTTTTTGTGTCGCTTCGAATCGAATCGCTACCCTGTACCCGCCAAGTTTGCAATATTTTTGTCCATTAGTTTAGCCCTTGTGTCAGCAATCATTTCGTGCCTTTTTACGCTTCCCATCACACTCAACCCCATATTCCAGTGTCTTGCCCGGGTGTCTGATTACGACATCCATGGATCAAGCACATAGACCTGGGCATCCCCGGCCTCACATCCTGATCTTCTGAAGCTTTCGCCCAATAGAATGTTTCATTTGGGTGCTTTGTTTGCTTTCATCCAGGATTCTCGGTAGTGGCGATGAACAATCATCTGTATGTGAATTTGCATGCACGCATACCCAGCCGGTGCCTAAACTTTTGGCGTTCAGGGCGGAGCACCGAGTCTCACGTTATGTGGCTACAGCGATGTAGGGTATTGAACCCCGACCGGGTAGGCTTGGAGCGATCCAAAATCAATCATTTCTACAATATACAGCGCGTTATATCCCCTGTTCTCTGTTTACCTATACTCTGTACGGGATCTTGGTGTCGGCGGAATCTGTCGAGGTATCGGGCAAAGGTGTTTCCATCACTGCCGTCGTTGTCTCATCGGTCCACAAACGATCGCTGTGTGCTGTATCAAACGCAGTTGCGGTCTTTTTCGGGGGGTTGGTGCTTCGGTTGAAAGGAAGGGTTACTGCTGCTGTGCGCTAATCTAGATAGAGGCGCCGATGGTAAGGTTTCGGTTTGTGCTCGTAGGGCTTCACTTCTTCATAGAGCTTCCCAGTCTGTTCCTGAAGAACATTCTGGTTGTATTTGGTCTCCTAGAGCTCGTTATGAGTGGGTTCGATGGCCGCGGTTTAATGGCGGATAATGTTTTTTAGGGTCCTGATGAGTTTCCACACCTCCTTTGTGGTGACTCTGACCTAAGGTCTCCAATGATGCGAAGGCATCGCCGCTGTGTGTGCGCTTTCGGCTTTTTGTAGGCGATCCGGGCGATCCGATAGACACTCTGGGCTGGAAATCTTCCACTGAGAAGCTGAGGGTGGTTTCTTGAGTGTTTGTTGGGAGGGCGTCCGGGCCCTCCCGTAGGTGGATCCGTCATCGGTCCGGGGTTAGCTCCCGCTCGGCATACAACCACAACTAATATACATTGAAGGTAATATCAACCATAATGTAGGATGGATCGGTTTATCCGATAGTCACCCCTTTCATCTCTGAGTACAGGTCCTAACTGGTATATGATGGATTGAAGTCAGTTTCATCACTCACACACATGGATTCTTTCCCGAACCCTCTTTAATAAACCTATACCTATTACGGTTACTCTGCCCCGGCCCCTTGTCCTCGGCAGTATGTTACTGAAAGATGCGCGCGTCGATATATCATCTTCATCCGATTCTGCAGCTCTTTCTGATTCCTTTCCCGAGAAGATCGGCTATCTTTCTTCCCGTTTGAGGTATCTTTTGTTTGACTCAACATCTCTGTCTCTGTATTGTAAGCATCATGTAGGGCCCACTGCAAGATGAACTTGACGGTTATGGTATCTTCATGATGCGCTCAGAAAACTGCACATGGCGCATTCCTGGGGATTGAGATGTCCTCCTTGGAAGAGTCATGGAACCCTTGTAAGCTTCGGTATTTCAAAGCTGCCCGTACAGTCCTTTTGGTTTTTGTTTGAAGCAATGTACCTCCCCTCGCAATCGATTTGCAGGCTACAGCAACTGCGTAAATACATGCTTGTTTGATCCTGAACTGAGAACTTGAGCCTCACTTGGTAAGGTCTGTGATTGCTTCCACTTTAACATGTTAAAAGGCTGGGGTACTCCACTGCCCGGGTTGTTGTGTCTCTCCATAGAGACGCGATGGTAGGTATTGTTGTGCCGGCGTTGGCAATCGAACCCAATACCTGCAAATTGAAGGGTAATATTCGAAATCAATTTTAAGTCTACCTCCTGCGACCTAGTTCCCGAACCCTAACTCGGGACACACTATTTTACATTGGTATAGCCGTCGATCGCCGATTTCCAAAAGTAGACAATGTATTTTACATGAAAATCACATATATATTCATGTCACGACATTCATCTTATTGTGCTGCGCGATTTCACTAGATTAATCACCACTCCTAACCAGTATTTAGCCGCTGTCTTGGTCCGACAATTACTAATAGTAGCTCTAAGTCACTATTGCTTGAAAGGAGAATATACGTGGTTTGTTCCAAAATAGGTGCACTTCAACATTCCTACTTTCCCGGGCCGAGAAAATGAAGGTAGGTAACTCTCGATCACGCCATACGTGCTCGAATCCGCATCCAAATCAATTAAAAACAGGGTTGAAGAGGCATTTCAGTAGCAAAATTTTTTTCCAACAATTTCCTCGCTCAGAGCCCACAACTTATCCGCATTGGATGCGTCAGAGGCGAATTCCAAAACCTGTCGTGGATTGCAGTCATCTAGAAATGACCCTGATTTATCTGCGTGAACTTGTAAGCGCATTTTCTACCTTTTCAAAGATAAGATTTATATAGTTACCATCAAGAGCGGGGTCCAAAGCTGCAGCAAGGGTGGTTGCGCAGCCCTGCTCAATGTTCTTTTCCTTTGGCATCTCCATGTTCTTGCTTTCAAACATAGGTTCCACGATGGGCCACGCTGCTGAATCTACTCCGGACGACAGACCCGTTGTCTGTATGACACCAGGGTGCAATGAATATGACCTTATTCCCTTTTTCTCCAGTTTGCTGGCCAGAGCAACGGCAAACAAAATATTTGCTGTCTTGGACTGTCCGTAAGCTGTCCAAGCGTTGTAGGTCTTGCCGTTCGAGAAGTTGTAATTGTCGAACATAACTGGGCTGAACTCGTACATAGCACTGGATATATTCACGACACGAGCACCGCCGCCAGAAGCTTCAAGTTTCGGAACAAGGAGGTTGGTGAGCAGGAAATGACCAATGTGATTGGCACCTAGATGGCTTTCCACGTTTTCAGCAGTCAAAGAAAACCTAGCACCCATAATGCCTGCGTTATTAATGAGGACATCCACCTTGGAAATAGACGATTTGATCTCCGCCGCGGCAGCTCGCACTGATGCGCAGGACATGAGGTCAATTTTGACGAATCTTACAACGGTAGAGGGGCTGGTTTCTCTGATCTCCTTCATGACTTGGGAGGATTTGTCTTCGGATCGCCCGAGAAGAACAATCTCAGCAGGATTGGCAGCAGCCAGGAGAAGGGCTGTGTGGCTCCCTAGCCCTCCATAGCTCGCTCCAGTGATCACAACTAATGAATCATCAGCCAAATTGAGTTGACCAAAAGCTCGTTGCCGTTATAGAAGGAGTCCATATATTCGCGGGAAATAATACTCACATGTCTTCCCAGAGACTCTTTCTGAGAACGCAGCGACTACTTCAGACCCAGTGGTCGAGGAATCGAAAGCGACCATTCTCAAGAGCGCTATTATAGCACAGTCAAGGCAAATTTGAAACCTATCAGATATGCGTAATTAATACGAGGTGTCGAAAGCCCTGACCTGCCCCCGCGAGTCATATATATGTGTTCTGCTCCTTCGAAGTCGCTTAATAATGGTTATGACACAATCCAGCGATAGCTCTAAAAGTAACCACTGCATTCTTCGGATCACTAATCTATCCGGGTTAATTATTCATAACCAGCAAATCTACGGACGAGCAGAGTGTCGGTGGTGGAATACCGATGGGAGGCCGGTGGGAGCCGGATCGCAAGCTCGTAATCTCCCATCGAAGTAAATTACTGAGGCAAAGCACGATCACCCATAAAGTTACAAGAATTAATGTGGCGATTGAAAGAGATTGCCAAAAAACACCTCCTCCTAGTCCCAAGGTCACGTGCAGTTCCCGATACCCTGGCACACCCCAGGCCTCGAGCAAGAGATTATTTCCACCTGCTAGACGGGCTTGCAAGCAGAACGTTACGGGAGTTACCCTCCATTCCAAGCCCTCGGGCCCTGTCGGGCCACGTGAATCAGATAATCCCTAGTCGATTCTCCTACTCTCCTGAACCTCATCCCGATTTACAGAATAGTAATCGCTTTCCGCAACTACAGGCTACGTGAATATTCCGTAGAACCTACACAGCCCCGCAACTTTCAACCGTCCCACGATATCTTTTAATGTGTCTAAATCAGGAACCCAACACCCGCCGTACAAGTGAGGAGGCAGGTTCAAGACGTGCAAGCGTATGTACATCGTCGGAGGTCCTAAATGTCTTCTGCAGCCCCAGTGCATGTCGGCGCGCTGTCGGAAGAAAGCGGGCCATGGAAAGAATACACCACAAGCTTGCGAGGAGTTACGTCGGGGATGGGCAAAGGCATGTTGGCTTACTGTGCTACGAAGCATCTAAAATGCTTTGAAGCAATGATGTTTCTGATACGTATTTATTTTTTAGTGCAATTAAAAACTCGGCCATTTTGCCACGATATCTCGATAGAGGCATCCGCTATCAGTATTCCACTGCTGAAGTTGGAAGTCAGCCAGTCCCTATACGCCGACTAAACCTGCGTACACAAGCTAGAAAATACCAAACCTATATCTAGCCTCAAAAAGCCTCTTACCAGTTTGCAATCGAAAGCCAACAGAGAAGGGAGAAGCATCGTAAACTAGTCTAGTTAAAGCCTATAATAGTAATCTTTTCCTATAAAGCAACTATAGCACACAATGGTAATTTAGCAAAAGTTTGTTCCAGCACAGCTCAACACTATAGGGCTTAACTCATGTCTGTCGAGTGGCAGGCCGCTCCATAGACTGTTCCACGAGTCTGGAAAGAATTGCAGCACGGCTTTCAGCTTCCTCAACAGTGAACTTATCTTTGAACACAGAATCCATCTGCTCCAGAGTACGACCGGCGGTCTCAGGGACAAGGAAATATACCCATATCCCAGATAGAGCGCTGAAGCAGCAAAAGAAGACATAAGTACCAAAACCAATGTTCTGGAGCATTGGAGGTGTAATCAACCCCTAAAACGAATTAACAAACTGGCCGAGACTTTCAGTATACTAACGGTACTCACAATTATGAAGTTGTTGCCCCAATTAGACATGGTGCCAAAAGCGCATCCTTTGGCACGAAGCGATGAAGGAAAGATTTCCGCAGGCATTGCCCACGGGATAGGACCCCAGGTGGCTCCGAACGACAACATAAAGAAGAGAATCAAGGCCGCACTGGCCCAGCCAGCGTCAGTATGTTCAGTCCATTTTCCATTGTATTTTCCGACTAGAATGGAAATGATAAAATGCGCCAGGAACATGCACACTGCGCCACCCAAAAGAAGCTTGCGGCGGCCGAAGCGGTCCATGCCCCAAAGAGACCAGACACAGGCGACAACTTGGCAAATGTTCATCACACCTGACATGGTCAGTTGCATCTCGTAGTCTAGGCCCATTGTTTCGAACAAGGTCGGCGAGTAATACTAGACACACCAAACGTTAGAAGGCTTTCAAGTAGCTTCACGCAACCGGGTATAGACTCACAATGAGAGCATTAATACCAACAAACTGTTGGAAGAACATCAGGCCCACAGCTACCTGAGTGCGTTTATAGATGGGCATTTTCCAACAATCAGCATACAGCGCCAATTGTAGCTTGATGGTATTCCACAACCCAGGTCTAGTCAGTTTGGGGTGTTTCTTTTCTGATGCCTCCTTGCAAAATGTGCATTCAGCTCGAATTTCGCACCATTCCTGCAGAACTCGCTCGTCGCTGGTGGGTAGTTCACGAATTTTAGCAAGTACCCTAAGAGCTTCTTCATCTCGACCACGTTGGCACAGCCACCTAGGAGAATAAGGCAACATGAAGACACCGGCGATCATGAAGAGAGCCGGGATCATCTGGATCAGGAATGGAAGACGCCATGACCAGTGACTTGGAATATGGCGCGTACCATAAGTGATGTAGAAGGCGATAACGATACCAGTGACAATGCTCAGTTCCTGAAGGACAAGCAGAGTTCCTCGGATCTCAGGAGGAGCAATCTCGGAGATATAAAGCGGGGCGACCATCGCAAGCCTATTTGGTAATTTAGAACGGGGGCAAAGGTCGACGGAAACTGGTTTCCGGTCTTACATTCCCACGCCAACGCCTCCTATAAAACGTGCGACGGTCAACATAGCAAAAGAAACCGCTCCAGTCTGTAGAGCAGCACCAAGGAGGAAGATACAGCCAGCAGTAAATATGCTCCATTTGCGGGATATCTTGTCGGCGATCCAGCCCTGATTTAGAGCACCTGTGACTTGTCAGCCCACCCTTAATGTAATAATACATCGTTTCACAGTAGTTACCAATAAAAGCCCCCAACTCAAGAATAGCGGTCATAAGGCCCTTTTTGAATCCAGCTCCTGGGGCACTTGGGGAAACATCAGGAAACTCCTGAAGGAACTGAGGCATCACAAGCGTAATCGAGACCACGCCCTGGTCATAACCGAAGAGAATACCTCCCATGGTAGCAAAGAGTGCACACAGAAACACATATTTGGAAGAGAACAGCCCCCGAATTCCGCTCTTGGTATAGGTGCGACGTAACTGCCAAACTGGAATACCGTTGTGTTCGTTGGCGGACTCCGTGGATCCTTGGAGGAGAATCATTCCTGTTTGGACATGGTTCAAAGACGCAGTCTCTACATGAGCAGGGTAGTCATTGCCAGTATCAGACAGGCACTTCTTCTCCATATTGTGAAAGGGTTGGAAACAGATGTCCTGCTATAGGGTAAATGGATAGGAGTAATCCCGTGGGGAAATCTAGTGAAAATCCGGGGAATCCGGGGAAGTATTTAACTTGACCAGTTTGCTTGCGGGATACATGCGGGGGACTCCATAAGTCTCCATAGGTGCGTGGAGACGATCTGTGATCCTCGTTTCCTTTGCAAGGTTCGGCCATGAATGCCGATGTTTTGCCCAGCTTTGGTCAGGGGTAGGGAATATGAATCCGAGGCTTGGGCGTAGTCTCCCTCTAGTCTACTAAGTCCCGGAAACATCCCGCGTATTTGTCCATAATACGGAGATATGATCTACCCGTACGGTATCTCGTCTAAATCGCCTGCAACTTGGCAGCAAGGGTAAGAGCGCCTCCCTGGAATCCTAATTGCGAATAACGGTTACGTTGTGAAAAGAAGTTTTTGCGTTCGAGTTGAACATCACGTATCATTTTATTTTTCAAAAAGAAAAAAACCATAAAGTACTGACCTAAAGTGTAATTCTGTAGTGGATAGGAAGAGGACCCGAGCTCTTCTTGGTATGCCAGCCTCCCTTGTTTGTGGATCTGGGCCCTGATTCCTATGACGCTTGGAACATCCTTCGCAGCTGTACCGCCCGTTCACTGGCCTCGTTTCTGCCAGAGCTTATTGCGCTAGCAGCCTCGATGGCTCACAATACTAGAGTTCTTGTTCGCCCCCACGAGGGCGCATATTTTTATCGAAATTAGGTATCCATTCCGCCGAGTCCTGGCTGGAGCCAAGTCTGAATTATTATTACTCCGTCTTCAATCTATTCAAACAATAACCGAGTGACGGTAGGCCGAAACTTTAAATTTTAGAGTTCCGGTCACCTATGTCCGAAAGTCGAAGAGACTCCGGGTACCCTCCTATTTCAGCAATTTCCTTACAGGACGTAATTTTCGTCAGCCTCATACGTGGATGGCGTGGTAGATAAGGATTGGTAGATGCAAGAACACGTTTTAAGATGGCATGTAAACCCTCAATCATGCCGGCCCCAGGATCCAACCGGTCGCAATATATGATTAAAGCTATGTTCATCCCCGCGGCATTGTCCAGGGGGTCACTAGGTTGAAGAAAGAGACGCACTCCGCTGCCAGGTTTTGAGCAGGTATTTAAGGGTAGAATACGGGACTGGAAAGCCGAAAAGGAAATTTCGTGAAACAGAGAAGCTAAGGGCTTGTAATTATTGGGGGTCGTTAAACGGCATGGCATGGGTAGGGAGTCATGTATAATCTTCTAGAATTGAATTGAAAGCAGTTATCAAGGTGGCTGCTAACAGGGGAACCGATCCTTATATATACTTGTAGACTGCGAGACAATATCCCGTGTCAATAGAGTACTGTCCCTGCCGGAAAGCCAATGCCCACGCGGATGACGAATCTTCCGATAGGTCAGGGGCAAATACGATCAGCTGGAAATCTTGCCTCTTTCGTGTTAATCATCATCTAACTCAAAACTTCGCTGCTTTAGCATCGCGCGAAGTGCTCCGTCTCGCGAAAACTGCACTGAACATCTTACCCTATCTCTTGTTGACTACGCGGGGACTGGAAATTATGAATCTTTGCTTGTCCCGGCTTAGCTTATGGGACAATATGACATCTTCCCAGCAGCATACATGGTATTTTTGTATCTCGAATTAGGGGTGAGTATGAGAATTTAAATTTCAAGTATCTTTAGCAAATTCAATATAACACCACACTTCTCTCTCCCATCATCTGTTCCCATGATGAGTAGTCTGGCATCCCGTGCGAGGTCCTTCATCACTCTTTCGGTATATTCAAAGCTTCCAGTGGCGTTCAAACATGAGATAACGACATCTTTCATTCGATCATTGTCCGATTTTTGCCTCAAGATATTTCCAATTACCTTACTCTCTGGGTTCGCATGCATACTGTGTATAAAAAGGAACGAGAATTTCCCCTCCGTAATGTCCTCACATTCACCCTTTTTCTGGGCGTAGCTGTCGCTCCGAAGGTTTTTATAATCATCACGGATCTGAAACAACTTCCCAAAAATCTCGGCTAGAGGGACGTAGTCTCTGCGTGGGAGTAAGCAGACGCCATATTTAAGCCCTGGCTGCATACCTTGAACAACTACTTTCCTGCTGCATCAGCCGGATCATGATCCTGAAAGGTCCGCCCGTTTTGTCATTGATCATTTCCAAATACTGGGCTTCAGTGGGACAGGTAGAAGAATCTCGCCAGAAAAAAATCCATTCCCTGACCATGATGAAGATGGATCATTTCTTCGATGAGAATCGTATACGCCGGGGGAATTTGTAGCTCCTGGAGCTTTTCAATTGCTATAAAGTATGCATGATTTGCCGAATTGATGGTTTGGGCGGTGCCAAATATTTGGTGAGCAACCGGAAGGCCTCGGCGTAGGACTGAGTTATCTTCGATATCGTCGATCCTGGGCCACGTCAGAAAATTTTAGAATAAAACGATTGTGTATGAGTGTTGGCCGTACAGGAGGGACGCCGTGTGAAGTATGTTAACAACTTCCTTGATCAATTGAAGTTCAGGAACCTGAAGCCATTCGTTGAATGCATCCATCAGCAGACTTCGAATATTTTTGCCCGGGGATGAGAAAAGATAATCAAAGGGTCCCGTCACAACCTATAACTTAAAGCTCAGTTAATGCTTGCGAAGAGCGAATAGCGATGACAGCGACATACCTGATCACTTTTCCCAAACCAAGAATCACGCGTCATGTGTTCCTGTGAGGATTGTGGGGTGAGCAGCTATTCAGTATGGATTAGCTTTCATTTGCAATTCGGAGTAGATTTTCGCCTTAGTTCGCGTACCAGCTTTGAGCTTGGAACATTCATGTCCATGCTGTTACACTTTTCATCTATTCGGCTTTTTGATGACCCCGATATCGAATGTAAAATCTTCAGCAGGTAGGCCGCGAACTTCATGATGGCTTCTTTATGCTTTTGGTTGGGTGGGGGGGCGGGGTGGGAGGATACGGAAGGCTACTACCAGGGAAAAGTTCCCATTTAGGTTTTTCCTTATTTTCCGTTTTTGAATCTCTCATTTCAGATCTTGGAAGTGGATTGTTTGATACGAAGATTCCCTTGTTAATTTTAACGCTTTGCTTATTTCGGGTCAGGCTTCTGTGATGGCGTTCATAGCTCTTTACCGTTATTGCTACCGACAGAATGTATCTGAATGATACTCAAACAGTGATACGTGACCGCGCACAGGGAATACGGAGGAATCTAACTCTTAGTCCTACAATAACTCACTATTTGCAATGTGAGATGCGTGAGTGCCCAATCCTTCCGCAACAGGTAAGGATTTCCGTTCATCTGAAAGAAACCGAATATTGATTATATAGCACTCTCAATGTAAGTATCTTCCTTCTTCTTCACTTCTAATGGAGATTTTAGGATCATGCAATCACCAACTGAGTGATATCTAAAAGATTACAAGTGCGATGTGCATTCGTGGTATCTTGGAAAGTTTTTTTTTTTTTTTCTTTTTTGTGAAATAACACATAATGTGACAATATCGTAAGAATCCTAGTCCCGTTATTGTTCTCAATGTTTGTCGCAAATTTTACAGCATGGATTGCTGTGGATTTGTGCATCTTTTTGGTAAGCCCCGTTTCTTGACCTGCAGAATTTAACAACCCCTATTTTCGTTTATGAGATACATATGATAACATCAAGTTCGGGCCTTCGCCGAGTATGGATCAAATTGTTCGATCGGTTAGTTCGTGGTGATTCGTTGAATAATCATCTTGCAGCATGTGGAGATGTATGCATGCGAGTGCGATCAATACGGCTCACTCCTAGTGGAACCCTCTAGACCATCAAATCTACGTGGCAGCGTTCCGCCCCACCCACTCGCATGATAACCTCTCACGAAACGTTCTGTTTCATTGTTACGGGTCTGTGCCCCGCCACCGACCCATCGGCTTCCTGATAACGCAAAACTGTATATTACATAGTGCTGCAGTAGGAGCTACTGACACAGAACGAATTCACAATCTGCGCTGCGTGTGTATGCAGTCAGATCAAATTTCTAGTTACGTGGGAGCATTTCGCACGATAGATTTATCCCGCGATCCTGCTGAACTGAAGTTTCTGCAAAGAGATCGGCTGATTGGAAGACCGAACAACACAGACGTTAATTGATGGATTGAGAAAATACATCGGAAGCTTATGAGCTTTTTTTGCTAAAACTTAAACAAGGATTTTTTCGCGCTGCCTGGCTAATGCTCTCCCTGCTGTGTGGTAATGCATGGGATTTCCAGAAATACTTCAAGTTTTCTTAAGACCAAGCGGCCAATGCCATTGCCTGTGCTTACTTATTCAAAGTACCCGTTGGGGAGGAATGCACACGAATAAATTTCCTAAAAGATCAATTTTCTAAGCGTTGATTATAACATAGGCAGAAAAAGGCAGAGTAGATGTAGTTTAGCTGAGTAGAGACGTGTCAGAAATCTGGTGGATCTGCGTGTGGATTTCTGGGTATTTACCCAGAACATCTTACGACATCAATATCAGATACCTCAATTAAAATGCATATTACTCTTTGGCAGCATGTCCTACAAAATTGTCAATTTCATAGTTTTTAGTTAGAGAGCTTTATATTACCGTCCTGGAACCCATACAATATTGGTCACTGACTTCTGTCAAGACATTCCACACCACCTAGCCACAATAGACACATGAGTACATTTCATTGCGTCATTTATCATGACTACATAACAGACCAACCGAATCGTGAACTATCTACATAACACACTGTCTCACCACGCGGCCATAGGTTTTGTCCATTCAGTTCACAGCAACTCTCACTCCTCTACTTCCACGTTTCGGAAGCCCTATTATGAAGTCACGGACCCACTTAACATCTCCCTCATCCGTCTCAGAGAGGGATAATTTTGGCCCATCTGGTCGAAATAGGATGGCGGTCGCTAAATACAACTCAGCCATTGCAAGACTGTTCCATCAGCATCCGCATTAGTAAAAGCGAAAGATAAAACGAGAAGGTGATCAATTCTAGGGAAATATAACAGTTATAGATGGGTATCCCTTACTTTATTCCGACACAAATCCGAGATCCTTTCGCAAAGGGCACAAAGTTGCGGTCCATTTGCGGGGCGTAGTCACCAATCCATCGCTCGGGGATGAATTTGAATGGTTCAGGATATACGGAGGAATCAGTAGTCATATAGTTTATGGACATTCCGACGGGAGTCTAAAAATATCGGTTAGATTGTTTTCTCTCGCCGTGTGCATGTATTTTCAACTGAGGGTAGTAGTATTCAAGGGGGGAGCTGTGGAAGGAATACGGTTTCAAGTGACAGGTTATCGTCGGCGCATCCACATACATTCCGAGGAATAGTCCATTCGTTATATTTAATGCTGACGTCGGGAGAACATCTCGCCATATTTCCCACAAAGCTATACAATCTAAATGAATCATATTGCTATCAGTATGTGGGCTCGTTATAAAGAAGATAAGCAGCAACAAGTGACACTTGCCTTAGTACCTCTTTTATGCACCCTTCAAGGTATGGAATCTTCTCCAAGTCCGCCCAGAGAGGGTCGCGAGCAGGATAGCACGCCATGGCACCTTTCAGATCTACTCGAAGACGGTTCTCGACTTGAGGGTCACTGAGGATATGATATGTAATCATCGACATTGCCAAAGACGTGCTGAACGTTCCCGAAACTAGAAGAACCGTTGCTTCTGCTTGTAAGCGGAGGGTCGATTTCTCAGACTCCGGTATATCGCTTGTGAGCAGATGATGAAACACCGAATTGAGGCTATCATCAGGGGCAAGTTTGCCCTCGCGGATCTGAGTTTTTATTTTGTCAATGTAGTGCCGACCGGTCTGATCAGAAGTCGGGAAATAAGTGTCAGTATAGTTTTTTGTGAAATCTGTGAGTGTTGTGTGGGGCACAGGATTAAGGCTTAGGCCTACCTTTCCAAGCGCCATCGTGGCAATACCTTCTGGGAACACTTGTAATAGTAATGAGTCTGGAATCATTTCAATAACCCTGTGTTGAATGAGTTAGAGACAGGATTTCCGATTAACAAGAAATTGCGTGGTACCTATGAAGCCCGCTGAAGCATCGAAATATGGGTACCATGAACACCAGTCTATACATAAGCTTATACCTAGCATATTTCTGGTTAGCACATGAACTTTCTTTGCATCTTTCCTTTGCGAAATAATCCCATACCAGGTTGGAGAGAAGTCAGTTTCTTCAATCAATCTTGGGGGTGCTCCACAGGAGATATGCACAATAATGTCACCAGCCAGTGCTGAAAAGGCATGATCGATGCGAATAACTGTCTTTGTTCCACTGAGGGATTCCAGTCGCGAATCCAGGAGGCGAACCTTATCGACGAGAAGTTTCTCCATTCGCGTTATGCTTTGACGTGAGAAAAATCCCTCCACCTGCTTCCTCCTCATCCGGTGGAGATCGTGGGGACCCGCCATATGAAACGAATCTACAAGTAAACATAGCCGTTAGAACAGAGGCTCTTGGGAGTCGGCTATTATTTGCTAATAGAATATCTGGGAACTCAAATGTGGAGTACTTTCCTTGTATTCCATTCCCCTTGCGACCTCGAGACCACTGATCCGACCGCCGCGTTGATGCAGACACATACACTTGATTATAAAATTTAGAGTCCCGAATGGACAGTTCCCAAGGGGTGATTCGCACGATTGGACCTTGTTTGTTCATATCTCAGTAACCAAATTTTGTTCTCATCAATTCAATATACCTGAGTCTCTCACTGACCATATTGCTCATGCATCCTCTTTACCTGATTCCCCCACTGCCCGTCTTTCACCAGCTGAAAGTAGAATTCATACCATTCTGTCGCGGCTGCAAGCTTTGGGCCTGGGAATCGAGAAATGGGCGAGAGAAAGAGCCGATAGACTACTAGGCCGATTCCGTAGAGTAAAAAGCCTGCCAACGAGACAATAGCTAAATCGTGATATCGCAGATATGAAAAGGAAAGCTGTAACGCTTTCGATAGCGAGAAACAACTATCCCATGCGATGGTCATTTTTGAAACGGAGTGGATATGAAAAATGTTTTGGGAAATAAATAGCTAAGCGTGCGCGGTGTTGATAAATATACAATTCCACCCTAAGAGCATGGGCGACAACAATATCGTACGTGAGGTATTTAACTATATGAATTGCACCGATCATTGGTTCGATCACCTGCATAGTTGGTTTCACCACTAGTAGCTAGGCCTCGCCAAAGTCGCGGGTCGGGTTCAACCTCGGACCCAAAACCCGCAAGAAAATCCAACAACAGTAATATATGATCTTATCCGGTTTCCTATGTAGCATAGGCTGTATTACAATGGTAAATCTATAATATACAGGCTCACGGGTCCTTGGCGGGTCGTGGGTAAACCCATGGGTACCCGAAAAAGCAATATGGCGAGGTCTAACTGGTCCACTACTATGTATGCATGTAAACTTTTCACTACTTCTGCAAGCTAAAAAAAGTTTATTTTTATCATTGTCTAATTTCGAAGTTCTGAGTTTGCTAGGGAGTATAGGCTGCAGATTTGAGCATGATCAATTCTACTATATGACTCAGAGACTACCCCATCTGCTGCGTGCTGCCCGTTCCCCATGGTAATGTCTGGTCATACTCATATCCTAATTGACTGTCCTACGTACCTACTGCTATTGCATACGACGTCTGGGACTACCCACATGCGATACTATAGCAAAGTAGCACATTCCTAGCCTTGTTTAAGGCGCGATAAACGATTATGATAGGCGGGAAAGGAAACCTAGTCCCATTGACAAAATATGTAAGTGTAAATGAAGGTGAGAATAGTGCCTATGCGAAGGGGAGCCTGCGACTCAGCCCGAGCAATAAAAAAGCTAAAAACGAGATACTACGATTACCATACGATAACACTGAGAGCCTGCGCACGGACTTTGGGCAAGGAAATGTGATCTAACGTGGGAGACAATTTTTGAACGAAGAAGTGACTATGCCACGTCAGAGATTGAATTCTTGGAAAGTTGTATCCACAGGCCCTGGAAGTCTCCACAGGCTCCCGAAGCAAACTTTAGAGCAAATTATTTGAGTGCGTAAAGTAGTCCATATAATAGAAGTTGTTCTCAACTGTCGATGTACCCGACATATGCCTCCATTTTGTACTTACTATCAAATTACCAATCACCCTCCCTGCCTACAATCTCTCAAACACCAAAGTCATGTCTTCCAGAATAGATGACACAGTGTGGGAGCATTCAGAACCGCTTGATCGATCTCTTTGGGCTGATAATGATTTGTATATGATGACAATCCCGCCGCGGATCAACAAGTATAATGAACGGGGCGACGATGCGGCCATTCAATTCCAGATTGACATGGCGGGGAAGAACAATGTCGGTATTGTGGACGGTGGTCTGACTACTGTTGGAAACATCAATTCGCTGTTGTTTCCTGAAGGCCTCCCGGACAGAATGGCCGCCTTATCGTATGTGATGGAGACCGTGTTTTTCTGGGATGGTAAGGCATCCTGGTTCAAATTACACCAGGTTAAATCACACCAGGTTAAATTTCATTTCATTTTACTAATCCAATACTTGTAAATATAGATATCAAACTCCCTGAGCCGGATGAGGTGAGTCATAGAAGATCCCAAACTAATCGTATACCCCAACAGAGGCTAATATAAGAGTAGATCAGTGTGAAAACCTCGGAATCAAATGTTCGGAAGAATCTCGAGCAGTTCCAACATTCTGCCTGGAAGACTCGAGTGAAACAGGCGTTCTCGAAGGGCGTATCAAAGCTTATCGACATCGACCCGGTATTAGGACCAGATGTCCTTGAGCAATGGAAGGTTTGGAGAATTTCCGAGACGGACATACGAGGAAGCTTCAACAAATACAAGACCATTGATGAATACATCGAAGAACGCATCTTAGAAATAGGGTACCCGTGAGTTAACATTGACCGTGGGTAGATTGTGCTTGACTAACAGAGTTGGCACCAGCTGCGTTATCGCTCAGGCAAAATTCGTTTGTAACTTGAATTTAACATGCGAGGAAGAAGCCTCTCTACAGACGGTTATATGGCCTCTAATGGTGCAAACTATCTACGCCAACGACTACTATTCTTACAATAAGGAGTTGAAGATGTACGAGGAAAGTGGTGGCAAGATACCAATAATCAATTCCGTGCTATTGGTTCAGCGCTTGCACGGTCATTCTGTTGATGGGGCGAAATCATGGTTGAGGGATAAAGCTGTCGAAATGGAAGCCGAATATCTTCGCCGCAAGAACTATTTCTTGGAATCCAACAGGAGCGCTGAAGTTTCTCCTGCTGTGCTACGCTATCTTGACCACAATGAGCAATTTGCGACTGGGCAGGTCATATGGCTGATGTATTCCTACCGTCACAATGCACCAGGTGGCGAGGGCTACCGCCAGTACTTTGCGAAGCGAGTCAAGGAGGGCGCTGTTTTCTTCAACGATTGCACGGAATCAAAGGAGATTCTCACCGGAGGGCACAGCGTTTTGATTGATAAATCTGTACGTGTCTTATCCCTGTCTCGAGGAGCCTGGGCGTTTATCCCAAACCTTCTTTCTCCGACAACTTTCCCCTTCTGCCTTGCATTCTGTTTGGGTGCACTCGGTCTTTCTTCATTTGCATGGTCCCTTCCGTACCAAATGAATCATAATGGCCAGGTGTGAAGGACCTGTTTGGGAATATGCTGGAGATTCACAGTGAGAGGGGGCAGAGATTGAGTGCAGCGAAGGCAGATTGGTAAAGCAGTATGGAATTGTGGGGCGAATAGGCTTGGACAGATTATTTGAATCACAATCCAGATTTTGAACTTATTTAATACACGAATCGAAATGACTAAAATGCTTGTAGGGAGAAGTGAGCAGCCTATCTTTGACAAGCGAAGAGCTCTCGGAGCCGCCAAAATCCTCTTATTTCTTTCCAGAATTTGACCTTTTCGGGAAGGTTCGTTGGTTGCATTTCCGGGATAGATTTTGTCTTCTCCTACAGAAAGTAAAGATTGAGAATGAGGTGATAGTTGCACCACAGTGACCGAGGCTCAACTGGGTACAATGTGGGCAAAAGGAAATCAATAATTTAACGGAATAAAACAATTGAGAAATATATCCAACCACAGTAGTCACAGAACATTTCAAATTTGGTGCTTAAATCATCAGCCACCACGCATACCCACGCCTAGTTTTTGGTGTCTCTTACCACAGCGGCACCCACATAATAATCGCATGTGTCTGACCTCTTCAGGACTGTGTTGATATCGTCGGGGATTGAAGCTCCCCACGGGGGTCCTGGCGGATATCATCGTTGAGGCGTTCTGCATCGGCTAATGACAAGGCTGTTGTTGTATGCCAATAGTGCACGAGTTCGAGGTGTAGGAGGGGTAGTCACGAACTTTCCCCAAATCTGAAGCGAGGTCATTGGATCCAATCTCTGCTAAGCCCATGTATGGCTTGTTCGGTGGTGCAATATCCCGAAAGTCGCGGGGAAGCTCTTTCTGACAGAGCCACAGCAGGGGCTGGACAGTCTAACACTATCGCAAATGCACTATAGACTGAGTTGCAACTTACGCCAGGTTTATTTCATTTATTTCAGGATGGTGATTCCTTAGGTCGCAATCAGGGCCACATACGTGGTAAAAGCGAAGCCCAATTTGCGGGGCCCCGGAATAAGCGCCAAGGATTTTCACCCCAGTGGTTCGGGTAAGTCCAACACCGACAATCCACGCTTACCTAGATTGACGATGGACTTGTGCCCTCGGGTATTTAGACCTCTCGGTTGTTCAGACATGTTTACATTCATTTGTGCTTACATTCATTCGGACTAAATGATACCGGGCTACTGCTGTCATGTGATGTCGGGTGAAATGCACCGAAGGCGTACAGTTTCCAGATCCTCGGGTGTCAGGGCAGGCTGTCAGGGCAGGTAATATGAGATCTATGAAGCGATCCGCTGTCTTCCGATCGTACCCTTTACCTCAATTGGTATAGTTCACGAGCAACATCGTTGATTGAAAAACCTTCATCAATATCCTTTCCCGGGAATCGACAACTTCACCCAGTTGCAACGTTCCTTTAAATTCTCGGCTTCCGCCGAGCTCTCAGTAGCATGAGTTTCATTACCAGACTTCAGGATGCCGTTTTCTGCGCTTTTTCTAGCTGCCTTGAGCCTCCTCCCGCCAATTCATGCCTCGCCCTCCCCACCGGTCCCCGAACCCATCCAAGTGGTCGAGCTACCTTTACCCCCTGTCATTTCCAGCAGGGCTGAGGGTGCCTGTACGGCGACCATCAACCGGCGTCGGACCGGATGTATCCATCAAGTCTTTGACGAGTTCCAAGCGGGCGATTTTACA